AGGCCTGTGGCTCTCCATGCTCTCTGCAGATCCACATGTAGAACTCTTAGCTACTTCTCCAGCACCATGTCTGCCTGCATGCCACCATGCTTCCACCAGAGATCTGCCTGCCTCTGCCTTCTGAGTGCTGGGATAAAGGATGTACGATACCACTACCCAGACAGCTTTTTTATTTTTATTTTACAGGATTACAGTTAAGATTGCCTTGAGTTTTAGAAGAGACTTTGAACTTTGGACTTCTAAACAGTGTGGAAACTCTGACAGACTATGGGGACTTTTGAAGGTGGACTGAATGCATTTTTGCATTACAGTACCACTATTATCCTACAAAGGCCAGGGAGTAGAATGTGATGGTTTAATAAGAATGGCCCCCATTGGCTCGTATATTTGAATTCTTAGTCATCGGGGAGTGGCACTACTTGAGAAGGAATTGGAGGTGTGGCCTTGTTGGAGTAAATGTGGCCTTGTTGAAGGAAGTATGTCATTGGGGTTAAGCTTTAAGGTTTCAAAAGCCCAAGCCAGGACTAGTGGCTCCCTTTTCCAGACATAGAACTCCGAGCTATATCTCCAGCACTGTGCCTGCTTGCATGCCACCATGCTCCCTGCCGTCACAATAATGGACTGAACCTCTGAAAATGTAAGCAAGTTCCAATTAAACGCTTTTCCTTTCCCCCAACAGTTGGCCATGGTGCTTCTTCACAACAATACGATAACTAAGACAAGCAGGTTGCTCATCTGCAAACCGGTGCTAACACTCAGCTCAAGCTGTGGCTCTGGGGAACATATGCTAGCCCCCCTGTCTTTTGTGTAGTTGCTGCTGAATAAATATTAGCTGAAGTGAGCCAGGGCACACCTTTAATCCCGGTACTCAGGAGGCAGACAGGTAGGTCTCTGTGAGTTATAGGCCATCCTGTCCTACATAGTGAGCCCAGGCCAGCTAAGGCTACACAGTGAGACCCTGTCTGCCAACAAACAAAAGTTGATTAAAATCTAGGAGGGAGCCACTAGCCAGTCTTAGATCTCTGGAACTGAAGAGTGCCTAAAGCCTGGGCATGGAGATAGTGTTAGAACCCTCTGTATGCAGCAACGTAGACCAGTCCAGAAGAGGGTAGAGGAGATTCCAATGGGGGAAAGCAAAAGCTTTTGAGTAAGACACCAGAACAATAAGAAGATGGGGTCCAGCTTGAGTCCGTGGATCAGAGAAACTGCTCTCACCTCACACACAGCTATTTTTTCCTCCCTCCTTCTTTTCCTCCCTCTCTTCCTTTTCCTCTCCTGTTTCTTTTTTGGAGGTAGAGCCTTGAACTAGCCATGTATCCAAAGACAGAGCCTTGCCTCTATCTCCCAAGCACTAGGATTATAGGTTTGTGCCGCCATACTCAGCTTCCAACAGCTACTTTCTTTTTTTCCTTCACATTTTCTTCTCTAACACTGTTCCAGCCTGTGCCTAACAATGCTTTGATGAGGTGTGCATGGGGGGGGGGGTGCTTAATCCTTCAGCAAATATTTGTTGAGCACTTACTAAGTGCCAATTTAACTTATTCAAAAGTTGAATTCAAAAAAGGCCCTATTCAAAGTGCTATACAGTCAGCAATGAAGGAAATGAAGGAAACATAGACGTTCCTCTCACCAGGTACAGATTATAGCCCCGAAGAATAACTTAATAGAAATGGAATTGCAGGGGCAAAGGGCAAGTGCAATTTGCAATGTTTATTGATTTCACCAAATTGACATAAAAAGGGTTTATAGGCATTTCTCACCTGGATCCTTGTTTCCCCAGGAGTGTCCTCTTAAAAAAATATGTTTATGGTTGTTTTGCCTGCTTGTATGTCTGAATCACGTGTGTGCCTGGTGCTTGCAGAGGCCAGAAGACGGCATCAGATCTCCTAGAACTAGAATTAATAGAAAGTTTGAGCTGCCATGTGGGGTGATGGGAATTGAACCTGGATCCTGAAGAGCATCAAGAGTTCTTAACTGTTGAGCCATCTGTCCAGCTCCAATGTTTTTGTGTTTTGGACAAGGTCTTACTAAATAGTTCGGACTTCTCTCAAACTCCCTATCATCCTTCCTCAGGCTCCTGAATGCTGAGAGTCTTGGCTTAACTTACCACAGAGGCTCTTAGCCTGTGGGTCTCGACCCTTTGGGGGTCGAATGACTTTTTACAGGGGTCCCATATCAGGTATCCTGAATATCAAATATTTACATTATGATTCATAACAGTAGCAAAATTACAGTTATGAAGTACCAACAAAAATGATTTTATGGTCAGGGGTCACCACAACATGAGGAACTGTATTAAAGGGTCACAGCATTGGGAAGGTTGCGAACCACTGCCTTATCACATCATGACAGAAGGTTGTTTTTCCTAACTAAAGGGATAATTGTGTCACAGGTGGGTTTTTTTTGTTTTGTTTTTTTAAACATAGTCCCATGAGCTAGGCACAGTGGTGTACACCTTTAATCCAAGCACTTGGGAGGCGGAGGCAGGAGGATCTTTGTGAGTTTGAGGCCAGACTGGTCTACAAAGCAAGTTCCAGGACAACCAGGACTACACAGAGAAACCCTGTCTTGAAAAACAAAACAAAACAAAAACAAAAACAAAACCATGGTCTCACTATGTAACCCTGGCTGGTCCTGAACTCACTATGTAGACCAGGCTGTCTCAAACTCACAGAGATCTATCTGCCTATAAAAAAGTTATTTTGTCGATGTAGGGGGCACAGGTGTTGCATGTATGTGTGTGGCAGTCAGAGGGCAATTTTGTGGAGTCCTTTTTCTTTATCTGCTTTTATGTGGGTTTGGGAATGCCCCTCATGGCATCCTTGCATAGCAAGTCTTTAAGCTGCTGAGCCATCTGTGCTGGGATCACCCACGAGTGATTTATATTAACTAGTCTTCTGGGTAGCCTGTGAAGACTCTGAATTGGTTGGTCCCAGTGGTCCACATCTGTAATTTCAGCATTTGGGAAGCTGAGGCAGGAGGATAGGAGTTCAAGGTTGTCCTCTATTATACAGTGAGTTTAAGGACAGCCTGGGCTACAGGTTACCCTGTTTCAAAAAGAAACAAACAACTATAAAAGCTCTGAATTATGGGCTGAAGAGATGGCTCAGAGGTTAAGAGCATGAGATGATCTTCCAGAGGTCCTGAGTTCAAGTCTCAGCAGCCACATGGTGGCTCACAACCATCTGTAATGAGATCTGGCACCCTCTTTGGGCGTGTAGGCAGAACACTGTATACATAATAAATAAATCTTAAAAAAGAACAAAAACTCTAAATTGCTGTCCTCCAGGGCCTGAATTTGAGTCACTTCAGAGAGGATATTTTCTTTACTTAGAGAGAAGTGATTTTTCACAGAGGTTTGTATAGATTCCTGGAAGACACTCCAGGCCTCTCCCTAAACTTCAGGAGGGCACTATAGCAGATCAGCTGCTCTTTTTAAATGATGGGTATGAGGGAAGAGACCAGAAAATGACGTCATCAAGGAGTACATGCTGCTCAAGCATGGGCGTAGCAAGTTCAGCTACCCAACTGCTGGCTGAAAAGGGACTGGGTTTGGGGGCGGGGTGGGGGGTGGGGTGGGAGGGTGGGGGGTGGGGTGGGAGGGTGGGGGGTGGGGGGCTTGGGAAAGTGTTTGCTCAGGAGAGTGTTGCAACAATGTTGCAGGGAGCGTTTGATCCAGGGTTGTTGTTTTTTTTGGCCAGGGGCACAGCCATGCTGATTCCCCGCACCCTGGGCTGATGCATCACCTGAGCTGATTAGAGGATAGTTCTGGCCTCCTTCCTAGAGCTGGACAGTTGTTAGTTCGCGGAAGGCTGGAGAGACCTACTGGGACTAAGGTACAAGGGAGGCTTCCACTCCAGGGAAGCAGTGAATTGAAGCCTTGATTTCTAGGGCTTTCTGCTTTCACATATTCTGCTCCACAGGTTCGCGGACACCTGTTAAACTATCTCACGAGTAACAGAAAAAGGAGGAGGCTGTTCATTACTTCCAGTGTCTGAGTTGGAGACTGGAGGAGGGAGCAAGAGGTTGGGCAGCGATAGCCCCAGTCCTAGGTTAGAATCTCAGATAAATGATCAGCTCCTCCCAGATCCGCGCTCAGGTGAGTAGGTGAGAGGACCCGACGCGTTGGGACTGGAGCCTCACTAGTTCACCCCTTCCCCCAACCTATCCTATGTCGGGCTGTCTGATTGTGCAGCGTGGCTGTGTAGTCTCGCTCTATATATATTCCATAGGGTGGGTTCCAGGAGCGGAGAGGTGCCACGTGTGAAAGGAAAGCAGGCATCGATTTCAAAAGCAGGGATGGTGTGGCGGCTTACAAGCGCCTAGGGTAAGAACGTCAGTTGCTCCCATGGGAGGGAGGAAGGGGACGCCAGGTCCTGCAAGAAGTGCTACAGCCATTTGAGCCAACAACCCCCTCCCTCAGCTACTCCACCCGGTGGCTGGCCGGCCCAGCCCCTGAAGCGATCAGGCCACAGCCCCCTGCCTCGTAGCTTCTCCTCCTGGAGCCGCCCTGCCCATCTCCCCATCCGAGGCCCCGCCCACGGACCCGCCTCCGCCCCGCCGACTTCCAGGACTACAAGTCCCATCAGCCCCGAGTCAGGCCTGAGGGCGGGGCCACCGCTGCAGCGAATGGGGAGGAGCTTAGAGCTCAGGCTAGGGAACGCGTGTGCCCAATCGCCGGGCCGCTCGGCCTGTGAGCTGATGGGGGGCGGGGAGGAGCCCGCTTGGGCCGGGGACAAAAGCCGGATCCCGGGCAGCTGCGGGCGGCTGGAGCGATTCAAGGAGTTGGGGTGACCTGGAGCTTGCGGACAGAGAGCCGCACTCGGGCTTTCTCGAAGAGGTGAGTGCCGCAGCCGTGTGCGCGGGCGCGACCCCCAGTCCCCTCGAAGCTTCCTGCTTTCCTCCCCCAACCCGGAACCACCTCCCGGCTCGCAGGCTGGGCTCTCCCGCGCGCTCCCTGCACCTGCTTGGAACTTTTGTGCGGGTCTCAGCGATATGGTAGTCTTGGCCTCGGCCTCGAGCCGCGTGTCTACACCCTCCCAACCCTTTTCTAGTTCCTGGGAGTTTGCACGTTGCCGCCGCCGACCTTCCCTCCTCCAGATTCTTTTCCGCGTCCTGCCTCTCCTCAGCTCCACCCAAGGCCAGCTCTCGAGTCTCCCCGGGCTTTTGGGGGACACTTTTTTGGGCCCCATTCGGGTTGCCTACCGGATACCGGGGCGGGAAGTGGAGAAGGCGGTGGCCGCTCACGAGCCGGACTCAGGCAGGCCCGTCCTGTTAGTTCTGTGGTGAATCCATAAAGCTCTGTGTCGAAGTGGAGGGAGCGGGCCCTGGCCACGCGGGCTGTGTGACCCCAGGGTGCCTGAGGCCTCGCCGCGAGGACTTGGCTCCCTCCGGAGCGGCGGCCCCTGGAGGGCTGTCCCTGCTAAGGAGCTCCCCTCGGGTCCAGCCCGCAGACAACAGATGGTCGGAGTGCCCAGGAGTCTGGACGAACAAGCTCCTGAGGTATATGTGTGCGTGCGCCCGCGCGCGTGTGCAAAAGAGGATGCTATCCTCTCCCCATGTCAGGCCTGGCAGAGGTCCGGTGCCCTGAGCCTGGTGCTTTCTCCAGCCTTGAAGTTACACCATGGGGGGGGGGGGGGTCCTCCTGGCAAGCTTTTGGAAAGGGCTGTAAGAAGATCAGCATTAGGGCACTTTAGCCTGCCAGCCCATTCTGTCTGTCCTGCCTTTAACTTTGCTCAGTATCTCACCCTGTTCAGTTTCTCGGGTTTCTTTAATGTTGAGAGATAACTGCCCCGGAAGGATCATTTCCACCTCTTAGAAAGCTTCTTAAACACCCTGAGGGAACGGTAAAGGGAGACCTTGAAGACAGAATAGCTGCTGGTTTTCATCTCCGTTCAGACACTGTGTCTACTGTAGCAGGGAATTCTGCCCCGTTCCTTTGCAATAGGGTCGTCATCCCACCCCATCCCCCAAACCCTTAAAGTGAGAGTGTTTTGTCGACCTTAAGCAGCATCCTCAGTAGATCCTTTCTGCCACGGCGTCCCAGAGGAGCCTTCTTGGAGAACAGGCTTCATTCATTCACCCTTCCCTGTGGGTTGCTTCTGCTCCAGGGGCCCCTGTGAGTGTATTCAATCCTGGGTCACTCACTGCAGAAAATAGCCCATTCAACTCAAAAGGCCCCTTCCTTGGGGAGAGGGGGAGAGAGAATTTGAGTATGTGTGTGTTTACATATGTTCGTGTAGGGGTGTGGTTTCTCCTGAAGAGTTTGCAGATATTGTTACCCGGTAACAGTTTCCGGGGTCTTGGCTCTGCTGTGAAACCATCCATCACAGCGTCATCAGCTGCTGGGAAAGGCAGCTTAAGTCTTTGGGGTTGGAGGGGGGGTGTTGTGAGGGGGAATCTCCAGTCTGAGATCGGAATATACTTTGTCCCACGTTTGAGTATGTGCATACTTCCCAAAGGGTTTTCAGATTCTGGAAAGCATACGAAACCTCACAGATCCATTGCTCTAAAGAGCAGCGAATCAACAATTGGAATTTCGATGGATCTCCACTGAGGAGGCCTCCCTGGGTGTGTGAGCAGCACTGGTGAGAAGCCAGGCCCTTCCTCCACTTATTCTATGAGTTCTTTGTCTCAGCCTCCCCAGCTGAGCCACAGTGCTCTGGTGGCACATCTTATTTTGGTAAACTGGCAAACCTTTCCTTTCTCATCTCTTGTTTTGTCCTGACCCCACCCACCCCTGGTCTCCTGGAGATGGACTCAGATCTGAGACTGATGGTTTCCTTCAGTTGCCTAAGGTTGGCTCTTTTCTCCCTCCTCTTTCCCTTGGTTGGGTCTTGGGTCTCTCCTGGGAGGTACTAAATTCTGGAGACCACTGTCAGGCTTCTGTCAGTGTCAGACTTCTGGGTAGGCTTGGCGAAGGGGCTTCCTCTCCTGGAGCGTGTGGTTCTGTTTGTTGAAGGTGTACCAATGGCGGAAAGCGGTCAGTACCACCCCCTCCTCTTGCTGCCTAATGTGCCCTGGGCTGCACTCTGTTTGGGAGGGGGGTAGGGGTGTGCCCATTCGATTTCAGGACCAGTTTTTCTGGTCTGAGTCAAGAAGGTTGGGAAATGGTACTGGAGTGGGTGGGGGTGGAGAACTCTGGGGCAGCGGGCTAGTTGGGGCATCTCCTTCAGCGACACATTGAGAAGCCATCCCAGGAGAAGCACCGCACTAGGAAGGTCTCTGAGCCCCTTTCCAGTTACCCACTTGGGGCCAGGTCTCAAGCTGATATGCCCATGTGGTGAGATAGAGACAGAGGGAGGCAGCCTGGCCCTGATTAGCACCCCGAAGCCTCTCTTGCATGGCCCGTTGGCAGGGGGGTTCCGTGTGGCCCTGTGACAGAGCCTTCCCTGGGCTAGGAAAGGAGACTAACATTCCTGGATGTGTCAGCCAGTCAGCTCCTTAGCTCACCCTCCTTGTGTGTACTTACTTGACTTTTCTCTGCCCAGCAAATTCAGCGCTTCCATTCTGCCCCTCTGGGAGAGACGGGCAGCCTGTCTTCCTCCACTTGGCATGCATGACTGGGTTTCCTTTCTCCATCTCTTCTCACTGTTCTCCACAAGCTGCTCTGGGGGAGAGTAGGTGTGTCTGGCAAGGTAGTAGACAGGAAGGATGAGCAAATTCTTATCGTAGGCTCTCCCGCATTGAAGGGGGCCCGTCTTGGGAGAAATGTCTCTCTTTAGGCTGCAGTGGCTGTTTCTGGAGACTCAGGGTGTAGAGTGTTAGGGCTCAAGTCCTGCTGGTGAGTCAGGTTTCTTGGACAAGTTGAACCGCTCCCTCTTTGATTCCTCATCTGAGAAAAGGGATTCTGAGTCTGAGTGAACTTGATGTATGTGCTCACATGAGATGAGTTATTTCTTGCAGTGCTGGGGAGCAAACCCCGGGGTCTTACACGTGGGAGGCAAGCACTCTGCCACTGAGCTGTGCTCTCAGCCCCTAAGATGAGTTTCTCTACACATGTCACATCACCGAAGATAGCTGCTGCCTTCTCCCAAGTTCTGGCTCAGTTAAGGAATGCTGAGTACAGGGTGGTCCCCAGAGAGGCCTCTGTTTTGCTTAGTGAGTTTTGCTCAAAGTTAACTGCTAAGCTGACTCAGTGGGGTGGGTGGGATGATCTGTAGGTCATAGTTCCCTGCCCTGTGACTGTTATGTATGTACTTTGAGGTGGGAATCTAGTGTCCTAGGAGAAAAGAGCTTTGAGGTAACGTTCTCCTTCCTCCCACCCCACCAGGGCCTCTAGTCTGTTGGGGGGGTGTGTGTGCGCGTGAGTCATGCTGGGAGGGGGATGAAACCTGGGGAGAAAATAAGGCCAGCCTGTGCAATTCCAGCGATGTTCTTCACAAGTCAGAGGACATACAGAGTAGTTCAGTGTGTGTGTGCCCGCCTCAGAGAGCAGCATTCACGTTTGGATCAAACCCTTGGTGTTCCTGGCTTCCCCTTTGATCTGCCTTTGCTCAGGGCTGAATGTGGTTGTGGCCAGCTAGTTTGCCCAGAGGGAGTAGAGACAAGGTTAAGGTCAAGCTAAGAGTTCCAGAGGAATTGCACATTTTTTCTGTTCCCCTGCCTCCCTTCCTCCCTCCCTTCATCCCTCCCTCTCCCCCTCTCTTCTCTCTCCTCTTCCTCTCTCCCTTTCTCTTTTTGAGACAATATTTCATATGACCCAGGCTAGCCTTGAACTTCTGATCCTTCTCTCACTACCTCCCAGGTGATAGGATGATGGGAATACACTACCATGTCTGGTGCCGCCTTCCTAATTTTCTATAATTTCTTCACCTCTAGGTCTAGATCTGTGTCTCTGCCGGTGAAGCTACTTCGTTTTATCTTCCGTCCCCTCCTGCTCAGGCAGCCCTTTTTCTTTCTTTTGGGAAAAGCCAAGATCTAGTTTTATTGTTTGGGGGCAGCTGGGAATAGATCCAGTCTGCTGGGAAAGATAGCGCATCGACCTTCCTGTCCCAACTGACCAGTTCCTCCTACACTCACAGGTAAACCAGGTCCCTCTGCAGCCATGTCAGCCAAGGCAATTTCCGAGCAGACCGGCAAAGAACTCCTTTACAAGTACATCTGTACCACCTCAGCCATCCAGAACCGGTTCAAGTATGCCCGCGTTACCCCTGACACAGACTGGGCACGTCTGCTGCAGGACCACCCCTGGCTGCTCAGCCAGGTGAGTTTTGCCTGCATCCTAGGCCCTTCTTTCCAACCTAGGTTCCGAGGTGGAGAAAGCATTTGATTTGTTAGAGTTGTCCCAAGGAGTTACATGATTGCAGATTTGCCTGTGTGTCTGCAGCTGACTGAGCAGGGTCTTGAGAGTTTGCTCTGGGCCCTTCATATGGACTTGGAACCAGACAGACTGGTATCTAAATCACACTTCTCTGTTTATGAACCATGTGGCCTGGGGCAAACCATTTCATTTCTCTTGAGTGAGGTTCCCCATCTGTCAAATATGAATAGCACTGTATGAGCTATAAGGATTAGCAAGAATATCCAGGAAGCGTTTAGTGTGTTGTGTAGCAGTTGATAGATGCTCAGTTTAAAAAAAAAAAAAAATAGGTGTATACCTTACTTCCCCAAAGTGGAGCATCTCAGGACAATTAAGAAGTGCGACCTTAGCTGGGCAGTGGTGGCGCAGGCCTTTAATCCCAGCCCTTGGGAGGCAGAGGCAGGCAGATCTCTGTGAGTGCAAGGTCAGCCTGGTCTACAGAGCAAGTCTGGGACAGCCAGAGCTGTTACACAGAGAAACCCTGTCTCGAAAAACAAAAAACAAACAAACAAACAAAAAGAAGTAGGGTCTTAAAGCTAGAGAGATGGATGGCTCAGCGATTAAGATCCAGGGCTCTTCTGGTGGAGGACCTGGGTTTGGTTCCCAGCATCCACATGGCAGCTCAGAACTATCTGTAACTCCAGTTCCAGGTGATCTGATGTCCTCTTCTGCATACATGCAGGCAAAGCACTCATACACATAAAAATAAATAAAGAAGTGGGACCTCATACTTTGTGGAAATGGCTGATGCCTGACCATGGAGAGGATCAGCCTGGACTACCGTAGCCATATTTGCCTGGCTTTGGGAAGCCCTTTGGCTTCTCTGGCAGGCCTAGACAAGGCCTTATGCTGTTTTGTTTTCCCCTTTCTGAAGCAGTTGGGAAGGCAGTGGATTTCCTGGTCCTGGAGCGAGGGACTGCTTGCTTGGCCTGTTGTGGTTAGGGTTTAAACATAGGGATGGGGTTGGTCAGATTGTCTGTGAAGATCCTTTGTCATCCTAAGGATCTGTCCTGTGTCTTTTAGAACATGAGGCTGGTCCGTGTTCTAAATGTGGTTGAATGAAGCAGCTAGTACCTCACATGGAGAAAGTAGGAGATCACTCATTGAGCAGGCGCTCACTGAGCATCTACTCTGTGCCAGGCTCATCCTGGTTGTCTCCTGGTGGTCAAAAGATTTGCCTGGGGTAGGTGAGGAAAAGCTCCAGGACAGGAACGTGGTCCTGATGGATGAGTACGTGGCAGCAGGGGGATGAAAAGCCATACAGCTTCACTTCCTGTACTACCTCTTCCTTCCTCACTCTAAGTTCCAACCTTCTTCATTCCAGAGCTTGGTAGTCAAGCCAGACCAGCTGATCAAACGTCGAGGAAAGCTTGGCCTAGTCGGGGTCAACCTCACTGTGGATGGAGTCAAATCCTGGCTGAAACCCCGACTGGGACACGAGGCCACGGTGAGTCTGGGTGGAGGGGATCAGGGTGGTGACAAAGGACACGGTAACCTCCAGCTCCACCAGTCCTGTGGCTCACAGCCCAGCCAGTCACAGAGCAATGGAGAAGGATGGAGTGTGGGCCTGCCCTGGCTGCAGCCCAGTCGTGGTGGTCATTCCCAGCTCCCTCATCAGGAAATCAAGCCATTGATACTGCTTCAGATAGCATATTCTACAGTTGTAACCCCAGAACAATTAGGGAGCCAGCTACTGTGACCACCAACGTGGAGGAAGGACTCAGGCTCATTCTGGGAACTGCTTGCTCTCCAGTTTCCAATAAAATTGTGGGAGTCTAGGATGACACGATTACAAAGAGGGAGGATTAAAACGAGATGAAAGGGGGAGCTGCAGAGTTATTGGGCAGGAGAGATATGTTGGGTGGAGAACCATGGATGAAGACAGTTATGAATGCTGAGGAGGAAGGTCAGTTCTCCCAGCTCAGGGATTACCGTCAGCTATGAGGATGAGAGCTGGAATGAAATGTGGCTGATTCAACTGTTTCTTCTCCTCAGTCTCCAAGGGAGAGGGGTGGGGGGAGCGGTCTGAAGCTTGGCTTAGCCTGGGAAGGATGTGTGTCTGAATCTGCTTGGCACAATATTCTGCAGACTGGTGTCCCTTGGGATAGGCACAGGTCAGGGACGAGGTGTCCTTTTCTTTGGCTACCCCGGGGAGGTGGCATCAGAGACACCTTCCTCCATGTTGGGCTTCCTCACGGCAGCTCTCACTGTTGGTTACCTACTCTCTGGATCTTTGAAGCTGCTCATGGGTGCAGGGGTACAGGGAGCTGACCTTTGAGTTTCCAGGCCCCTGTGGAGAGTGTGGTGGGGCTGGGTACTGAACAGTGTCCCCAGGGAGCACATCATGCTCCATTCCTAGCAGGCTGAAGAGAGGGAGATGTCATGGACATCTGAGCTGGCAGCAGTGTCGGACCTGGCTGGAGCGGCTCATTACCTCTGATGGATCACTGTCTGGTCCTGACTCAGCAGTGACGCACAGGCGGGCAGGCGGGGGGTTCAGGGGATGAGGGCTGTCTCGCCTCTGCTGCCGCCAGGGACCCACTCAAGCTGATTAGCTCTGCAGGCCTGTTGTCTTCAGCCAGGAAACACAGGAGGGAAAGTTTTCCCTAATCAGCCCCTGGCCTCTCCTCTCTCCTGCCCCTCAGGCCTGGACTCATGTCCTTAGGCTGGGTCACTGTGTCTACTTCAGGGCAAAATAGTGTGCCCTCACGACCATACCCAAGTTCCCATCTCTATGCTAGACTGCTTGAGCCGGTGAGATTGATCAGTGGGTAAGGCTTGCCGCCAGGCCTGATTGATGACCTGTGTTTGATTCTTGGGATCCACATGGTAGAGGGAGATCTGAATTATCCACAGATCTCCACATGCTTGACATGGCATGCACACATCCCTGCCCCCCCCCCCCCAAGTGTAAGTACAAGTGAAAATGTAAAGAGAAAATCTCCTGAGAGCTTCTTACATTCGTCTGTGACCCCATTGTCCTGACTTCTGGAGAAATCTCTTTGCTACATGTGGTGGTAGTGCTCGGGCCTTACCTTTGTGAAGAATACGCCATGCGTCTGAGCTGCGTCTCCTTCAATTTCTCCGTAGGTCGGCAAAGCCAGAGGCCTCCTCAAGAACTTCCTGATTGAACCCTTTGTCCCCCACAGTCAGGTATGTGAGGCAGGGCCACGCTGGATCTTCTCCCCCTCGGCTTTGTGACTGTCCTTCTGAAGTGATGAAAGGAGAGAGGGAGGTGCTGAGGGGAGCAGCCAAGGGGACCAGGGTCTCCAGAGCTCCGGCAGAGGCCTGGAGGAAATCATGAGTAAGGAATCCAGGATGAAGGAAAGGCTTAGTTTGCAGCAAAATGGAGCGAGAGCAGGTAACAGAGGGGACTTCCTAGTGTTGGGATGAGAAGGACCTAAAGGCAGAAGCTCTCAAGATGCACCACTCTGACTTAGCTAAGGAGGTGGGGCCTTGTCTTTCCTTGTCCCTTAGCAGAAGGGGGCACTTCGTGTCAGGGTTTAGAAATGAGCCTACTCCTGGGGTGAGGCCTTCTAACCCTGCCATTGAGCGCCCTCACCACCTTCATGCTGTCTCTCCTCGCAAGGCGGAGGAGTTCTATGTGTGCATCTATGCTACTCGGGAAGGAGACTACGTCCTGTTCCACCATGAAGGGGGTGTGGATGTGGGCGACGTGGACGCCAAAGCCCAGAAGCTGCTTGTGGGTGTGGATGAGAAGCTGAACACTGAGGACATTAAGAGACACCTGTTGGTCCATGCCCCTGAAGACAAGAAAGAGTTGAGTTCTGAGAGGGCTGGTGTGGCCATGACTGGGGATGAGAAGTCCAGTATGACACAGGAGATTAATGCCCTGAGCTCTGGGTACAGGAGAGAGAAAGTAGAGTGAGTCTCCCTGCTTGGGAGCAGGTGGTGGGTATGGCTGTGTCCTGAGGAAGGGAGCCACGTGTTCCGCGAGGGTGCTGGCTTGGAATCAGTCTGCAGTATGCCAGCCTCGTCCCTCACCTCCTTGCCCCTGTCTGTCTGGCGCCTCCTCCAGCTCCGAGCTTGACAGCTTCTTTCCGCCTCAGGGTTTGACGAGTGACATCCAAGGGAGCAGGGCTGGCAGAGGACAGCGGAGGCTGAGGGGTCAGGAGTGGAGAAGTGGGGCTGGGCTGTCAGTGACAGTGAGGTTGCTGTAGGGAAGGGGGTGGGAATGGAGTCCTGCACTGACAGACTAACTGGTCCTCTTTCCCTCTCCCTTCTAGAGTCCTGGCCAGCTTCATCTCTGGCCTGTTCAATTTCTACGAGGATCTGTACTTTACCTACCTTGAGATCAACCCTCTTGGTAAAAAGCTTTGTTTGCTGGGTTGGAATGGTGATGGGCCCCCATGTCTACAGTAACCCTGGCTTTGGCATTCAGGGACCCTGGGCTCTCGTACCAGAGTACAAAGCTTCTGTGGGTATCCAGGGCGTCCCCATAAGGAGCGGTCTCCAGTGCCACCTCCTGTTTCTGAGCACCCAGACTGTAATTTATTCATCTTAACCAGCTCCAACTCCTTTCTTTGGCTTTCATTTGGCCTGCTCCGGGGAAGTCCTGGCTTTGGTCTGTCTGTTAGGTTGTTATTCCTGTCTGCAGGTTAGGCATCCCAGGCTCTGGCCTGATCCTCCCCATACCCTTGGAGGCCTCACTATCCCTTCCTCTCAGGGAGTCGGTCAATCATTTACTACCCCTAACACCAAGAGGAGCTGGCTACAGGCTCTCAAGCTGTGAAGGAGGCAGATAGCCTGGCAGATTCTGGCTAGGCCTCTCGGGGCAGAGTCCAAGAAGAGGGAAATGACCAGATTCCAGCTGAGGATGCAGCCCCTCTAGTGGGCCAGATGGCTGTGTGCTAACTTAATTAGCTAAATGGCCTGAGAAGAAATATGGATGCTTAGTGAGGCATTGCAGCTGAATATGCTGGCCTGGAGCCCAGAGCACTCTGGGGTACTTTGCACCAAACACTGAGACATCCCTAGCTGGACCACAGCAGCCCCAGATGTACACCCCTAGGGCTTCTGACAGTGGTGCCTGAAGTGTGTGGGTGTGTGGGAGCAGCCGTGGTACATCAGTTTGAACCTAAGACCTAGACCAACAGAGTTTTTTGTTGTTGTTTTGAATGGTGGGTCTTTTGTTGTTGTTTTGATGTAGGGTCTAGTCTAGTCCACACTAGCTTCAAACTCACCATATAGCTGAGGATGACCTTGAATGTTTCTCCTGTGCTCTCATACCTTCTTCAACAGTTTCTATTATTTATTTAAATTTATTTTAAACATTAAAAAAAATTATTTGTGTATATGTATGTGCGTCTTTGTATGCCATGTGTGCCTTGGGTGACCAGAAAGAGTGTGTCTGATGGCTGAAGTTACGAGCACTTGTGAGCTGCCCCACATGGATTCTTGGACTTGAACTCATGTCCTCTAGAAGAGCAGCAAGCTCTCTTAACTGCCGACCCACTGATCCTTCTCACCAACCCTTTATTTCTTAATGTATTATTTGGTGTAAGGGATTGAACCTAGGGCCTCTCTCATGTTCTGCCAACTCTAGAAAACAGGTTTTGTTTGTTTCATTTTGCTTAATGGCAGGGCTATGGGTAGGCCAATGCTTCAATACTTGAAGCAGGGAGAATGGCATTTTAGGAAGATGTCGAAAACTTGCTATGGCAGCTAATAGGTCTCCTTTGACCTGTTACCTGAAGGTCAGTGAATCGGGAATGTTCATGTTCTGAGAGTCTTCACAAGGGCCATTCTGATTTAAGGTTGTTAGGTGTGTGTGAGAGTGTGTGGGCTGCACCTGGTGATGTCTGAAGGGATGGTTCAGAGGCTGATGGTTGCCTCACCTTAAAGTTGGTGTGTGACTACTTTGACTTTTCTCCTAGTGGTGACCAAAGATGGTGTCTACATCCTTGACTTGGCAGCCAAGGTGGATGCCACGGCTGACTACATCTGCAAAGTGAAATGGGGTGATATAGAGTTCCCTCCCCCTTTTGGGCGCGAGGCATATCCAGAGGTAAGGCAGGTCTGGGGAGGAGATGGAGGGTGATGGGCCTAGGAGACAGCGTGACTAATCCTAGACAATCATTTGGTCCCCATCTTGGCTGTATTTGGCAGGAAAAGAAAAATAGAGAACCATTTAATTTTCTTAAAATCCCAGTGAGGTTGGGGGTCGGAATGGGACTCAGCCAAGACTCTGAATCCTGGCCAGAAATCCTTTTAGACATCACTCTCAATCAGCCTCTCGGGCTCTTCTCTTGATTTGTTGCTTCTTGATCATTCCAAGTGGCTCTCCCAGCCCCGACGGGAAGGTTCTTCTCTTGGCCACTAGCTGAGAATTTTAATTGCTGCTCCCCACCCCATCCTTTGAGTAGTCCTCCCAGCAGGATCAGGCCTTCTGTGAAGTCATCCAGCCGGGCTGGAGGGAGGAAGAGGCCTGGGGAGTGGACAAGGATGTGGGATGAGCTAAGGGTAGGAGCTGATGTGGAGAGTGAGAAGCAGCAGGACATGGTGGGGTCTGGACTTGAAGTCAGGGGATGGAGCTGAGAAATTTGTTTCCCAGATGGAGGTGGTTTTAGTATTTTGAAGATATTGTCCATTTTCAAGATATTGTCAGATACTGTCAATAAAGATTCTGTCCCAGGCCCGGGGCCTTGCAGTTCCCCATTCCCTGCCCCACTACAGTGATTGACTAACTCTTCAGTGTGCCTTCAGATAGCCAGCTGTGGCCTTTGGATTTGGGAGCTGTGAAAGGGGTGCTCACAAGGCCCACCTGTGGTTGTCTGTTCCCCAGGAGGCCTACATTGCAGACCTGGATGCCAAAAGCGGGGCAAGCTTGAAGCTGACCTTGCTGAACCCCAAGGGGCGGATCTGGACCATGGTTGCTGGGGGTGGCGCCTCGGTCGTGTACAGGTGACAAGGAGGGGTGCCCACCAGGTCCACCCACCCAGTGCCCATCTGTGGATTGCCTGGAGCCCCTAGTTTTTCACCTGCCTGTGGTCCATGAACTTACTGAGCAGATGGAAGCAGTGTCACCCCTGAATTTCAAGCGGCTCTGGGCCGCCCGCCCTGTACATGGTGTCTTCTGCAACCTTACTTCATTGAGAATGATTTCATTTTATGGTTTTGGTTCTTGTAATTGATGATGTGTGCCTCATAGAAAAGTAACAACAACAAAAGGTGCACTGGAAAGTAGAAGCTGCTCACTCCTTCCTCACAGGGTCACCCCCGAGAACACCTTACTCTGCTCTCCTTGGGCGTTTTGGTGCCTAGATAAACATTTGCCCTTTGTCGCTTTATAGAAATATTGGGACCACGTTTTACTCCCTTTCGAACAACTGGCAGTTGTTTTTTCCTCCGGAATTACGGCAAATGTATGATCTGCCACAGCCCTCCTGCTGCTCTGGCTAGAGCAGTTTGCTCCTGGAGGACTTGTGCAGTGTGCTAGTTCTTGTATCTTTGGGCCATGTCAGGCAGCTGCTTATTGTTCATTTTACTCATGCTGTCTGCCCAAAACCTTGGTGCCCTGAGGTTGGCAAAATGCTCTGCCTGGGAGAGTCTCATGGCACATTGACCTTCAAGTGAGGCTTGCATGGGGATTGAAGGTTATAGGTCGGGGAGGCCAGTTCTGCAGGGTGACTTCCATAATTGTGGGAATGATGGACAGCTCTGTACAGGTTTGACTCCTCTGCCCTGAGCAAGCGCTGAGTTCTATGTCTCTCTGGCAGTGATACCATCTGTGATCTTGGAGGTGTCAATGAGCTGGCGAATTACGGGGAGTACTCTGGTGCTCCCAGTGAACAACAGACCTATGATTATGCCAAGACCATCCTCTCACTTATGACTCGAGAGAAGCACCCAGATGGTGAGGCACCTGCATGAGTGCATGGGGGTGTACACACACCTTCTGGGGTGGCACAGTGTGTGGAACAGATTGGTGCTAGGAATCACTAAGGCCATCGTCCTGTCCTTTGCAACTGGGGACTAGGCATTTAATTTCGGGGGGGTCTCTGTTTTTTGTACTTCTAGTGGACACTGGCAACATCAGTCAGAGGTGTTCATGTTAGGCAAGGAAAGCGTGTGAAATTCACTGGAGGAGGAAAGGCTGCAGCATGCTTTTGCTGGGATGAATATAAACTTGCAGCTTAGTGATGTCTTCCAGCTTCCCAGGCTTTGTGACTCCCAGTGTCCCTATCCCACCTTCCCAGTTTTAGGGCTCTATATACCAGTTCCCCTTGAGAGACAGAGAGGAAAAAAGTGAGATTCCCACCAGAGATATCAACACCAAGCTGGACTTCTGGGTAGCAGCAGAAGTAAGACAGAGACAGTGGGGTTTGCGTGCTGGGTAACGGGGTAGTGGAGAGCTGAGCTGAGGAAGCTGAGTGGGTGTCTGGGGAGGCGGTCCTGCTCGCTCCCTGTTATCTCCTTCCACTGAGGGCATCTTTGCCCAGAGGACCAGAATGTCCTCAGATGAATTCATTCCTGGGGCCAAGCTCAAGTCTTTTCTCTCTCTAACTTTGACTTTGTTTTTACTCCCAACCTAGGCAAGATCCTCATCATTGGAGGCAGCATCGCAAACTTCACCAATGTGGCTGCTACCTTCAAGGTAACTAGCTGTGAGCAGTGGTAACTGCAGTTTCTGGGGGAAATGGGCTTGGGGATAGCAAAATTTGACCCTGAGGCAAGTTCCTGTGCATTGCCTTAGTCTGGTTAAGGGTTTGTGACTTGGGGTCTGTCTGTGTCTTTTTTGGTATTGGAGATTGAACCCTGTCTAGACAGGAGATGTGGATCCGAAGCTGTGCGTCTCGGCAGGTAGCACTCACTGTAGCAGAGGGGGCAGTTGAAGGCTTGCTCTCTTCTCTCAGAACCAGTTCTCCGAGGCTGGGCATGATTGTCCTCATTCTCAGCACTGATTCGCTGGGTTCTCTGCAGGTGTGGGTCTCAGTCACCAGTCCCTGCTCCAAAATGTCGAGATGAGGACAGCTTCTGATGACCTCATCCAGCCAGAGTCCTCTGGGTCTGTGTCCCTGTGCATGGCCATGAGTCAGGACCTTGGGAACATGCTTTTTAAAAAAACATGACTCCAGTCCACAAAGATGAAAGAGCTAATATTTCCCGGGTGTCACCCTTTCAGGCAAGCTTCTTAGAGGACTGTTCATTATTTCATGTCATGGTGCTCACTGCGGCTTTTCAGAAACATGCCACATGTGGTCATCCCATCCATGTATTGAGAATAATAGTGTCCACCTTGAAAGTCTGAGCTCGGGGGCTGGAGAAATGGCTCAGCAGTTAAGAACACTGACTGCTCTTCCAGAGGACCAGGGTTCAATTCCCAGCACCCACATGGCAGCTCACAACTGTCTGTAACTCCATTTCCAGGGAACCCAACACCCTCACACAGACATATATAGGCAAAACACCAATGCACATAAAATGAAAATAAATAAAGTTAAAAAAGAAAGAAAGAAAATCTGAGCTCTAGAAAAGTGAAGGACCATGGCTCATCAGGTCTGCCTTCAACAGGGTCTCCTAATAAGGCCTGATTTGTTGAAGCAGGTTTATATCTGCAGCTTTAACTTGGGAGTGTCCTGAAGTGCAGATAGCATCCTTTTCGAGGGCATGGTTAGGCATCCAACAGGAATTGTGTAACATCCTGTGACATGCTTTTGGTGATAGAAGCTAGGCTTCAAGTCAGCATTCTGTTTGGAGAAGTACAGCCTCATTTTCCAGACTGATTGGATATCATTGTAAGAGCTGTTCCCTAAATCACTTAGGTGACTTCTGACATTAAGGAAGACCATGTCTTCCTAACTGAGAAGCCTTGCATAGGCCCCCAACATAGACCCCACCTCCCACCCCAGTTACAGTAAGGGGTAAGAATGACTGCAGCCAGAACAAGAGAGACCTGGAAGCACTGTTGTTGGCAGTTGAGTGTGCCAGAATCTTGAAGGGTATGGCCTTGGCTACTTCATGGCCATTCCTCAACACGAGTGGCCCCACATTGGGCCTGCAGTTTTGCAGTTCACTCAGCTTGTGTGTATAAACCTCTGTAACCCTTGACCTCTAGGGCCTGTGTGAGAAGTGGCCCTTTTCATGTACACCTGTACATTTGTTTATCCTGGTTATAAACTGTGGCTGCTGTGTTTTAATCATATGTCTCTGTTGTCCTTTTGTCTTTCTTTAGGGCATTGTGAGAGCAATTCGAGATTACCAGGGTCCCCTGAAGGAGCATGAGGTCACAATCTTTGTCCGAAGAGGTGGCCCTAACTATCAAGAGGGATTACGAGTGATGGGAGAAGTTGGTAAGATGGGGAAGCTTTCCTTCTTTTTTCAAGACAGAGTTTTGCTGTGTAGCCCAAGCTGTTGTGGAACTTGTTCTGTAGCCCAGACTGGCCTCAAACTCACAGAGATCTGTCTTCATCTCTCTCTTGAGTGCTGGAATGAAAGCTATTCATCATGTTCATCACCACTTAGACCACCCCCCCTACCCCCTCCCCTGTTTTGTTTTTTAAAGATTATTTTATATGTATGAGTGTTTTGCCTGCATGTATATATGTGTACTGTATGTAGTGCCTGGTCCCCACAGATACCAGAAGGGCATAGGATCCTCTGCAACTGCCGTTAAAGATGGTGTGAGCCACCCTGTGGGTGCTGGGAATTGAGTCCTCTGCAAGAGCAACAAGTGCTTTTAACTGCTGAGCCATCTCTCCAGCATTTAGCATTCTCTCCCTTCTGTCTGGAAAGTCCGTGGCATGTCTCCTTGACTGTCCTGGAAAAGGCTCTTTGAATTCTTCCCTCCTCTGCCACGCCCTAGTGGAGGTCTGCAAATTGAGAGTGACTGGACTCTACATCTAACAAATGCAGAATGTCTGCTGTGTGTCTAGTAGTGTGCTGGACACTAGAGCTTTAACTTGACTGTAATGTCAGGTCATGCTAAATGCCATGAAGTAATTAAAGGGGACAGGTGACTAGAAAGGAAACATTGTAGTAAAGACCCAGAGCAGGGGAGTGCAGCTTAGGGATGATCTCTGCAGAGGAAAGGACATCCTCTAAGGCTCTACGATGGAGAGAGACAGAGACAGAGACACATGGACGGAGGGTGTGTGTGTGTGTGTGGGATGAGACCAGAGGGAGGGAGGGATGTAGACTGGGGTCAAGAGGGAGGAGGTGGGGCTGTACAGGTCCTGTACAGACATGGCTGTGACCCTGACTTGGGAGTCCATACTGCATTTGAGCAGAGGAGCAGCATGGTTTGACTTAGGTGTGACAGAGTGATTGGCTCCTAGGTAAAGAGAAGGTAGACAGTGGCCAGAGCAGAAGCAGGCCACCTAGGAGATTGCGGAAGCATTTTAGAAAAGTAGTTCTTTTCATGTGAAGTTCCAGAAAGTGACAAATAGAAGTCATTCTTGGGTTTTTTTTTGGGTTTGTTTTTTTTTTTGGTTTTTCAAGACAGAGTTTCTTTGTGTAGTTTTGGTGCCTGTCCTGAATCTCTCTCCGTAGACCAGGTTGGCCTGGAACTCACAGAGATCCACCTGCCTCTGCCTCCCAAATGCTGGGATTAAAGGCGTGTACCACCACCCGGCTAGAAGACATTCTTGTCAATGGGCTTGATGTCTTATTGGAAAAGGCCAGACCTTTCCATCTTGCATTTTCCAAAATTCAGTATCCATGGCAAACTCCCCACTCTCACCAATCACCTAAAGTGGTACCAAGTGCTTGTTTCCATCTGTTCATCTAAAGTGAAGAAAATGCCTGGTATGGTGGCTCACACCTTTAATCCCAGAACTCGGGAGGCAGAGGTAGGCAAATCTCTGAGTTGAGGCCAGCCTGGTCTACATATAAGTTCCAGGCCAGTAGAGCCACATAGTAAGACTATTTCAAAGAACAAAATGTGAAGGAGATTTGGGGGGCAGGGTCGTGTGGGGGGTGTGCCCCCAAGGCTAGGGAGGTTAGCAGCTGGCACTTGTGTTGAGCTCAGTGATGGGGAGCAGCAGGTGAGGATGCCAGCTCTGTGTCGGAGAAGCAAGGTCAGTGCCTCCAGGGAGCCAGCTGAGGGTATTTAGAAACAGAGACCAGACCAGCAAGGCAGGCATGGTGGCAGGCACAGTTGAAGAGTGGAGGAGTGTGGAGAGCCAGGACCCAGGTGATCAGAGGTGCGTGCTAATCCACTTCTGACACCTGGCTGCCAGTGGCGCTGCTGCTTCCTCTCCTTGTCAACAGGTGATCTTTCCAAAGACTGTTTTGGTGGTGAAATTTTGGACAGCTGATTTGTCTGGATAGTCAGTCTTGCCCTCACAGTGCCAGGCATTGAGCAAGACTGTCAAGGGGCCTCTGTAGAGTCCTGTGGACTAGGCACTTACTCCAGATCTTGAATCATGAGCCTTTTCCTTCTCTCACAGGGAAGACCACTGGAATCCCCATCCATGTCTTTGGCACAGAAACTCACATGACGGCCATTGTGGGCATGGCCCTGGGCCACCGGCCCATCCCCAACCAGCCACCCACAGCAGCTCACACTGCCAACTTCCTCCTTAATGCCAGTGGGAGCACATCGGTAGGTGCTAGCTTTCCTTCCACCTTAAAGGACGGAGTCACTTGCCTCTATCCCCCACTGCTCTACACAGGACACACTGTTCCTCTTCTAGCGTTTAGGGGTCTAGGAGGATACTGAGGATGTTGGTATATGGTTAATGCTCCAGTCAAGGTAAAGTAATGGAAAGACTAAAGGTTTTTAAATCAAACGTGAGTTCAGATCCTGACTGTCCTTGAAGAGAGTGGGACTTTAAGAGGTGCCTTAGCCTCTTAGGACCTCTGTTGGCTCATCTGTGACATGGAACAAAATCAATTCCCATTTTGGCACTGTTAGAATAGTACTTTCCAAGTGCAGTTTATGAGCCAGGTTTAGTGCACAGCTATACTGGGGCAGGAGAATTGCTGTGGGTTCCATGCTAGCCTGGTCTATACATAGTGAGACTGTCTTAAACAATGCTGTATGTAATTCTTGTTACTTCACTTCTTTGGGGCATTCAGGACCAGTGGCTCTTGTCCTCAGCCACTACTTATGACACTTAACCTCTGTTCTCTCCTTGCATTACTCGAGACTCCAGCACCCAGCCGGACAGCATCTTTTTCTGAATCCAGGGCTGATGAAGTGGCGCCTGCAAAGAAAGCCAAACCAGCCATGCCCCAAGGTAACGCCCAGATGTTTAGCACAGTGCACGAAGAGGCCTGTGGTGTCCTCCCTGTCTCTCCCTGTTGGGGGCCTGCCTGGAAGAGGCAGCAGGGAAGCAGTCGGAGCTGGGCTGGGGGAGTGGGCCTCAGCAGGAGATAGCAGTGGCTCTCGTGAGGATGAAGTGACTTGAGGCTTCCCTGTGGGTTCTGGAGCTGAGGCTCCACATTGCCTGGATCATCTCCCTCCCTCTCATCTTCTACCCCTCTTTCTGGGGCTGTGAACTGAACTGGGAAGCTGTGGAGGAGACAGGAGGGTTTCAGCAGAACCAGGAGGAGGAATGCTCTCCCAGACTCTAAATGGAAGGCAGTCATCTGTCTTCCCGCACCAGCTAGGGCTCTCACTACACTGCTCTCTGTGCGCCTGTCTGCTAGCCCTTGCACACATCCCCTAGTTCATCTCCATCCCAGGGACGAGCTGACCTGCCAGCACTCACACTAGCAGCAGATGAGTGGCACTGGCTTCTCCTGGCTGATGGAGCCTTGCAGCCTCTTTGTCATATAGTCAGGCTGGACTAAGACATCTTAGAAATAATGACAGTAGCTCTGGGGCTCCAAGATCAGAAGTCGCTGCTCTGCATCTCCAAGGTGTCAGCTTTGTCCATAGTGGAGAGTGATGGGTCCAGCTGGTTTAATCACTGTACAGTGCTGCATGGGGAAAGAGGCATTGGCATTAATAAGAGGGTGTGACCTAGCCAGCCTAGAGTCCAGGTGGAAGTGTGTCACCCAGAGGGCCTGGAGGAGGCTTCAGTGTTCAGGGCACTTGCCTAGCCTTCCTCCTCCTGCCCTCTCTCTGCACCCCAATTCTTTGTCTTGCTAGTTTCTGTTCTGCCCACTGGTGCTTTTGCCTCTCTTGTTGGTTCTATTGCTGCTGTTCCCTGTGAAATAGCCAGTGACAGCACCAGAAGGCCTGTCTGTGGCCCTGTTTCTGCGCTCTCCCACCAAAGCCTCCCACCAGCGGTTCACTCAGTGTCCTTGGTCATTTTCTTTAACAGATTCAGTCCCAAGTCCAAGATCCCTGCAAGGTAGGATGCCCCACCCCGCCCCGCCCGCCCCGCCCCACCCCAGCTCTGCGTGTGGCTTTGTTAGTGGGTTCCATTTTCTCTGTGTGCTTTGTTTCTTCCTTCCCTGGTGGGTTGCAGTGTTGTGCAGTATATTTTCTGTCCCCACCTTGGTGTGGTCTGCCCCCTAAGTCCTAGTCTTTGCTCTTTGTCCCTTCCTTGTCCTACTTAGTACTTACTTGCCCCAGCACAGCACTCTCTTCACTGTGTGGCTGTCTCTGGCTCCTTACCTTGGAGGGAGGTGGAGACAGAAGGAGCAAGAGCCAGCCCACAGTGTAGATTTCTCCCAGGTTTTGGTAGAAGAGCAAAGATGTGAAGAGGGAAACCAGGAAGATCCGGTGGTGTCTGTCTCTAAAACAGGTCATTATAAGGACCTGAAGGGATCTGAGGTCACAGTTTACAGTGGTTGTTTTCAGTGCCTACACTTACTCATGTGCACGCACACACACACACACACACACACACACACACACACACACACACATCTGCCCATTGATAAGCAAGTAGATTACTCAGTACCAGCATCAGGACTTCCTTATGACTTTTTTCAAATCTTGGAATCAAACTCGGAGCCTCCTTCCATGCTGAGCTCCATCAAGCCCCTCCATGTGACTGACATTCACGGCAATGAAAGCAAGAGCTTTCATTGATGACTTTGATCCCTAGTGTGGATAGCAATATCTGAACAATGACAATGGTTGCACCCCTTTACCTATCAGCTTTTTTTTTTTTTTTTTTAAGATTTATTTTTAATTTTAACTTGTGTGTGTGTTGGGGTATGGAGCTGTTCATGTGAGTGCAGGTACCCTCAGAGACCCGAAGAGGGTGTTGGATCCCTGGGAGCTGCAGTTACAGACAGTTGTGACTGTTGTAAGCCATCTGACATGGGTGCTGGGAACCAAAGTCAGGTCCCCTGCAAGAGTAGTCAGCTCTTCAACTATTGATCCATCTCTTCAGCCCTTAATTCTTTCATATCGCCTCCAGTGAGATCCATTGTTACCTAGAAGGCAAGACCAGTGTGCCGAAAGAACAGGGACAGACTCAGTCTCGGGGGAGCTCTCCTCCCCCAGGGGAAGTGGGCTGCAGGGAGGCATTTTCTCTGGTCACTTAGAAGTGGGAGTAGGCCAAGGAGGAGACCAGGTCATGCAGAGTGCTCGCCATGCCCGCGTGGCCATTAAGGTTCTCTGGGGCCTCCTGCTGATGCCAATGGCCCCGTTGGCTTTGGTTTTTCTGTGCTTGAGGAGGTAAGCACTTGAGCCCTGCCCTTTAAAGCAGGAGGTGTGGGTAGGCTTGTAGGATTGGGGCGCTTTGTCCTTATCTCTGAAGACAGATTTATGTGGAGCGTGGCACTTGGGCTCAGTGTAGGCTCCCCTGGGGGCGGCAGAGCCTCACTGCTTTATGGCCTTCTTTATCACACAATTGACTATTTCTCAAGTCAGGTAATTCTGGCTCTCCTAGATTACCAAGGACTGCTATCATTGTGGATATCTGCTTCAATTTCCTAGGGCTAGAAAGTGTGAGGCTGGATTATGTGGCTGCCCTCACTCTAAGGTTCCATGTCTTATAGGAACCCTGGTTCAGGTTGACAGTAAATCCCAGGTATTCACAAATCAAGATCCTTCTGACTGAGAGGCTTACTGCTGGCCTGCATGGTGATTTCTTCAGCCTTTGATCTTGGTTAGCTAAGCTTGCTTTAGGACAGTAGGCTAATACCAGAAGCCTCTGGGTGAGATGCATTGCTCCCCCCGGGGTAGCACAGAATGTCCCTCAAGGGCTGCTTTCCTCCACTAGGACTTTGTGGAAGTCGAACTGGACGGGAGGCGAGAACCCTTTCCTTTCCCTTCTGGCTAAGGAGTGCATTTCTGTAGCCCCTTTGTGTGGACATCTCCCCTTCCCCCTTTTTGAGACAGGCTTTCTTTGTAGCCCACCACCTGCCTCTGTCTCCCAGTGCTGGGTTAAAAGTGGGAGCCTCCATGCCCAGCTGCCCTTTTCTTGAAAGTCTTTCCTGCCATTAGAAAGCCTGTCTCAAGAGTATTGTTCTGAGCAGCAAAGAGCCACCTGGGACATGAGGAGGGTGGGAAGATGGGGGAGAGAGAAGGCTGTGGCCTCGTGCTGGCTGATCATTGCTCTGCCTGGTGTCCAAGCCCAGTCTGTAACCTTAGTCGGAGATAAGTCTGTCCAGGCCTTAGCCCCGGCTGCCCCAAGTCTCTTAGTTGGACCCCTCCCCAACCCCTGACCCACTGACCTAGAATTTGTGAGCGTTCACATACTGACTGTTGCTGGGCTTGTGTCTAGATTTACAGGCTGATTAGCACTATTGGGAGAGGAAGTCCTCAGGCATCAAAATAGGGAGAGCTGAACTTTTTTCTAGCGCCTTTAAAAATAATTGCTTAAGCCACGCGTGGTGGCTCATACCTGTAATTCCAGCAGTCAAAGGGCTGAAGCAGAAGCATTGTTACAACATTGAAGTGACCCTGGGCTATATAGTGAGTTCCAGGCAACCTGGGTTATAGTGTGAGACCCTGTCTCAATAAAAACTGAAAGTAAAGAAGAGCTGGTGATGTGGCATATACTTGTAATACCAACACTTGGGAGCCAGAGGCAAGAAGATCAGGAGTTTAAGGTCATCCTCAGCCACATAGTGAGTTCAAAGCCAGCCCAGGTTACCTGAGATCTTGCTTTAAAAACTGCAGCTGGGGCTGGGCTCTGAGGTTAAGAACATTTGCAGGTCTTGCAGAGGACCTGGGTTGGTTCTCAGCACCAATGTGGTAGCTTACGACTGCTTGTAATTCTAATTATACAGGATCCAATTCCCTTTCCTGGTCTCCACAGGCACTGCACACACATAGTGTACTTATATGCAGGCAAAACACCGATACACATTAAAAATAACTTAAAACTAACAAGCAGCTGAGTGTGGTGACATGCCTTTATTGCCAGCACTTAGAAGGCAGGGGTAGGCAGATATCTGTGATTTTGAGGCCATGGTAGTCTATATAGCATGGTACATGTCAGCTAGAGCAACATAGTGTTTCAAAAAACAAACAGGGAACTGGAGAGATGGCTCATCGTAAGAGCACTAGCTGCTTTTTCAGAGGACCTGGGTCCAATTCTCAGCACCCACGTGGTGGCTCACAACTACCTGTAACTCCAGTTTCAGGGCATTCAACACAGTCTTCTGGCTTCAGTGGGCATCAGACACACATGTGTAGAGACAAAATACATAAGGTGTAAGATATAAAATAAATGCATTTAAAAACACAAAAGAATGAACATAAATTTTATTAAGTATGCAGACCACATGTGTATAAGGTTTATCTCTAGCCTAGCTCACCTGGGACATTCAGCATGCCCTGTAAGAACTCTCTCAGGCATCTTCAGCTGTGGGGCCCTTTTTCTGTGTGGGGAGTCTTTTTCTGTTCACCATGGGACTGTTCTGTAGGCAGGCAGGTCTCACTAGGTATTTTTGCTCTCTGCTGCTTCCTTCTAGAAAAATTTGAGGCAAATTTCTCAGACTTCATTATTTTAACATCCGTTTGCTGTTTTAAAGAGCTACCAAGCTGGACATGCAGCATGGGGATTTGGGGAGGCTGCCCCTGGGGGTCATCCTGAGGTGTGTATTCTGGGTGCACTCGCTGTGTCTTTGCCCACCCAGGAAAGAGTGCCACCCTCTTCAGCCGCCATACCAAAGCTATCGTGTGGGGCATGCAGACCCGGGCTGTGCAAGGCATGTTGGACTTCGACTATGTGTGCTCCCGAGATGAACCCTCAGTAGCTGCCATGGTCTACCCTTTCACGTGAGTCATGCCAAGGCAGGAAGTGACTGGAAGTGAGATTCTCATCTTTAAGTGAAGCTTGGGAGTCAGCTAGCTCCCCATGTTTACAATGGAGGAATCTGCCCACCCCAGAGATTGGGACAGTCCATGTTCCTGGGGGCCCTTTTTCCTTCAGATGGGGAACCTTTGAGAACACAGATCTTGCCTCTCTTGGGGAGGTTCTTCCACTCAGTTTCCCCCTCCCCAGACCTGATGGATTGAGGGTGTCCTTACTCTTCCTCTACTTTCTTGCAGTGGGGATCACAAGCAGAAGTTTTACTGGGGGCACAAGGAAATCCTGATCCCTGTCTTCAAGAACATGGCTGATGCCATGAAGAAGCACCCAGAGGTAGACGTGCTGATTAACTTTGCCTCTCTGCGATCCGCTTATGACAGTACCATGGAGACCATGAGCTATGCACAGGTAGATGGTGGACCCTGGAGTGTTTGGGTGGGGAAATCAGAAAGAGCTTCTGAATGGAATTCACAGTCATGACCACTTGGGACAGAGGACTTGGGAATTGGGAGAGGCTAGGGTTTAGGTGAAAGTACTTGGAGACTTATACTTCTCAGCAGTGACCCGAGAGTTCCAAGTGAGCAGTAGCTGCTTCGATGGGTCACCAATGATCCATCCATCCGTTCCAGCTCTCTTCTTCCCAGACTGACTTGACAACAGGATCAAAAGCACTCTCTTGGGCTGAGTGTAGTTCAGTGGAAGAGAAGAGCACTTGCCTAGCAAATGTAAGGCCCTGGGTTCGAGCCCCAACACCATGCCCCCAAAAGCACTTTCTTGTAGGGTATTATATGTTATTTCAGGACAGATGTTAAGGCATAAAAAGCACACCCCATTTCTCAGAAACATGGTCATCAGGTTTCAGTATACCCTCTCCACACCTCTCTCTGTACCACTAGGTAGGTTGGCAACATGACTTTTGTTCTTTCCAGTCTTCTCACAAGCATCTTGGATGAACATTTGCATGTATCCTTTTTGTTTTCTTTCTTATTTATTTGTTTGTTTGTTTTATTTTTATGTTCATTGATGTTTTGTCTGAATATACATGTCTGTGAGGGTGCCAGATCCTCTGGAACTGGAGTTACAGATAGTTGTGAGCTACCATGTGGATGCTGGGAATTGAACTTGTGTTCTCTGGAAGAGCAGTCAGTGCTCTTAGCCACTGAGCCATCTCTCCAGCCCCAAAGATTTATTATGTATACAGTGTTCTGCCTGCATGTATGTCTGCAGGCCAGAAGAGGGCACCAAATCTCATTATAGATGGTTGTGAGCCACCATGTGGTTATTGGGAATTGAACTCAGGACCTCTGGAACGGGGGCTAGTGCTCTTAACCTGAGCCATCTCTCTAGCCCCTTGCATGTATTCCTAATCATCACCTAGCACAGATTTTTTAGAAGTTGAACTGCCACATCAGAATGGCCAGTTGGAAATTTTTAACACACCCTGGCTCCCAGAGCTTTCACGACCTAAATTCCCATTAGTAGGAGTTCTAGTTTTGTTTTCTTTTGAGACAGGGTCTCATTATCTAGCCCTGGCTGGCCCAGAACTTACAGAGATCTTCCTGTATCTATCTGCCTTCCTAATGCTGGGGTTAAGGGTGTGCCACCAGCTCCAGGTTCTTCTTGCCAACACCAAACAGTTGTGTAGTGAATTGGTGTTCTATTTAATCGGCATGTCTTTGGCTGTCAACTAAAGCAAACTTTTGGAAACATTGGCGGCCGTTTGTGTCCTTTTGCGACCTGCCCCTCCTCCCTTTCTTCTGTTACAACATTTGCCTTCTGTTAGTGATCTGTAAAAGCCCCTGATCGACCAGTGCTTTTTGTTTGTTTTTTAATTGTCTGATCCCAGTTATTTCAGTTTCTGAGTGGAGAATACAAAATTGTTCTTCTGTTTAGATGAGTTGCTTTTTCAGGCTAGAACAGACTTTGACACAAACAACTCAGGGCAAAATGTAGCCCCCACCTATTTTCACAAATAAAGTTTTATTAAAAATGCAGCCACTGCTATCGTTTATGTATTGTGCATGGATACTTACACACTAGAAACCTGCCACACTGACCACAAGACCCACAAAGCCTAAACTGTGATCTTGACCCTTTACAGACTGGTCCAGAGCCAAAGAGATGGTTCTTAGATCTTCAGTTCCTCTAGCCCAGTCTGGACAGCTGTGGGAGCAGCTTGTTTCTATGTGCACTGGCCACATCCTGTGGGGAGAGAGACAAGACTCATTGGGTACTTAGGGGAAAGGCAGGTAGGGATCAGTTGAGTCTGAGGGTTAGGTGAGAGACTGTAGCTGCAGACTAGCAGAGATTTAGAAGCGTTTGCACATGGCCCGTGGAGGTTTGTTTCAATGTCCACCGCTGTGCCTTTTTTCTTTTTTTCTTTTTTTTTTTTTTACTGTCTCTGTGTGTGGCACACATGTGGAGCTCAGAGTACAACTTCCAGGAGTCAGTTCTCTCATATCTGTCCTTGACATCAAACTCAGGTCATCAGGCTTGGCAGCAAGTGAGTGCACTTGCCTGCTGAGCCATCTCGCTGACCCCATGCCTCTTTTGAGAGGAATTTGAAGTGACTAGGGTAGGACCTGGGGCCTATGGGAGGGAGAAGATGCATTCTGCTCACCTTACTTTGTTCTTGAAACCTGGATGGGGACACTGGGCTTAGGAGGAAGGCCCTTGGACCTTGGGCCTCCTTGTCTATCAAAGGTGGCGTGTTTACAGAAGGGGCTTTGTTAATCCTCTAGATCCGGACCATAGCCATCATAGCCGAAGGCATCCCCGAGGCCCTGACTCGGAAGCTCATCAAGAAGGCCGACCAGAAGGGAGTGACCATCATTGGGCCAGCCACGGTGAGTGTCCACCCCAGAAGTCTTCCCAGGGCTGCAGGAAGCATACTTCTTTGTTGTTTGTTGTTGTTGTTTGAGATGGGTTCTCACACTGGTCCAGATTGGTTGGAACTTAAGGTAATCTTCCTGCTTCAGCCTTAGGATTAGAGGCATGATCCACCATGCCGATAGGAAGCTCACTTCTATTGTTATTAATAACTTTTTTATTTGGTTATACTGGATTACCTAAATGTTTTCATGCAAGTGTATAATGTACTTTGAGCAAAATCCTGGTCATGTTCTCTCTCTCCGACCCTCATTAGGCCCCTTCCTTATTTTCATGTCATCTGTATGTGTCTGGTTTTATGTACTTGTATAAAATCCAGAAGAAAACATGCGATATTTGTTTTTCTGCAACTGATTTCATTCACTTAGTATGATTATCTCCAATTGTGTTCATCTCACTATAGATAACCTAATTTTATTCTTTATGGCTGAAAAAGATTCCGTTATGTGCATATACCACACTTTTCTTATCCATTCTTCTTGATGGACACCTAGGTTGGTTTTATAACAGCTATTGTGAACAGTGCAGCAGTAAATACTGATGTACAAGTACCTCTGTGGTCTGTTGACTTAGAGTCTGTTGGGTAAATACTCGAGTAATATGACTGGCTCATATGGTAATTCTATTTTTTATTTATTGAGGAAACTCCAGAGTGGAGTGGCTAGACTAGTTAATGTTCTGAGTGGTGGCAGCATACAAGAGTTCCTTCTGTCTTCATCCTGGAAGTGCCTCTGATTTTTTTTGTTTTTAATTACACATATTTAATTATGTGTGTATGTGTGAACAACTGTACACATACATGTCAAAGTGCACATGTGGGCATCGAGGGCAACGTTGGCGTTGGCTCTGTCCACCTGCCACGTGGGACCCGGGGTTGTACTCAGGTGAGCAGGCCTGGGGGCCAGCACCGTTACCCACTGGTCCATGTCACTAGCCCTCCCTTTGCATGTTTTAAGGCATTTATTTTAGGATTATTGAACAGGGTGGGCGGGGCACGTGTCCCATGGTGTGTGTCAGAGGACAGCTCTCTGCTTCGGTCCTTTCCACGTGGCTTCTAGGTATGAACTGAGGTTGTCCAGCTCAGACAAGCAGTTTGGCCTGCTGAGCCATCTCATTAGCCCAGGCTTGCTTTTGACTATCCTGGGTAAAAGATTTCAGAAATACTTGCTGTTTTAACGATTCCCAGGTAGATTTTTTTTTGTATTTTACTTGAAATGCTAGGGGTGGAACCCAGGACCCCTTATTCCAAGCAAGTGCAGTACTACTGAGCCACACTGCCAAACCCTAGTTAGTTTTAAGTTTTATTTACTTATTTGTTTTGTGGGGTGGGGAGCGGTTATGATATATATATATATACACACACATATATGAAGCCAGAGGGCTGTCAAGGATTCCCTGTTACTCTCTACCTATTCCTTTGAAGCAGGGTCTCTGCTTGAACCTGGAGCTTCTAGGTTTTATTGGCTCCAGTGATTTTCCTGTCTCTGCCTCCTTCAGTGCTGGGGTTAGATGTATCAGAGGACAATGCCTAACTGTTAAAAAAAAAAACTGACTAAACTCCACTCTTCATGCTTTTGGGAGTGAGTGCTCTTAACCACGGAGCCTCCCTAGTCTCCCAGGCCCCAGGTTTTAAAGGGCCTCTTCACAGTGTTACACCTTCAGAGTTACAAGGAGTTAATGGGAAGATAATTGTTTTTTAATATTTTGTCCTTAAATGCAACCACAATGTGGTACTTAATTATTCCTTTAACTATAAGCCAAAGGAAAAAAGCTACCTGGGAGCTGATTTTTTGTTTTGTTTTGTTTTGTTTTTGTTTTTTGAGACAGGGTTTCTCTGTGTAGTCTTGGTGCCTCTCCTGGACCTTGCTCTGTAGCCCAGGCTGTCCTCGAACTTACAGAGATCCAACTGGCTCTGCCTCCCGAGTGCTGGGATTAAAGGTGTGTGCCACCCCCGCCAGCCTGGGGGCTCACTTTTGACTCAGAACTTCACATTAGAAGAAACTGTTCTTTTTTTTAACTTAATTGTTGTGTGAAACAATTGGGGCTGGAGAGATGGCTGGTTAGTTAGGAGCACTTGTTGCTGTTGTGGAGGATGCAGGCTGTGTTTCCATCAACCAGATGGCAACTCACAATCTCTGTAGCTCCAGTTAAAGGCTCTGCCACCATCTTCTGAACTCTGCAGGCAGTGTATGCATACAAAGCAAGCAAAAATACCCATAGTCATAAAATGAAAATAAGTAAATTTAAATAAAAATTTGAAGCTAAGGCTAGGTGTGGTGGTGGTGACCTTCAATCTCAGTACTTGGGAACCAGAAGCAGGAAGATCTCTGTTAGTTCAAGGCTAGCCTGGTCTGCATAATGAGTTTCAGGCTAACAGGGCTGCTTTGTGTGATCCTGCCTCCAAAAAAAAAAAAATTCCCTGAAGCCTCATGCATGCTGGGTAAGAGGATGCTGTGTTACCATCCCTAAAACTAGGACTTTTGTAATAAGTGAAGGATTGTTTGTGTTATAAGAAAGATGTTGGGGTTGGGGATTTAGCTCAGTGGTAGAGTGCTTGCCTAGCAAGCGCAAGGCCCTGGGTTCGGTCCTCATCTCCAGGAAAAAAAAAAAAAGAAAGATGTTGTGTCATTGTGCACTGAGAGGCCCAGCTGTGTGATGCATCTTTGCTGGGTGCTGTAACCCTTGAAGTAAGGGAGACAACTTAATGTTAAGAACACGAATCTTAAACCCTAGAGCCACATTTTACATGCAAGCCTTGCAGTGTCTTCTAAGAGAGAGAAGAGGTTCTTTATGGACAAGTGTAATTCTTTCAGCCACTTTCTTTCCACTCAGGCCAGAGGCAAGGGCAGGTAAAATGGGGCTGTGTGGTTCCTCTTGCATCCTGTGTTCTGAACTGCTGTTTCTGTCTCTGCAGGTTGGGGGCATCAAGCCTGGATGCTTTAAGATTGGGAACACTGGTGGGATGCTGGACAACATCCTGGCCTCCAAACTGTACCGCCCAGGCAGTGTGGCCTATGTCTCACGTTCTGGAGGCATGTCTAACGAACTCAACAATATCATCTCTCGGACCACAGATGGTGTCTATGAGGGTGTGGCCATCGGCGGGGACAGGTAATATCTGGGAATCTGCCACAGTGGAGTTGGGTAGCTGGGCAACATGCGTGGTATGTCACTTACTGCCTGAGCGCTGACCCCCTAGTAAAGCTATGTAAGTCCATTAAATGGAGACTCTTCTTCTCTCAGGACCAGAAAATAGAAACTGTAGAGAATTGTGTTTTGAAAGCTGTTTCAGGGCTTGAATGCTGAATGTGAGTGGGAAGGTAGGGAGCAGCAGAGTACAGGGTTTAAGAGGGCCAGTTCTGAAGCTATAACAAATAGGTTCAAATCTCAGTTTCCCAGCAGGGGCTGTATGGACAGATTAACTCCTTCGACCTCCAGCGCCACTGCATATTAAATGCATAAAATAAATGTCTCGCCTAATGAGGTCATTGGGAGGACCAAGCAAGGTCTAATAAAGTGGCTAACACAGGGCCTAGCACTTAGTAGGTGCTCAGTAGGTGTTACTTTCAGTTAGTGGTTATCCTGAATTTTGTTAAGGGACTACTGCACAGTAGGTCATCACTAGAGTAACACAGCAATGGCTGTCACAGTATGTCCAAATAAACATTAGCCATTGCTGTTCACTGTAATCACTGCAGTCATCTGGTTGGGGGCTCAAAGGCTGCTGGGAGATAGTTACCTTGCCTATGTCTGTGACTGCCAGACCCTGTCAGACTGGATGCCTAGGAGAAGGAAGCCTGAAGAAGTGCTGAGCAGGCAGCACACAGGGACTGGGTCCCCTCCAGCCACTCATAGGTGGATATCTGAGTTCAAGGGTAACCTTGTCTACAGAGCAAGTTCCAGGACAGCCAGGGCTACACAGAGAAACACATCCCCTCCCCTCCAAGAAAAAGACTGCCACACAGGTTTTTTGGGGACTTCTACTCCCCAAAGGAACTAACTGCTCTGGACTTCCTGTCTGTCTCTTCCACTCCCCTGGTCTCCACTTGCTCTTGGCCTCTCCCACCTGCCTCCACTAGCCTGGAGCTACTGCATCAGTCCTGGGCATCATACCCATGAGCAATCCAGTGTTCCTTGTGGGTGCTTCTCACGTGTGCCCACACCTCCCCAGGCTGTCTCCTGATCTTCTGTTCTCCCGACTCTCTATAGGTACCCGGGCTCCACATTCATGGATCATGTGCTACGTTACCAGGACACCCCAGGAGTCAAGATGATTGTAGTTCTTGGGGAAGTGAGTTGTTGATGCTGATGTTGCTTTTTGGGGGCGGGTCCCCTTTCGATTATAAATGTAGTCTATGATTTGTGTTTTTGAAAACCCAAGCACTTTGACACTTCATAGCTTAAAGTGATAGTCCTGGTGATGCATCCCAGGAGACTCTGGGGCTTAGAGTTGGCACTGTTGGTGCTGAGCACCAGTAAAGGTGGCACTCTGTTCCCTCTGGCCATGGTCTCCACCTGGTGGGGAGGATAGGTGGAGAGTGAGGGCATTTTCTTTTTTAATTTCTGGATTTTTTATTTTACTTTTTTTTTTTTTAAGATTTATTTATTATGTATACAGTGTTCTGTCTGCATGTATGTCTGCAGGCCAGAAGAGGGCACCGGATCTCATTACAAGTGGTTGTGAGCCACCATGTGGTTGTTGGGAGTTGAACTCAGGACCTCTGGAAGAGCAGCCAGTGCTCTCAACCTCTGAGCCATCTCTCCAGCCCCTTTACTTGGTTTTTCAAAGACAGAGTTTCTCTGTGTAGCCCAGGAACTCACTCTGTAGCCCAGGCTGGCCTCGAGCTCAGAGATCTGCCTGCCTCTGCCTCTCGAGTGTTGAGATTAAAGGTGAATTCCACCACTGCCCAGCTTGGATTTTTTTTTTTTTTTTAATATTTTATATATATGAGTATTTTGCCTTTGTGCGTCTGTACACCATGTGTGTGCCTCTTGCTTGCAGCAGTCAGGGAGGGTGTTAGATCCCCTGGAAATGGAGTTACAAGTGATTGTGAGCCACCATTTGGGTGCTTGGAACTAAACCCAAGTCCTCCAAGTCAGCAAGTGCTCTTAACTGCTGAGCCATCTCTCCAGCCTCTGTGAGGGCATTTTTTAAACTCCAGGAGAGTTGTGTAAGCCCATTTCTCCTGAGTGGGTCTAATCCTACATCATCACATACTCTGGATACCCAGGAACTTCCTCAAGACACATACTATCTTTTTGTAATTTATGCACCTAGGATGAACTTTTCAGATGGCAACTGAACTTGCTCTCTGTTACATAGCCCAAGTCTGTGTTCCCTGGTTTTATGGCCAGCTTTTATTTCACCTCATGGCATTTTGTGGGCTTTTTAAGTTTTTACTGTTCTCTCTTTCTCTATGTAATGTTTTGTCCCATGTTATGTGGGCGGTTCTTCCTGCTGTAGGGCTGGTCCTAGGAAGACGTGGAGCGGATTCCACTAATTTGTGGGCCTTTTCTCGTCCCCCGTTCTTTGCAGATAGGGGGCACAGAGGAGTATAAGATCTGCCGGGGCATCAAGGAGGGCCGCCTCACCAAGCCAGTGGTCTGCTGGTGCATCGGGACCTGTGCCACCATGTTCTCCTCTGAGGTATGAGTGGGGCAGGCCACTAGTGAGTAGAAAATGAGGTTGCAGAAGAGGGTATCTGAGGTGAACCATACGTCATCACATTAAGCAGCTAATTCCTTCAAGAAGGCTGTACTGCTTGCTTTGTGACTACAAAGTCAAGCCCGAGTTCAGCTTGCCAGGAGCTTATCTCATTTGGACTCTCGCTCTGCACATTCGTCAGCAGGTTAAGGCCTAGAGGAGGCACTGAGTTCTGACAGAAGGAGGGTGAGGAGGGAGAGGATGTAGCCTCGGCTTAGACTAGAAGGTCACGTTAGGGACTCCCTGTGGGAGAACGGAGAGGGAATTGTTCTTGATGTGTTAAGATGACATTCTGGGTTGTGAGATCACTGCATGGGTAAAGGTGCCTGTCATCAATCCTGACCACCTGAGTGCAATCCCCAGAATGTGTGTGGTGGAAGGAGCAAACTCTCTGACCCCAAAAGTAAAGATGACATGCTGGGCTATTGAGTAGTGGTATACTTGTGAATCCAGCTCTTAGAGGGCTGAGACAGGGATGATGGGTCTGTTAGAGAGCTGAGAGAGGGGATGATGGGTGTGTTAGAGGGCTGAGAGAGGGGATGATGGGTGTGTTAGAGGACTGAGAGGGATGATGGGTGTGTTAGAGGACTGAGACAGGGGGATGATGGGTGTGTTAGAGGACTGAGACAGGGGGATGATGGGTGTGTTAGAGGGCTGAGACAGGGGATGATGGGTGTGTTAGAGGACTGAGACAGGGGATGATGGGTGTGTTAGAGGACTGAGAGGGATGATGGGTGTGTTAGAGGACTGAGACAGGGGGATGATGGGTGTGTTAGAGGACTGAGACAGGGGGATGATGGGTGTGTTAGAGGACTGAGAGGGGATGATGGGTGTGTTAGAGAGCTGAGAAAGGGGGATGATGGGTGTGTTAGAGGACTGAGACAGGGGGATGATGGGTGTGTTAGAGGACTGAGAGGGGATGATGGGTGTGTTAGAGAGCTGAGAAAGGGGGATGATGGGTGTGTTAGAGGACTGAGAGGGGATGATGGGTGTGTTAGAGAGCTGAGAGAGGGGGATGATGGGTGTGTTAGAGAGCTGAGAGAGGGGATGATGGGTGTGTTAGAGGGCTGAGACAGGGGATGATGGGTGTGTCAGAGAGCTGAGAAAGGGATGATGGGTCTGTTAGAGGGCTGAGACAGGGATGATGCCTCTGTTAGAGAGCTGAGAAAGGGGGATGATGGGTGTGTTAGAGGGCTGAGACGGGATGATGGGTGTGTTAGAGGACTGAGACAGGGGATGATGGGTGTGTTAGAGGGCTGAGACGGGATGATGGGTCTGTTAGAGGGCTGAGACAGGGATGATGGGTCTGTTAGAGGACTGAGACAGGGGATGATGGGTCTGTTAGAGGACTGAGACAGGGGATGATGGGTCTGTTAGAGGGCTGAGAGAGGGAGATGTGATGGGTGTGTTAGAGGGCTGAGACAGGGATGATAAGCCTGGGGTGATACATGTTTGCTGAGCTTCTGAGGTGTGGAAGCAGATTTCAGAGTTTGGGGCTCCAGCTTAAGACAGTCCTCTATTGTGAAGATGGCCAATCACATGATGATAAAAATAAAGTGCAGGATAGCTAGGCATGCCTTTAATCCCAGCACTCGGGAGGCAGAGGCAGACGAATCTCTGTGAGTTCGAGGCCACCCTGTCCTATGTAGTGAGTTCCAGGACAGCCAGAGGTACATAGTGAAACCCTGTCTCAGGGAATCAAAACAAAACAATTAGTCAACCAGTTCATTTATCAGCAGTGTGGAACAGCCTGTGGCGTCCTTGATGCTGTGTGTATATAGAGAAGGCTTGGCTTCCAGGCTTCCTGCAGCAATGGTGCTTCTGCAGTGGAGGAGGAGGGGTAATCAAACCCAGGGCCTCACATGCTGGCATGTGCCTTACATATCCCTAGCCCAGCAGTGAAGCTTTTGACCTATAAACTATTCTCCTGCACACCTCACAGTGGCTGTTGGAGCTGCACATCTCTGAAGGAGTGTCTCCACTGCACATCCTGTGGACCTGAATGATGCTTCAGAGGATGTTCACTAGGGTCGTCCCTGTGACCTTGTAATGGTGAAAGATGGAAGTAGCCTAGTGCACATTGGGAGGAGACAGTCATCATGCGTATCTGTGTACTGGGAGGATATGGTCACCATGTATATCTGTGTACCAGAAAATGGGCAGGCCTGAGAGAGTGATGTAGATCTTCTCTATAAAAGGAGCTCAAGGCACAGTCAATCTTAGGACAGGCTATTCTAAAAGCTTTAAATATGATCTGTTTTGTGAATATGAACTATGTGTATTTTTTTTCTTCCAAGTAAGCAAAGGGATCGAGGCGGGTCCAGAATCCTGCCCACCCTTCAGAGGTCACTGGCCCTATGACCTGGCAAGTCAGTCAGTGCATCTGTGCCTCCATTCGCCGAGCTGTAAAGTTGGGTTTGGGGATGTTTTAAATGAAAGTGACTCGAGCCGAGCATGACGAATCAGCATTTCAGAGGATTACAAGTTCCAGGCTAATATGGGTCACATGGTAAAAAAGCAAAACAAAGGCTGGGGTGCCTGGGCCCCCAGCACCCACATAAAAGCTAGATCCAGTGGGGTACACACCTGTAACCCCGGAGCCGGTGAGATGGAGACAGGCAGATCCTTAGGTTCACTGGCCAGCCAGTCTAGGTTAATAGGTGATCTCCAGGTTCAGTGAGAAATGCTGTCTCACAGAACAATGCAGAGGGATTGAGGCAGACACCCATTATCAGTCTCTGACCCCCACATGGACATGCGTGTGTGCATACATGTGTACACCACTAAGCCAAAACAGAAGTGACTGTAAAGGCCTGGCATGCTTAGGACCTTAGTGACTCTTCCAACCACTCACTTGTGAAGCTGCTTCCCATTCTCCTTCCTCCCAGAGTAATTCCACTCCTCTTTGTTCTCTCTGCCTGTTTTTCCCTGTCCTGACCATGCCAAGGATGCATCCACGGGATCAGCACCTCATCCTTTGGATCTTGTAGGCATTCCCCATGGGGTGTGCACGACCTCAAAGTGATTTCAGAATTCTTGTATGACACCGCAAGGTTACACAAATATCAACTAGTACAGTGACTGTTCAGCTAGCAGTTGATCTGAATTCTTGAGCAGCAGGTCAGTCTCTTAGTTTCAGAAGGAGGAATGTCCACTGATTGGCACACTGGAGGCAACTGCTGGAAGAAATAGTTAAGAGCTAGGAACTGGCTGGAGAGAACACTGACTGTCCTGCCCAGGTTCAATTCCCAGCACCTGCATGACAGCTGATGGGTCTCTAACTCCAGTTACAAGGGTCATGCTGCCCTCTTCTGGCTGCTGCGTGCACTGGTGCACATGTGCACATGCAGGTTAAATAAATATTCATATACTAACAAAATAATCTTTAAAAATACAGGAACTAGAAATGGAGCCTTGTTAAAGTGGCACTTTTACAAATGTGGTTCTCAAAACACAGGTTTTCAAAGCAAACACCCAACCCATTGGAGAGACAGGGCTGCTTTAAGTCAGGGAAATGATGTCTTTTTCCCTTTTTTTTTTTTATTTGTTTGTTTGGTTTTTGTTTGTTTTTTCAAGACAGGGTTTGTTTTTCTGTGTAGTTTTGGTGCCTGTCCTGGATCTTGCTCTGTAGACTGTAGATGAATTTCTAAATGATCTTATTAAATAAAAAACATGGAGCCAAATATAGGGGTGAAAGTCTTAGGGAGGTCAGAGAAATAGGGAAGCCACCAACCAACCTTACCTCACCAACTCTGCAGCTTCCAAATTTGACCTACTTCCTGTCTTAGCCACACCTTTATTACCTTGCTGTTCTGCCCTCTCATTGGCTATCTTAGACCAGCTACCTCACTTCCTTGTCACTGTCTGTCTGTACAGACCTCCAGGTCCCTATGGTTGGTACTGAATTAAAGGTGTATGTCACCACGCTTGGCTCTGTTCCCTAGTATGGCCTTGAAAACACACACACACACACACACACACACACACACACACACCCTGCCTGATAAGTGATCGGATTAAGTGCGTATGTTGCCTGACTTCTTATTTACTTAAAATGGCTGACCTTGGGCTGGAGAGATGGCTCAGAGGTTAAGAGCACTGACTGCTCTCCCAGAGGTCCTGAGTTCAATTTCCAACAACCACATGGTGGCTCACAACCATCTGTAGTGAGATCTGGCCTGCAGTTATACATGCTGTATACATAATAAAAAAAAAAAAAGAAGGCTAACCTTTCCCCAATCTCCAGGCAAGCTTTATTAAAGCACAAATAAAATGTCACCACAGTAGACCAGGCTGGCCTCAAACTCACGGAGATCCGCCTGGCTCTGCCTCCCAAGTGCTGGGACTAAAGGCCACCACCACCCAGCTTCTTTTTCCCTTTTAGAAACTTGGGTTTTAATTTTTTGAGAAATCTAGAATTTAAAGATGTGTTTATTCAGATGTAATGGTATGCATATGCTACTGAGCCCAGGATTTCAAGGTCAACCCAAGCAGCTCAGCAGGAAGAATCTCCTATGAAAATCCTGATTCACTTTCCAGCCCCAGATTTTCTGAGTACAGAATCACCCATTCCCAGCCATCCACCTAGGCAGACAGAAGAAGTCCTACAGAGAAGGCATTGTTAATCTTTTTAACAAACCACAACACTGAAGCCTCTTTTGATCATTTAAATCTGCAAGACTGAAACCAAAATTGCCTGGGTTCCAGTGCTACTGCATTACCTGTGTGACTGTGGCCAGTTACTTAGTCCTTGAGGAAACACTCGTAGGCTCCAGAAAGAGCATCAAATGAGGAAGCTCTTAGAAAGTGCTTGGTGGTGGGGAAAAGTGGTCACATAGATTAGATGCTAATACGATTGCTCGACATGTCCCATCCAAAGTCAGAGTTCTGTACCAGATGTCTCATTAATTTATTTCCCCAGTTACTTGATTCCCACCTAGCTCTTTTTAAAAAATTAATTACATTTAGACTGTGTGTGTGTGTGTGTGTGTGTGTGTGTGTGTGTGTGTGTGTGTGTGTGTGTGTGTGTGTGTGTGTGTGTGTTGACATACACAGGAGGGTAAAAGGACAACTTGAAGGAGTCAGTTCTTTCCACTCTTGTCAGGCTTGGTGGCAGGCACTTTTACCCGCTGAACCATCTTGCTGCCCCTGACAGAGCGATCTGCTGGGTGTTCTCTCCCCTCCTGGTCTTCTTTCATTGGCTATACACCTTACTCCAACCCATGGTCAAAAAACAGCAGCAAGTGCTAATTGTTCTATGAGGATGTGAGCCTACTGATGTAAACCCCGACTTCTTTTTTTTTTTTTTTTTTTTTTGGTTTTTCGAGACAGGGTTTCTCTGTGTAGCTTTGCGCCTTTCCTGGGACTCACTTGGTAGCCCAGGCTGGCCTCGAACTCACAGAGATCCGCCTGGCTCTGCCTCCCGAGTGCTGGGATTAAAGGCGTGCGCCACCACCGCCCGGCTAAACCCCGACTTCTTAAGCAGCTTGGAATCTTGGAATCTGTGCTTTCCCGTGAACTCTTCTGAGCGCAAGGCTGTTGCTGAGAACTAACCCTCCTTCCCATCCCTCTGACCACTGGCCACAGGGATACCAAACACAGCTCCTATGGAGAGGATGATCTTGGAGTTGGAGTGACAGCCTTGTATCCTGGCCTTAGTACACATTGTGTGTATGACCTTGAGGAAACGAATTTCCCCCCTGCCTCCATTTCCACATCTATGATGTGAGAATTGCCCAGCTTACCTATTCAGCTACCTGTTCTAAAGGCTTGAATGCAGGCAGGAACATGTGAAGCATTTGGCACAGGCCAGCCTGTAACCAGTGCAAATGTTTCCCAGGACCCTTTGCTCGTTCGTGGAGGAGTAACAGGCCCAGTAAAGCTGTTGTTCTCTTCTCTCCAGGTCCAGTTTGGCCATGCTGGAGCTTGTGCCAACCAGGCTTCTGAAACTGCAGTAGCCAAGAACCAGGCCTTGAAGGAGGCAGGAGTGTTTGTACCCCGAAGCTTCGATGAGCTTGGAGAAATCATTCAGTAAGAAGTGGGCAGGATGTGATCTCCCCACCCTTTCCCGATCCCTCCTAAGGGCAACAGCCCCTCTAGCACAGGGGCATCCAGATACCCTTGGTTCCACTTGGGCTCAATTGCACTGTAGGGAAAACAATCTTTTTCTTGGCTTTTGTTTGGTTTTAGTTTAATCAGGTCCTGGCAATCAGGCTGGTCATTTGGTTTCTGAGGCTACCTGCTTGGCTGATTGCTGGTGGCTATAATGAGACATGGGCTTGGACATGTTTAGAAGGTGTCATCCTAAATATCACTTCTGGTTGACAGAGTTATTGGATGTTCACTTTCTATTTCTGTCTCCTGAATCTGCCTTGGCTGTCCTTAGCTCTTTTTTCCATCATGCCCAGATTCAGCTTTCTATGAAGCTTCATCCAGAGGAGAGCTAAAGTGGTGGGAGCAAGACTAGTCTGGGCCGTAATGTTTCTCATTAAGTTCTTGGGATCCAGCTGGTAAGAATAGGATACTGACAGCTGAGGAAGCCTGCAGTGCTGGGCTAGAGCCTAGAATAATGATATCTACATGAACAATAACATCTCCTGCCTCTTCCTGCCCCCCAGGTCCGTGTATGAAGATCTTGTGGCCAAAGGAGCCATTGTACCTGCTCAGGAAGTGCCACCTCCAACAGTGCCCATGGACTACTCTTGGGCCAGGGTAAGTGTCATGGGTGTTTCTTAGAAGGCTAAGGTAGATTTGTGTGTGTGTGTGTGTGTGTGTGTGTGTGTGTGTGTGTGTGTGTGTGTGTGTTTAAGACATGATATCCACAGTCCTAAAACTTGGTATGTAGACCAAGCTAGCCTCAAACTCAGAGACTGCCTACCTCTGCCTTCTGAGTGCTGGGATTAGAGGCTTGTGTCACCATGCCCAGCTTTAAGTTGGTGAATTTTAAGGTGATTTTGTTTGAGCTCCTGGAAACCAGGCCCCTTTTAAACTATTTAGAGCAACCATGCCAAGCCTCTCCATCAGAGAAGCATCAGAAAGCTCTCTCATTAACCCTTGGATGCCATGTACTGCTGTAGCTAGAACTGTCCCCAGTTTTATTTCCAGGTCAGGTGACAGAATAGGCAAGACAGGCCCACATGTGTTTACCTGGTGTTGGAAGGAGTCAGCTTCTAGGTGCTCGGAGCCAGCATTCAGGAGGCAGTGGCAGGAGGATCAAAGTTCCTGGTCATCCTGTGGCTACATAGTTTTTAGGCCAGCCTGGGATACATGGCATCCTATCTCAAAAAAGGAAAAGGGGGAAAGTGTTGATGCCTCATGGCCTAGCAATTTTGTGTCTGGAAAGCTACTTCTAAGAAATGCTTTCCTAGGACATACAAAGGAATATAACTAAGAATTGTATGCTGGGTGGTGGTGGTGGCCAGGTAGAGCCAGGCGGATGTCTGTGAGTTCGAGGATAGCCTGGTCTACAGAGTGAGGTTCAGGACAGGCACCAAAATGACACAGAGAAACCTTATCTGGGGGCGGGGGTGGGGGGGATTTTATTTAGTGTTGTTTATCATGAAAGATTATCAAAGGATGGTGGCATTATGACTAGGTGCCACATAGCAGTTAAAAGGAATTAACTAGATTGTCCATGGATCTCAGATCCATTAAGTAAAAGGCACATCATGGGCAGGCTTGCTAAGTAGTCTTGGCAGTCCTGAAACTCTTGCTGTGTAGACCCAGCTAGACTTGAAATCAATGATCCACCAACCTCTGCCTCCAGAGTGTTGGGATTAAAGATGTGCACTACCATGCCTGGCCTCCACTTTTTTGTTTGTTTGTTTGGTTGGTTGGTTTGGTTTTTCAAGACAGGGTTTCTCTGTGTAGCCCTGGCTGTCCTAAAACTTGCTCTATAGGTCAGACTGGCCTCAGACTCAGAGATCCACCTGCCTCTGCCTCCTGGGTGCTGGGACTAAAGGCGTGCTAGCCACTACTCGTTGAAAAGAATTTCTCTGCATATTTGTTGCTGCTTGGCCCTCAGAGTGGCCAAGACATTCCTGGGACATTGTTGTTCTGAGAGCACAGACAGCTATCTGTCTTGGAAAAAAGTCTCTGATGGTCACCAAAACCCTATGTCTCTCTGTCCCTGTGTCTGCTCAGGAGCTGGGTTTGATCCGCAAACCCGCCTCATTCATGACCAGCATCTGTGATGAGCGAGGACAGGAGCTCATTTATGCAGGCATGCCCATTACTGAGGTCTTCAAGGAAGAGATGGGCATTGGTGGCGTCCTCGGCCTCCTCTGGTTCCAGAGAAGGTGAGGCACTATGGGCAGGGTGGTAGGGCGCTGGGCTCAGAGTCATGTCCTTCCTCCGACACAGGAGTTGGGGTGGGCAGACTGAGGAGTGTCATCAGTTATGTGGCCTCAGACCAACTGAAAGGACAAGAAGGCCACTGTAAACTGAGAAAGGGAAAATGAGTGGCCTCAGGAGAGACCTTGATACCTTTTCAAGAAATGGGACAGTTACAGTGACCTCAAGGTCAGCATCTGGACAGATGTGAGCTTAACCAGTGCACCTGGGAAAGCTGCAGAGCAGCCCCAGACGTGCTGATTTCCTCCCGGCAAATTGCGCGTCTCTCATCGCCTGAATTGTAGATGTTTGTGTTTCCCATTGCTCCTGAGGTCAGTCTTCCCTGGTGCTGACAGCTGGGCAAGGCAGCAGATGTGTGGTCACACAGCCCTGGAGGATGTTCATGTGAAAGCCTGGGCTCTGTCACGCCTGTGCCTGCAGAGACGCTGCAGTCATGGTCTAGGCCTTCCCTGGACAAACTCGGGATGCAGTCCCTGAGCGGGTTTCTCTGTATACTCTCCAGACTTGGCCCTTGACCGTTAGTGGGGAGATTGAACACTGCAGAATGTGTGGGACAGGGCCTGCCCTCTGGTAGCAGGCGTGTGGAGAGACATAGCTGCAGGTGTAGACCAAATCCTTTACAGAAACTCATGCTGACCACCAAGGCCTCTGATACTTTTCTGGCTGGTAACCCCTTTTACCCACTTTTTTTTTTAATTTTGATTTTTTTTTTTTTTATCGTTTTAAAACAGGGTCTCACTGTGTAGACCAGGCTGGCCTCAAACTCAGACAGAGATCCATCTGCTTCTGCCTCCCAATGTGCTGGGATTAAAGGGATGCACCACTATACCCAGCCTGTATCTTGAAGTTTTTGTGTAATTCCAGGTGTATAGAGCTATAAAATAGGTGTACAAATCAAATATTTACTGATAATGAATTTATTATAAAACAATTCTCTGCTATATGTATAATTTTACCACTTGTTAAAGATGAGCAAATTTGTATACCCATGAGATAAATTTGCTTGTTTATTTTTACATAAAGAATTTAGTCTTGGGCTGGGGAGATGGCTCAGTGGGTAAGAGCACTTACTGTGAAAGGAAAAGGGCCTGAGTTCGAATTCCTAGCTGGGCATAGCTGCATGACCCTGTAGCCTCAGTGCTGGAGGATGAGGGAATAGGTGGGGGACCCCAGGAACTCACTAGCTAGCCAGTCTTAACTGAGATGGTGAGCTTCGGGCTCAGTGAGAGACCCTGTCTCAAAAAACAAAGTGATGGCCGGGTGTGGTGGTACACACACTTTAATCCCAGCAGAGGCAAGGATGGCCAAGGCCATAGTGAGACAGTCTCAGAATAAAATAAGTAAGTAAGGTTTCCTCTGGCATCTTTGCATGTACATACCTCACATGCACACACCAAATAATTAAATTTGGGCTGAATATTTAATGTACAGGAGGATATGGGACATCTTCAGGGTTTTCAGAGTTGATTACTATTTTGATGTTGAGAACACCACTTTGGGTGACTATGTACTACCAAATGACAAAAGTATGTTTAGGACTAGTTCAGAAATTGTTGGAAATTCCATCCTAAACCCAAACCAAAATTGATTTAACAACTTTTTATGAAATTCAGACAGCAATTTTTAAAGTCAAACATTTTGATATAACACAATGCAAAGATATACTCATTGATATTTACATACTAGGGATGATTCGAGAAAAATACTAAATGTCTCTCTTTTCCATATTCTTTCTCTGTCTTTTTTCTTTTTTTGAGACAGGGTTTCTCTGTCTACGTAGCCCTGGCTGTTCTGGAACTCGCTCTGTTGACCAGGCTGGCCTTGAACTTAGACTACCTGCCTCTGCCTCCCCAGGGCTGTTATTAAAGGCATGAGCCACCACCGCCTGGCATTTATGTCTCTTAAAAGGAGAAAGTTTTGTGCTGGAGAGATGGCTCAGAGGTTAAGAGCACTGGCTACTCTTCCAAAGGTCCTGAGTTCAGTTCCCAGCAACCACATGGTGGCTCACAACCATCTATAATGAGGTCTGGTGCCCTCTTCTGGTGTGTAGGTGTATATGCAGGCACAATACTGCGTACGTAATAAATAAATCTTTGGGAAGAAAAGAGAAAGTTTTTGTATGTATAGTAAAAGCAGCAGTTCATAATGTTCCATAGCCTCAAGTCAGAGCCAAGGGTCTCAGGCAGCATTTGTTGGTGTTGTACAGTAGGCCTGCTTGTGCACAGCACAGTGTGCGAATTATGTGTTCAGAGCGAAGGCTGCAGTGAAGTCATGAGGAGCAACATAGGCAAGCACTGCAGATTCATTACAAGGTGATTGGATTAGCTTTGGTCATTGAACATTCAGAAACCTTTTATAGGCAGAAAGATGGTTCAGTGATAATGTTGTGTTCTGCAGTGTTTAGTAACTGCAGGAATCAGGAAGGCTTTGACTTGTAATTGGCAGTAGTATCAGGCTGTGGAAGAAAGTGTGCCCTTGTCATCAAAGCTCCTGGACTTTGTTCTCCCTGTCCCTCTGTGTGCCCTCCTGTAGGTTACCCAAGTATTCCTGCCAGTTCATTGAGATGTGCCTGATGGTGACAGCTGATCACGGGCCAGCTGTCTCTGGGGCCCACAACACCATCATCTGTGCTCGGGCTGGAAAGGACCTGGTCTCCAGCCTCACTTCAGGGCTGCTCACCATTGTAAGTCTGGCCTTCCTGGGAGGTAACAGCTTTGGCATCATGCTGCCTAAATGCAGCAGGCTCCTTCTAGGAGCCCCTGGCTATAAACCCCAGGCCAGATGCTGTTCAGGACATCCTGGGTTTGTTTCTCCGGCAGGGAGATCGGTTTGGGGGTGCCTTGGATGCAGCAGCGAAGATGTTCAGTAAAGCATTTGACAGTGGCATTATCCCCATGGAGTTTGTGAACAAGATGAAGAAGGAAGGAAAACTGATCATGGGCATCGGCCACCGAGTGAAGTCGGTGAGTGGTTGCTCCCATTAAGATCTACGGAATGGGTAGTGACAAGAGACTGTCAATTGAGTTAGCGACACTTGGGCCTGGAGAGATGGCTTCATAGGTAAGAGTACTTGCTGTTCTTAAAGAGGACCTGGGTTTAGTTCCCAGAACCCACATGGTAGCTCACAACCATAACTGTAGTTCTAGGGTTCCAGATGCCAGCACACAGGTGGTGCACACACATACATTCAGGCAAAACACTTACACACATAAAATTAAAATAAAACTTTCAAGAAAGAAGAAACACTCAAGCTCTTGACTCCCAGTATACATTGCTTGGGACATGTAGACAGATGCCAAATGCAAGGTGACTCCCGATCCTAATAATGGTTCTCAGTTCATTCAGCTTCAGTTTTCTAAATGAACTTGTAGGAGAAGTGTCCACTGCCTTCTGCCAGATAGTACTTCGTATCACACAAATCTCTGTAGCAGCCTCACTGTGTCTGCCATGGGTTGGCTGTGGCTCTTCTGTCATTCATGCTAAGCCTCACTGAGGTGCGTGTGGCTTTAGGGTGTGGCAGTCAGAGGACAACCTATTGGAGTTAGTTCTTTCCTTCCACAGAGTGGCTAGAAGTCAGGTTTTCGCCCTTGGTGGTGGCAGGTGCCTTAACCTGCTGATCCATTTCTGGCCCTTTACTCACATTTCATTGGTTAAAGCAAGCCAGACAGTTCCACTTGACATACTTGGTACAGAAGAATAGTAATATTAAGGGAAGCCCAATTGGAATAGACCCATGGGGAAAGACAGTATTTTAAACAGTTAGTGTGGTCCTGTACAGGGCTGACAGGCATCTGAATGTCCTGATAGCATATCCTTTCAGGTCACTAATGTTAGGATTTAGGGTGTGTCTGAGTCATCTCACTCACCCACTGTCAGCCTTGGGGTCTCCATCTTAATTAGCTTTCCTGTTCCTCCTCCTCCTCCTCTCTTCTGTTTGGTCTTTGAGGCAGGATCTCTCTACATGCCTTGGCTGTCCTGAAACTGTCCTTTTGAAGGCTGGCCTTAAGCTCACAGAAATCCCTCCTGTCTCTGCCTTCCAAGTTCTGGAACTAAAAGCATGCCCTGCTACACCCATCTTAGTTTCAGTTGCTGTGATTAAAAAAAAAAAAAAAAAGCCCTGATCAGCCAGGTCGTGGTGTTGCACACCTTTGATCGAAGCACTTGGGAGGCAGAGGCAGGGGGATCTCTGTGAGTTTGAGGACAGCCGGCTACACAGAGAAACCCTGTCTCAAAAAAAAAAAAATCATCCAATTGAAAGCAGCTTAGGGAGGGAAAGGGTTTGTGCCATCTTACAACTCTTAGGTCCCAGTCCATCACTGAGGGAAGGCAGGGCAGGAACTCAAGGCAGGGCCTGAAGCAAAGGCTATGGAAGAACGATGTTTACTGACTTGGTCAGCTAGCTTTCTTATACAATCCTGGACCACCAGGGGTCACCACTCCCAGTAGCTGGACCTTCCACATTAATCGTCAACGAGAAAATGCTCTCACAAAGTTGCCTAGAGGCCATTCTGATAGAGGCATTTTCTCATTTGAGGTTTCTCTTCCCAGATAACCCTAGCTTATTGACCAAAAAAAAAAAAACATTTTTCAGTGTCACAGTTCTGGATTTTTTTCTAAGATTTTGGGGTGCGTTTGTTCCCAGCATGTGCAGAATTTTTTTATAGCTTGACCAGATGACAGAGCTGATGGGCAGCCTGGCTTGTGGCCAGACTTAACACAGGGTGGAGCATGGCTGAGTCCAGCCCCCTCTGCCTAACAGCACAGATACTGGCTAACTCCTGAACATCTGGGGGGGGGGGGGGTGCTCAATTCTTTCTTGTAACAAAGAGATCACTACGGAGCTTGTTCTGAGGCCCAGATGGGACGTGAGGGGTCTTGGAGGTCCTTCTGTCTCCCAGTGTTGTCATTATGGGTGCTACAAGGAATTGTACACAGAGGTTAGGGCCCGTGCTGGCTCCAGGATAAGACAGGTACAGCTCTGTCCACACAAGCACAAGCCATTCCGTTGCCTGCCATGTCTAAGCGGGTGTTTCTATAACTGGGTCTTTTTTAGATAAACAATCCAGATATGCGCGTGCAGATCCTCAAAGACTTCGTCAAACAGCACTTCCCAGCCACCCCACTGCTTGATTATGCCCTGGAAGTGGAGAAGATTACCACCTCAAAGGTAGTAACATTTGCATTTCTTCGGTTGCATTTCTTACTTTCAGAGATTTTTTTTGTTTTATTTTGCTTTTGAGACGAGGGCTAGTGTAGTACAGGTTGCCATTGAAGTCACTATTCATAGAGGATACCGTCCATCTTCTACGCCCTGCTCAAATAGGTCCTTTTAAAATGGTTTCAGAATTCACAGTCTTCATGTTAGCCGCTTCCCGCCGCTGTGTCAGATGCCTGCAGAAGCACATCAGGGAGGACTGATGTGCTGACTTGTAGTGGTCCCAGGCTGGGGTGGCAGGACAGAGTAGCTCAGGCCGTCCCAGCTAGCCCTCTCGTTCCCCTCCACTTGGGCTCCTAGCTTGTGGGATGGTGCTTCCCACAGTCACAGCAGGTCTCCCCGTATCGAAGCCTCTCTGGAAAGTTCTTACAGACATACCCAGATGTGAGCTTTACTGGTCTCCCAGGAGCTTCTCAGCCCAATCAAGTTATTTATTAAAATTAACTATCATAGTAATAGTAGTAATAACAGTGGTAGTAACTAACAGAGAAAAGATGAGAAATAATGAAATTCTGAATTTTTTGCTTTCCCAGAAGCCAAATCTTATCCTGAACGTGGATGGTTTCATTGGTGTTGCCTTTGTGGACATGCTTAGGAACTGCGGCTCCTTCACCCGGTGAGTGTCTCGGCCTCCACTCCAGCATTGGTGGATTTTTGTTGCTGTGTCTTGCCTCTGGCCCTGCCACCCACAGCACTCACTCTCCACCCTGGCACTGTTCAGCTGCTGGCTGGGCAGGAGTGCTGTCTCTTCGGATGGTCCTGGGAGTCACTGTAAAAGCACCAGTTGTTCGTGTCTTTTAGGGAAGAAGCTGATGAATATGTTGACATTGGAGCGCTCAATGGCATCTTTGTGCTAGGAAGGAGTATGGGTTTCATTGGTGAGTGGGCTGTTGTTTTGGGGGTTTGTGTTTGCTATAGTGCTTCTTCCCCTGTGTGTGAACGTCTGTCACAGATGTCACATTCGTCACCATCATTCTGTTTTTCTTCTCGCTCTTTGGACTTTTTTGAAACAGGGTTTCTCTGTGTAGCCTTGGCTGTCCTGGATCTCACTCTGTACCAGGCTGGCCTCAAACTTAGAGATCCTCCTACCTCTGCCCCCCAAGTACTGAGATTAAAAGCATCACCACTACTGCCCAGCTAACTTTTCTTCTTACCTTTATTACAGGGAATAGTTTCCATTACTAGTTAAGAAAAGTAGAATTCAGTTTAGCAGTTCCTTTTTTTGCCAAGCCTGACTGATGCTACCTATGGAATGGATCTGGAATTCCTGCCCTGTTCTGGTGTGTGTGTGTGTGTGTGTGTGTGTGTGTGTGTGTGTGTGTGTGTGTGTGTGTGTGTGTGTGTAATGATTTTGTTGTCTGCCCTCACTGTACCCTCCTGTGCCCTGTGCTGAGGGTTAAATCCTGGGAGGGCCTCATACCTGCTAGGCAAGGATCCTACCACAGAGCTACATCCCTCGCCCAGTGTCTACATTTTGTGTGTCAGGGAGATTTCCCTCCTCATCCTCTGCCCTTCACCGTGCTTATGAAACTAATGAAAGATTCACTGGCTCCATTTTAGGGCATTATCTTGATCAGAAGAGGCTGAAGCAGGGGCTGTATCGTCACCCATGGGATGATATTTCCTATGTTCTTCCGGAACACATGAGCATGTAACTGAGTCAGGAACCCTGCTGTAGTAAAAGGAAGACAAGCGCTCCCTCCTGGGTAATAATGGACAGACAGCTGGAAGCAGAGTCCATCATAGGCTGGGCCTGGAACAGAAATAGCCATTGATGTACAGGCATGGAAGACCAACACCTACAGGCTAGTACCCATTCAGTCCACACAAAGAAGCTTAGTATTTTTTTTATATATATAAGCATAGAAATTGAAAACCAATACTTGTGACATTTGCTCTGCTACCTGCTGTATCTATTATATGGAAGAATCTAAGCACTGTCAGAATAGCGTTCTTCTAGGGCCTTATGATGTTGCTTTCTTTTTTTAATTAGTTAAAAAATTATTTTTCCTTTGGAGGAAGGGAATGCAACTTTTAAGACTTCAAGATACTGTCTGTCTATAGGACCCACTGACATCTGGTGTCCTGATTTCCATTCATCTTCACGCAACATGAAGAACACTGTATTAATCTGATTTCTAAGGATCTTTTTTTTCTGTGTTATGTGTTAAGGGTTTATTTAGTATCCCACTGAAATGTTCTGTGTTACGGATCAATGTCTACTTATGTCAGGGGGAGGGGTGGGACCATTGCATCCTTAGCCATTGTCACCCATATGTGGAGTAGTAACTTAAATGTAAAGTTGTAACATACGAGTGTTTAAAATGGAAACGCGAGCAAAAAGCTGTGAAATGTCTTGTGTCTCATGTTCTGTGTTTACGCAGCTGATTTGTCTGTTACTGAAGTGTGGGTCCAAAGACTCATACAGCTGTTTTGCATCTGTAACCCACAAAGATTCTGGGCAGCTGCCACCTCAGTCTCTTCTCTGTATTATCATGTTTGGTTTAAATAAACTATACAGTAACAGTGACTTAGTGCTGTTCTGTGTCATCTGCTTTTGAGACAAAGCCGTCCTGGAACTACAGACTGCCCCGGCCTCTGCTGAGATTAAAGGCATGTCCCACTACACCCAGCTCTTAGTGTTAGCATTTTAAAATCTACCTCCACCTCTTGAAAAGAAAAATATAATATAAACGCCAATATATATCCAGTCATGCCCCTACCCTCAAAGGCTATAAAGACCTTAAAGTTTAGGCTTGGTGGCACCTTTAATTCTAGCACTTGGGATCAGAGTTCAAGGCCAGCCTGATCTATGTGGTTTTTGGATAGCCAGGGCTGTAAAACCTGTTTTGTTTGATTTTTTTTTTTTTTCAAGACAGAGTGTCTTTGTGTAGCCCTGGGTGTCCTGGAACTCACTCTGTAGACCAGAGTGGCCTTGAACTCACAGAGATCCACCTGCCTCTGCCTTCCGAGAGCTGAGATTAAAGCATGTGCCACCACTACCTGGCTGTGAAACCTGTCTTTAAAAAAGAAAAAGCTGATCTGGAGAGATGGCTTGATGGTTAAGAGCACTTGCTGCTCTTCCCGAGTTCAGTTCCCAGAACCATGTCAGGCTGTTCACAACCATTTGTAACTCCAGCTCCAAGGGATCCTACACCTCTAGCCTCTGAGGACACCTTCACTCATGTGCACATACCCATATATAGAGACACATATACATAATTAAAAGTCTTTTTTTTTTAATCTTCAAAAAGGAAAGAAAAAGCTACTAAAACATGAGCTTATGAAAAGTCCACTTCCAATCTGCACTTCCCACTTTCTCAATTAGTGGTAATCAGTCATTCCTCAAGCCAGAGGCTAGAGTCTCCCTTCTGCTCTCCTGGGCTCCAAGTTCTGTGGATTTACCCTTGAACTCTCCTCTGACCTAGCTATATCTGCTAACTGGTGCCCTGATTTCCTCTTTGTTCTGGTACAAGCCATCCTCCGTACAGACACCAGTGACATTTAAGAATCAAGTTGAGGGCTGCCGAGGTGGCTCAGCAGGTGAAGACATAAGCTGCCAAGCCTGACCACGTGAATGTGATGCCTGGGACCTCGTGGAAGGAAAGAACGGACTCCCGAAGGTTCTCCAACCCCGGGTGTGCCAGGACCCATGCACAACTACACTACATACCTATACCAAATAAATGTAAAAAGAAAATCAAATCAAGACACTTCACATTCTTGCTTAAAATCCCAAAGTGGCTTTTATTTGTTTTTTTTAAGACACTTCAAATCCTTGCTTAAAATCCCAAAGTGGTTTTTATTTGTTTTTCTATGGAGCCCTGGCTGTCCTGGAACTCACATAGATCCTCCTGCCTCTGCCTCCTGAGAGCTGATTTATTTATTCACTTTTATTTAGTATATATGAAATGGCAATTATGCAGCAAACATTGATTCAGCACTACCTCATTTAATCCTGTGCTCTTCTAAAGTAGGCAAATATCCACTTTTAGAAAGTCAGATATTAAGTAATTCTTCACCTTCATGCACTTAGCTGAAGTGCAGTCTTTATTTTTTTGAGACAGTTTAGCCCAGGCTGAACTACTGGAAATGGTCCTGCCTTAGAGTCCCAAGTGCTAGGATTACAGGTGTGTGCCACCATACCCCTCTAAGAGTCAAAGTCCTAAGCCTTTTTATCCCCTTTTGAAAATATATTTCTGAGGACTGGAGAGATGGCTCAGCAGTTAAGAGGATGGACTTCTATCCCTGCACCCACAGCTGTCAACATGAATGCCTGTAACTCCAGCTCCCAGGGATCTGAGACTCTTCTCGTCTCTGGACACCCACACAGATCTGTACACTTGTACACACACAATTTAAAAAAAACTTTAAAATAGGATTTGAGCTGGAGACATGGCTCAGCAGTTAAGAGCACTGGCCGCTCTACCAGAGGACCCGGGTTTGGTTCCTGCCACCACAGTTCACAATGATCTGTAACCCCAGTCCCTGGGGATCTGATGCCCTCTTTTGGCCTCAGAAAACACTGTATGAACATGGTGCACAGACATACATTCAGGCAAAACACTCACATAAATTTTTAAAAAAGGAAAGCAATTATTTTTTTTTTAAAAGGTGGCTCTTCAGGTAGATGGATTTGTCACCAAGTCTGACTATCTAAGTTGGACTCACCAGGCCCACAAAGCGGAAGGAGAGAACTGCCTCCACAGGTTATCTTCTGACCTCCATGCACGCTGTGGTGGGAATGCACCCACACATAAATAAAAAAAAAGACAAAACTTGTTTTGTGGACGGGGAAGATGGCTCATTGGGTAAAGGTGTCTGCCACCAAGCCTAATGACCCAGGTTCAAGTTCCATTCTCTAATGGAGAGAACAGACTCTATTAAATTGTCCTCTGTCCTCCACACAAATACCCCTACATAAAATAAATGTAATTTTTTTTCTTTAGATTTATTTATTGGTGCTGGGGTGATTAAACTGCCAAGACTTTTTACGTCGTTCATATTAAATTGGGTGCGCTCAGGTACACTTGAATAATCCCAACGCTAGGGAATCTCACCGAAGAATCGGGAATTCAAGGTCATCCTCGACTACACAGCTAGTTCGTGGCCACCCTAGGCTACACTGTTGCAAAAATAAAATACATAGTTTACATTTTGACCTTTATAACAATGTTATTTTCTTTATTTGTCTCCCCCAGCTGGAGAAATGGCTTAGGAGTTAAGAGTACGCCAAAACGGTGGTGGCGCACACCTTTAGTCCCAGCACTCAGGAAGCAGAGGCAGGTGGATCTCTATGATTTCGAGGCCAGCCTGGTAGAGCGAGATGCAGGACAGCCAAGGCTACACAGAGAAACCCAATTTGACTCCCAGCACCAAATCAGGTGGGTCTTTAACTGCCTGTGACTCCAGATCCGGAGGACCCAACACCTTCTTCTGTCCTCTGTGAGCACCGGTACACACAGGTGCATAAACATAGACACTTTGATAAGAATAAAATTAAAATCTTTTTTTCTCCAAAGCCATTTGTTTGTTTTTGTTTTTGTTTTTCGAGACAGGGTCTCAGGGTATAACAGCCTTGGCTGTCCTGGAACTCACTCTGTAGACCAGGCTGGCCTCGAACTCAGAGATCCGCCTGCTTCTGCCTCCTCCGTTCTGGGAATAAAGGCGTGCGCCACTACCGCCCGGCCAAAGCCGTTTTTCAACATATATATAAATTGGGCATATTGGCACACGACTTTAATCCCAGCCGAGGCAGAGGCAGAGGCAGCTGGATCCCTGTGAGTTCCAGACCAGCCTGGTTCATAGGGCGAGTTCAAAAACAAACAAAGTTTTTGTGTGTACGTGTGGTGGTGAGGATACACTCCAAAGCAATTTAAAGTAGAAAATTCAACAAAACACGCACCACCGGCAACCCTAAGGGAGGGAAGCAGGTAAACCTCATCTTTTTCCCCGCAGCGAGTCCTGGGCTTGCCTCACTAGGCGGCTCCAGCGCGGCGGGAGTGCGCAGGCGCAGCTCCGCCCCGCGCGCACTATTTAATCCCAGAATGCCTCGGTGTCGCTCCGGAGTTGCCGCACCGTTCGGAAGCTGAGGGGGCCGCTGCGGCGGCGTCAAGATGGCGGCGGCGGTGGCGGCGGCGGCGGCGGCTGCGGCCGCGGCTGCATCTCTTCAGGTGCTGGAGATGGAGAGCATGGAGACTGCCGCCGCCAGTTCCGCGGGCCTGGCCGCCGAGGTCCGAGGCAGTGGCACGGTGGACTTCGGGCCCGGGCCCGGGATCTCCGCCATGGAGGCGAGCGGGGGCGATCCGGGCCCAGAGGCCGAGGACTTCGAGTGCAGCACTCACTGCTCCGAGTTGTCCTGGCGGCAGAACGAGCAGCGGCGTCAGGGCCTGTTCTGCGACATCACCCTGTGCTTCGGTGGGGCCGGAGGTCGCGAGTTCCGTGCCCACCGCTCGGTGCTGGCCGCCGCCACCGAGTACTTCACGCCCTTGCTATCAGGCCAGTTTTCCGAGTCGCGCTCGGGCCGGGTGGAGATGCGCAAGTGGAGCTCGGAGCCGGGACCAGAACCTGACACGGTGGAAGCCGTTATCGAGTACATGTACACCGGGCGCATCCGAGTGAGCACCGGCAGCGTCCACGAGGTGCTGGAACTGGCAGACAGGTAGACGATGAGGGGCGCGCGAGGGTTGGGGGGGGACGTGTCTGCGGAGCCGGGTCCCTCACTGTGCCCGCGGCGGGACAGCCACCGCGCCTGGCGCCGAGGAGGCCTCTGAGAGGCTAGCTTGTGCACCTTCGCATCCGGGAGCGCAGATCCCAGGTGTAGGGATAAAGGCGGTGAAAGGCTGTGTGTAGTGTGTGACTCCTGTGATGACGACATGAAAAAACGGTGAAAGGCTAGCTGCGGAACGGAGGAGATGACATTTAAACCGACCGACCTCGGAAACCCGCAAGAGAAATAGGCTGTGCAAAGGGGAACGGGTGCACATTACAGGCTTCCAAAGGCCCTCAGCCAGGATCTAGCTTGGCTTAGGGAACCGTCTTTGGTTTTTGGTCTTGTTTGTTTTTTGTTGGTTGTTTTTCGAGACAAGGTTTCTCTCGTTAGCTCTGGCTGTCCTGGAACTCACTCTGTAGACCAAGCTGGCCTCGAACTCACAGAGATCCATCTGTGTGCCACCACACCCAGCTGAGAAAGGTCTTTAAAAGAATCCAGTGAGTCTGGATCTGCTGGATGAAGGGGAGGATGGTGATTGAGATGCATTGGAAAAAGGTTTGGATTTTACCGAGTGTGATGGATGAGAAGCTGGGTAGAGAGATGGACTGATTTAAATATTTCAAAAGATTTTCTCAGCTATTGTGGAAAATGGATTGTAGGGAGCCAGAAAAGATGCCCCAGAGGTCGGTTTGGAGGCAGGTGGATGCCATTTTTAGGGATGGTAGTACTGTTACAAATCCTTTAACACATACCTATTGACCAGAGATATGCACCAGACACTGATTTTTATGTGATCAAAACACATGAAAATCCCTTTCCTTATCGAACTCATGTTGTTTAACAATGACTACATAGCCTATTGAATGATTATTAAAGTTTGTGATGCAAAATTTAATGTGGAGCTGTGCATTATAGGCCCTGATGGAGGGTGATGGAGAGGACCTTTTTTTTGAGACAGGGTCTCACTATATAGCTCTGGCTGTCCTGGAATTCACTATGTAGACCAGGATGGCCTCGAACTCAGAAATCACCTGCCTCTGAGTGCTGGGATTAAAGGAGTGCACTACTATGGCCAATTTAGAGGAGCTAATTTTTTTTAAATATTTATTTATTTATTTATCATGTATACAATGTTCTGTCTGCATGTATGCCTGCACGCCAGAAGAGGGCACCAGATCTCATTACAGATGGTTGTGAGCCACCATGTGGTTGCTGGGAATTGAACTCAGGACCTCTGGAAGAGCAACCAGTGCTCTTAACCTCTGAGCCATCTCTCCAGCCCCCTAGAGGAGCTATTTTTAAACTGGGTGGATAGAGAAAGTTTAGAAGACATAATAAAGGGGTGTAGGCGGCAAGGTAGTGTGCTTCAGGTAGAGATTGACAGTGCAAAACCCCCAGGTAGAGAGATAGAGAAGAGCAGGTTCATATAGCTAGATGGAGGGAGGCAGTTGAAAGGATCAAAAACATTAGAGTAGTGGTGAGGATGGAGCCCTCAGGGCAGTGGTTCTCAACCTTCCTAATGCTGCAACCCTTTAATACAGTTCCTCCTATTGTGGTGACCCCAACCATGAAATTATTTTCATTGCTATTTCACAACTGTAATTTTGCTAGTGTTATGAATTGTAATGTAAATATCTAATATGCAGGTTATCTGATATGTGACCCCTATGAAAGGGTTGTTCAACCCAAGAGGTTGTGACCCACAGGTTGACAACTACAGCCTTATGGGCCTGTGAAAGGAGCTGAACTTACATTTGTTTTTTGAGACAGAGTTTCTTGGCTGTCCTAGAACTAGCTCTGTAGACCAGACTCTGCCACCCAAGTTCTGGGATTAAAAGTGCACCACCACTGCCCCGGCAGAGCTGAACTTTTTAGAATTAGAGGTCAGCGGGAATGATGCTGTTTTATTTGATAAATTCTGTATTGGAAAAAGGATAGGATAATGGGGAGAATGCAGCAAGGGCTGTAGCAAAGACTAGCTCAAGTCACTGCAGCAATGGTAGAGGCTTGGATTGAAATGAGAAGGGGTGACATCTGTGTGGATGCTTTGAGATTTATTTTATTTGTGGTTCACCCATAAAATAAACAATGTTAGTGCTTGGTGCCTAAAGAGGCTAGAAAGAGCATGTGTGTGCTGGGAACTGAACCTGAAGAGCAGCCAGTGCTTCTAACTGTTGAGCCATCTCTGCAGGACATCTGGCTTTTGAAGTAGAGGAGATGAATTGCCAGTGGACTTGAGTAAGAAAAAATAATTTTTTGACCCTAGTAAGGAAAGATCTGATTATTATTACAGTGTGGAAAAATGCTGGGAATTAATCCCAATACTCTTGGAAAGCAGAGGCAAGCAGAGTTTTAGTCCAGCCTGGTCCATATATCCAGACCAGCCAGGGATTTATAATGAGATCTTGTTCCACCTCCTCACTCCTCAAAAAAGATGTGGAGAAGTAGGGGTTGCAGAGATGGCCCAGCCATGAATGAAATGCCTGCACTGTAAGCATGAGGATTTGGCTTCAGTTCTTTAAAAGCTGGGCATGGTAGTGCATTCCTGTAACCCAAGCCTTGATGGAGAGGGCAGAAATGGGCCGATCCCTGAAGTTCAGTGGCCAGCCAGTCTGGCTCAGTGGATGAGGTTCAGTGAGAGAACTCGTCTGGAAAAATAAAGGTCGAGGGGCTGGAGAGACAGCCCAGTGGCTAAGAGCAGTTGTTGCTCTTGCAGAAGACCTAGGTTGGTTTGGTTCCCAATGTCCACATGGTGGTTCACAACCACCTGTAACTCCTGTTCCAGTGGATCCTGTATCTTCTGGCCATCAAGGACATCAGGCACACATGGCACACAGATAAACATGTAGGCAAAACACTCATACACACAAATCTTTAAAAAAATTTTACACAGCCAAGAGTACACAGAGAAACCCTGTCTCGAAAAAACAAAAACAAAACCAAAAAAAAAAAAATTTTAGAACAAAGATGGAGATCAATCAAGGAAATATAAAGAAGAGCAGATCTGAGGGGAAGGTCAGTATAGGCTTGGTCAAGATGTCTGGGTAAGCTGTTAGATTGAAGAACATTGGGTCTCCAGTCAAGTTCTGAAGGAAATCACAAGTGGAAACAATGTCACAAATAGGGATATTTCCAGGGGCTGGAAAGCCGGCTCAGCCATTAAGAGCAATGGCTGCAAACCGGGTGGTGGTTAATCCCAGCACTTGGGAGGCAGAGGCAGGTGGATCTCTGTGAGTTCCAGGCCAGCCAAGGCTACACAGAGAAACCCTGTCTTGAAAAATCAAAACATACAAACAAACAAAAAAACCCACAACAGTGGCTGCTCTTCCAGAGGACCTGTGGTCAATTCCCAGAACCCATATGGTGGTTCACAACTATCTGTAATTTCAGTTTAAGGGTCCAACTCCTTCTTCTGATGTTGGCAGTAAAAAACATACATTCAGCAAAACACCCATACACATAAATATTTGTTTTTTTATTATTATTGATTTATTTTTTTATTTTTAATACTTTTAATACTTAGTGTCATCACCAACTCCCAGTGGTCAATCATTTGATAGCTAGACTCCACTCTCTTTTTAGGTTTCTATGGTATCAGTTCAGTTCACTCTATTGGATTCTTCAATACTGTAGAGTATTGAAAAAGCTTGTCCTCTTTCTCCTTATTCATTTTTATATGTACTCTTAAGTAACTCAATTATAATTTATATGATAGTTTCCCCAATCTGCATATATCTCTACCCTCCATCTATCTAATGCCTACCCTTTTGTTTTTGGGGGGTTTTTTGGCTTAGACTGGGTCTCCCTATGTAGTTCTGGCTGTCCTTGAAATCTCAGAGATCCAACTGACTGCCCCCCAAGTATTGGGATTAAAAAAGTGTGTTCCTTTTTTGGTTTTGGTTTTGGTTTTGGTTTTTTTTTTTTTTTTTTTTTTTGTGTGTGTGTGTGTGTGTGTGTGTGTGTGTGTGTGTGTGTGTGTATGTGTTTTGGGGGGTTCATGACAGGGTTATTCTGTGTAATGGCTCTGGCTCTCCTGGGACTCGCCTTGTAAACCAGGCTTGTCTCTAACTCATAGAGATTCACCTGCCTCTGCCTCTGCCTCCTAAATGGTGGGATTAAAAGCCTGCATCATCACACCCAGCTCCCCTTTTGTTTTTTTTTTTTTTTTTTTTTTTTTGGTTTTTCGAGACAGGGTTTCTCTGTGTAGCTTTGCGCCTTTCCTGGGACTCACTTGGTAGCCCAGGCTGGCCTCGAACTCACAGAGATCCGCCTGGCTCTGCCTCCCGAGTGCTGGGATTAAAGGCGTGCGCCACCACCGCCAGGCTCCCCTTTTGTTTTTGAGATAGGATTTCCCTATGTAACACAGGCAGGCCTAGAACTCATGCTTCTCCTAGCTCAGCCTCCCAAGAGTTGGGGTTACAGGAGTCCACTATGCCTGGCTCTTGTTCCAGTATAAAAATTTATGTCAATTTCAATGTTTGGAAATATCCCTATTTTAAAAATATATTTAGCTGGGTGGTGGTGGTGTACACTGTGGGGGACCAGCCCCCACACTTATTTACCCCAGGAACTCTTGAGGAATGAGGGTTAAGAAACTTAGTTAGAAATAGAGAGGAGAGAAAACACAACATAGACTCTGGTGGGCCTGGATCCTTATCCAAATGGGCCCAGAACTTTATTCCAAAGGTCTATTTATAACAATGCCAAGGGGTGGGGTAAAAGACCTCCCCCTTGCTAGTTACAGTCACCTGGTATCCAGGCCTGTGGTCCAATCAACCTCTTATGCAGTCCTGCTGGGTACAGCCACTAGGAAACCTAGTGGGCTATAACAGTGTACCTTGGGAGGCAGAGGCAGATGGATCTCTGGACAGCCAGGACTGTTACACAGAGAAACTCTGTCTCGAAAAACAAAACAAGCAAACAAAAAAATTAAAAGGATTGGGTTTAAGGTAGAGTGCCTATTCAGTTAACTCTAAAATAGGAAATGGTGGAATATGTTTGTGTGCTGAAGAAAATGATTCTGTGGAAGAGGAGAAACTTATACTGTAAGAGCAGGCAAATGGACATGGGAGTGGATTTTGAAATAAGAAAGGCCATAATCCATACTAAAATTGGAGACTGAGTGGGGCACACCTGTAATTCCAGTACTTGGGAGGCTGAGGCAGGAGATCTAGGCCAGTCTGGATTATTGAGAGAGACCCTTTCCAAAAAAACAGTGAGGATTGTATGCTGGCTGTGGTGGATCATGCCTTTAATCCCAGCACTCAGGAGGCAACAGCAGATGGTCTTGACTTCAAGACTGCATAGAGACCCTGTCTCAAAACAAAAACCATAGGCCAAAGCAGAAAAGAAAATAAAGGGTATAACTACAGGCAAATTGGTTGGTAGAAAGATAAAGCCTCTGCCCACCTGATTGTTTCTCTCCTCAAAGTACAAGACTGGGTCCTCAGGATAGGGTAGAATGTGTACAGGTCCTGGGAAGGAAGTTTGTTAAATGAAACTGAAGAGAGCTATTATCAAGTTGTGTTTGTGTCTGTCTGTGACTTAAAACTCTAACTCTTGCTGGCATGGTGGTGCATGCCTTCAATCTTTGCACTAGGGAGTCAGAGATATATTGTCTCTGAGTTCAGGTTCAGCCAGGGCTACATAGAGAGAGAGACCCTGTCTCAAAAATACAAAAAAAAAAAAACCCCAAAACCTCTAACTTTTCTCCATCTTTCACCGGCACTATTCTAAGTGCTCTGTAATGATTGAACTTAATTTAATGAGCTCTGAGGCAGGATCATTTTCTCTGTGCCTACATAAACTGTGATCCAGCCCTGCATGGCACTTGGATTAGAAATAATAGAATGAATAAAGTCTCTGGGCTCAGCACTATAATCTCAGCTACTCAGGAGGCTGAGGCAGAAGGATCACAGGTTAGATCCTGCTTCAAAAAAAGAAGGCAGGAGTGGGGAGTTGTATAGTAGAGCACCTGCCTACCATTCAACCTGAGTTGAATTCCTTGGACTATAATAAATAAATGTAAATAGATATGTCCAGCACAGTGTTCCTTACGTAACAATGCCTAGTGTATAATAGCTATTGTTTTCATAGAGTAATGTTTCCCAAAGCCTGTTTTAAGGGACTATGCCTCAGAATTACCTGCTAAACATAGGAGCTTGAGGCAGCCTGGGAATCAGGTGGTCCTGGCACCCAGACTTGTTCCGGGTCCTCTAGAATTCCCACCTCAGAGATAAAACAAAGACAAGGTAGAGTAGTGAGTGAAGGCCTTGTCTTTGTTTTATCTCTAAGGTGGGAATGTTTCTTCAAGAGGGTTAAGAGAGCTTGTTTTAATTCATCTGTATTTGTAATTAAATAGTTATTAAACACAGTAACCGTAATAAACCATTATTGAATGGAAATGGGCCTGTTATGATGACATCATTCTTAGATTGTTTAAGGTTCTTCTCAGTTAAAGAGTCTTTCTCTTCTATAACCATAGTCTCAGATTGACCACTCTTGAGCTCAGTGCTAGTAGATTTATGATTTGGGCCAACACTGTTGTGTTTTGCTTTAACTTAAATTAATTTAGGTGTGTGGGCAATGTTCTATAAGCCACTTTTCTGTTTTTGTTTTGTTTTGTTTTGTTTTTTTAGCTAGACTGTCCTACACATGATTTTTTGTTATGTGTTTGTTTTATTTCCAGGCTTCAGATATTTGAGTTTGTCTTGTCTTCTTTGCTTTAATGATAACCACTTTGGGCAAAGCCCTTAGTCTACTCTCTGTGGTTGCCCAAAGAGATGAAAACCTCTGACTCAGCCTAGGTTGCTGTTCTTCTGATATCTGGCCAAGCTGAGCCTCCAGGAAGTTATAGTTCCTGCCTGCCTCTAGTTTAGGCTCTGTGGTCATCCTGGATAAAGCCCTTCACCAAGACCTTTCTCAATTAAAAAGAACCCAAAGCTGGGAGTGGTAGTGCATGTCTGTGATCCTGGCACATAGGTGGTGGAAGCAGAAGGATCATCCTTAGCTACATAGTGTGTTGGAGACCAGCCTGGGCTACTTGAGACCCAATCTCAAAAAAAAAAAAAAAAAAAGTAAAGCCAAAATAAATAGACAAGAGGTCCAGTGACTGCAAAGGGGTTAGAAAAAATATCAGAAATGCATTTGGACTGGCATTTGTCCTTATTGTATGTGTGTATATCTGTGTGACAGTATGTGCATGTGAGTGCAGTGCCCAAGAAGGCCAGAAGAGGGCATTGGACCCCTTGCAGCTGGAGTTAGACAGTTGTGACCTACTCAGTATGGGTGCTGGGAACCAAACTCAAGTCTGTAGGTGCCATCTCTGACTTCCAGGGGTAACAGCCATGTATGTCATACATAGACATACATACAGGCAAAATACCCATACATAGACAATAGAATCTAGGCATAGTGGCATATGTTTTTAATCCCAGCACTCAGGAGACAGAGGAAGGAAGATCTCTGTGTTGCAGACCAGCCAGAGTTATATGGTGAGACCTTATCTTAAAAAATAAAATAAAGGCTCAGCAGTGGTGGCACACACCTTTAATCCCAGCACTCAGGAGGCAGAGGCAGGAAGATCTCTGTGAGTTTGAGGCCAGCCTGGTCTACAAAGCGAGTTCCAAGGACAGACAAACAACAAATAAATACATAAATAATAAAATAACCACTAAGCCATCTCTCCAGCCTCTTGTTTTCATTTTCATAGATTTTGAAACAGGGTCTCACCAAGTTTTCCAGGCAGGCCTTGACCTTGTGATTCTCCTGTCTTGGTCTCCTGAGTCTTAGGATTACAGGCATGTAAATGTATTTTTTTTTTAATGTATTGTGTGTCTATGATGTGTGGTGCACACCTGGAAGTGAGAGGACAACTTTGTGACCTTTTCTCCTTTCATCTTTATGTGGATTCTAGGGATTGAACTTGGGTCTCTAGGCTTGCTCTGGCAAGTGCCTTTACCCACTGAGCCATCTGCATAATGAGACCTACCTCAAACCCTTCCTCCTGAAAAATAGACTTCTCAGCATAATACTTGCTTATTGGGGCAGTGGGGGAGCTGTTTCAGATACTGTGCTTATGAGATTAATCCTACCATTTCAATTTGTATAATTTGGGCACACCTACAATGCAACCATATAAAATAAGTACATTCCAAAATTAATCTTTTCTCTTTTTCTTGATTCTAGGTTCTTATTAATTCGTTTAAAAGAATTTTGTGGAGAATTTCTGAAGAAAAAACTTCATCTCTCAAATTGTGTGGCCATTCATAGCTTAGCCCACATGTACACACTAAGCCAGCTTGCTCTGAAAGCTGCGGATATGATCCGGAGAAATTTCTATAAAGTCATTCAGGATGAAGAATTTTATACTTTACCTTTCCATCTCATTCGAGACTGGCTTTCGGACTTGGAAATTACCGTGGATTCTGAAGAGGTTCTTTTTGAAACGGTTTTGAAGTGGGTTCAGAGAAATGCTGAAGAGAGAGAGAGATACTTTGAAGAACTTTTTAAATTGCTCAGGTTGTCCCAGATGAAACCCACCTACCTTACAAGGCATGTCAAACCAGAGCGGCTGGTGGCCAATAATGAAGTTTGCGTCAAGCTGGTGGCTGATGCAGTGGAGAGGCATGCGCTCAGAGCAGAGAATATACAGTCTGGCACACTCCAACATCCCGCTTCCCATGTCTCACTTTTACCTCGCTATGGACAAAACATGGACGTAATCATGGTTATTGGAGGTGTGTCAGAAGGAGGAGACTATTTAAGTGAATGTGTGGGATATTTTGTTGATGAGGACAGATGGGTAAATCTGCCCCACATTCATAATCACCTTGATGGACATGCCGTTGCAGTAACAGAATCTTATGTGTATGTTGCTGGCTCGATGGAACCAGGGTTTGCTAAAACTGTGGAAAGGTACAACCCAAATTTGAATACATGGGAACACGTTTGTAGTCTGATGACAAGAAAGCATTCTTTTGGGCTAACAGAAGTCAAAGGGAAGCTGTATAGCATTGGAGGACATGGCAATTTTAGCCCTGGCTTTAAAGATGTGACTGTTTACAATCCTGAGCTTGATAAATGGCACAACTTAGAATCAGCACCAAAGATTCTTCGAGATGTCAAAGCACTAGCCATTGAAGACCGGTTTGTGTACATTGCTGCCCGCACTCCTGTGGACCGGGACACTGAGGATGGATTGAAGGCTGTAATTACTTGCTATGATACAGAAACTCGACAGTGGAAAGATGTGGAATCCTTACCACTTATTGACAATTACTGTTTTTTCCAGATGTCTGTGGTCAATTCAAACTTTTATCAGACAGCATCATGCTGTCCCAAGAGTTATTCTTTAGAAAACGAAGAGGCAGTAAGAAAAATTGCCGGTCAGGTATCTGATGAGATCCTTGAAAGCTTGCCTCCAGAAGTCCTAAGCATTGAAGGAGCAGCCATTTGCTATTACAAAGATGATGTCTTCATTATTGGAGGCTGGAAAAACAGCGATGATATTGACAAACAGTATCGGAAGGAGGCCTACCGATACTGTGCTGAGAGAAAGAGGTGGATGCTCCTTCCTCCCATGCCTCAGCCCCGTTGTAGGGCCACCGCTTGTCACGTCAGGATCCCCTACCGGTACTTACATGGCACACAGAGATACCCTATGCCTCAAAACTTAATGTGGCAGAAGGACCGCATCAGACAGATGCAGGAGATACACCGGCATGCCCTGAACATGCGGAGAGTGCCAAGTTCCCAGATTGAATGCTAAGCTCGCCAACACATACAGCTGGGAACTGTTCTCCCTGTTCCACGAGGCTGGAAATGCTTGGACTGTTACTTGGAAAAGTATGTCAATAACTTATTTTCTACTTGGACTTATTACCCTATATAAAGGAAGTTAATTAAAAAACAAACAGGAAACTCAGTTTAGTGTGCTAATTTTTGTTAGCTTGCAGTCTTGTCTTTTAGTTTGTGTGCTAGCAAATAAGATCTTATTAAAGAGAAGTGGGAGAAAGCAGGTCTAGTTACTTGGCCTTTTTTCTGCCAACAACTATAACTCCTTTGTTTTAGGGACTTCCATTGGGGCTTTAAGCACCAGTGTAATTTGCACATTTACTTTGATATTCCTTTACATTTTGTGTGGATTGTTTGTTTTCAGTGATAACAGTTTATGCATTAAGCTCTCATCTGCAGGAGGCATGTGCAATAGTGAGACTGGATCTGAAGGGAAAAGCACAATGTTTCAGCAAGATTGATCTCAGAATGTTGGCACTGATATTTTGTTGTATGTGTTTTATCTACAAATGGTGTTTTTGTTCTTTGGAAAGGGTGACTGATGAGAAGTTTGTGATTGGCACAAACTTCTTCCACAGCTGTTTATAGACTTGAAGCCATCATTCTGAGATGAGAATTGGGAAGGTATTAATATTTAGCTGATTGACTAGAGAGGAAGTTACACAGGTGAAGTTTGTTTCTCTAAGAAAAAAAGTGTTCAGTGTAACTGAGAAAGCAAGTGAACAAACATTTTGAAACACTTTGAAGAGTTGTGACTGTGTTGATGAGGATGCATCATGCCCATGACAATCAACACTCAATGCCTTCAATTCATTTTTTATTCCATTGAATATTATATAGGCTCTTCATCAGTTCTTTCCACCAGAAAAGCTTTCAAATTGGCAAGGAAGTAACAGTTTAGAAAGTACTGCTAAGAGAAGCCCCTGATTGTCATATTTTCCTGGATTGCCCTAGACTTTTATTGGAACTTAGAGCCTAAAATACCAAATCTGAGTGCATAGTTTTGGCTTTTAAAATTTTAAGGTTTTTGCATAACACATTTAATAGGAAATTATCAAAGTGTTATATAACCAGTTCGATGACTATCATCTTTCAGAAAAGGTTTTTAATCTGTACATATTTTTATTACTCTCCCTAAAGTAGTCTTTTTAATTTTTTGAGACAAGGTCTCATTATGTAGTCTTGGCTGGCCTAGAACTCACTAGGTAGACTAGGTTTTGACCATATATAGATCCTGAGGGATAAGCTTCCAAGGACCAAGAATTGTTTCAACAGCAGCTGCTTCTACCCTTTGTTACAGATTTTCTGTTTTTGTTGAGTTTCTGTGACAATGATACTGTACACTCACATTCCTCTAATTGTTTGTATTTATTAGCATTTTCTTGAGCTGTTATTTTAGAGCTCTCATATTCAAGATCTATAATTCTTAATCTATAATCTCATATTCAAGATCTATAATCTATAATTGCATTAGGTATATCACTGAGTCCCATTCTCTCCTAGTGTCTGCATATTCTTCGTTTGCTGATTTTAGCCCATATTTTTGTGTATGGTATTGGAGGATTAGCTTTTCTCTTTACAATGTCTTTTGAGCCTTGTGTAGGTATCATATTGCTTTTGCACTAATTGTAATAATAAGTCCCTGCTCAGTACATTGAATTTTTTCATTCATCTGTAGATACTTGGAATGTCTGGTTTCCCATTCTTCTTTAGGAATTTGGATCTGATTTGTTCTTAGTTTCTGTACTCCCTTGTACAGGACTTTAGTCTTGGAGTGCTCAGCCTTAAGCTTTTGTGAGTAATCCTGATTTTGGTGGAGCATTGTACAAGTTCTCTTTGTGAATCCTATCATCAAAGAAACATCATTATTTCTCTTTTGTGTTTTTGTTTTAATGCAAATCTCAAATTGCAGAAATTTTCCCTTTCTCTTCATATAATCTAACCTGTAATCTTGCTGATTTTATTTTACCTTTTTTGTTTGTTTGTTTGTTTTTTTAAGACAGTCTTTCTATGTAGTTTGGCTGACCTGGAGTGCTCTATGTAGACCAGGCTGGCCTGGAACTTATGGAGATCTACCTGCCTCTGCCTGGAATTAAAGGCATGTCCCACCATGCTGAGCTTGATGGCTCTTTAGCACACTAATTTCATTTTCCACTTGTTCAGTTTCCTTTGTCAGTAGTTCATGGTGTCTAGTGTGTCTTTGATATAAATTGGCTGTATGCAGGACCTTTCCGGGACGTTAGCACAGTCCTCAGGCACTAGGTCAGATGATGAGGTCACTGGGCTCTTTCATGGCATTTCTCTCTTTTCTAACTCAGTACTTGTCTGTACATTGGTTTCCTTTGTAGCCTTCTTTCCCCTGGTCTGTTCCATTTAAACCATGAGCCCCCTTCACTTGGACTTCCCAAACCTCTGTACTCAGAGAGTCTCTGGAAGAGCTGGGTTGTTGTTGTTGTTGTTTTTCCCTCTTTTCTTCTTGTATATTCAAGGCAGAACTTTTAGTAAACTGCTGGTTGTTGGTTCCCCGTCCTTGTAGAGTTGTACTCTATCTTTAGCATGGTCAGCAGCATCAGTGCCGCTGAGTTACAGGTCCTCTGCACTTGTAATTTATTACATTTGTCATTCCTTCCAACCTAAAGGCAGATATTTTCACTCCCATCACTTCTTTTCTAAACACTGTTGTTAATGCTGGATTGGCTTTAAGCCTGTATGACTATTCTTCCTATTCACATTGATTTGACATTGACAAGTCACCAGCATTTATTGCAGTTAGTCCAAAGACATCTTGATTAATTTGTTGATTCATAACTGCATTATGAGGCTGTTCTGTTTATCAATTGCTGATACATAAGCATTCTTTTTTTTTTTTGGTTTTTCGAGACAGGGTTTCTCTGTGTAGCTTTGTGCCTTTCCTGGATCTCACTTTGTAGACCAGGCTGGCCTCGAACTCACAGAGATCCGCCTGCCTCTGCCTCCCGAGTGCTGGGATTAAAGGCGTGTGCCACCACCGCCCGGCCATAAGCATTCTTTAGTAAAAGTTCAGCTGTCATTTTCACTGACAGCCAGTGTAAAGCTACTTTTTGTCATGCTTCAGTATTCACTTCATGTTCAAGGGTTTTACAAGCTTAGAGAACACAGTTGCCTTGAGCGTAAATATTTGGATCAGCACTGCTCTCTGGCAGAATAGAGGCATTTCCCCCTTTTTTTTTTAAAAAGACTTATTTATTTATTATGTATACAGTGCTCTGCTTGCATGTATCCCTGCATACCAGAAGAGGGCACCAGATCTCATTACAGATGGTTGTGAGCCACCATGTGGTTGCTGGGAATTGAACTCAGGACCTCTGGAAGAGCAGCCAGTGCTCTTAACCGCTGAGCCATCTCTCCAGCCCCATTTCCCCTTCTTGACGTTGTAAGGACTTCATCAGACCTGTGCAGTCACTACTTCTGGATAGTCATACACACAAGCAATATATAGAGCAATTGGGAGTGCGGATAATTCTCAAAAATTGGCATCACTGAAAAGTCCCATCCTCTTATGGACTTTGACCTCAAGGAAGTTACATCAAGGAATACCCATTTTTCTGACTTTCTACATACTCCTGAGCTTTATGAAAGTTAATTCAGGCTAAATCTTTCAACACTCAGTTAACATAAACTCCTGTTCAGGGGGCTGGAGAGATGGGTCAGCAGTTAAGAACACTTGCTGTTCTTCCAGTGAGTTTGGTTCCCAGCACCCACTTCAGGCACCTCACAAGCCTCTATAGCTCCACCTCCAGGGGATCTGATGCCTCTGGCCCCGTGCCCTGCATTCATGCAGAGACAAACACCTAATTAAAAAGAAAAATTTCGGGGTTGGGGGTTTAGCTCAGTGGTAGAGTGCTTGCCTAGCAAGTGCAAGGCCCTGGGTTCGATCCTCAGCTCCAAAAAAAAAGAAAAATTTCAAAAAGGCTCTTGTTGAAGTTGGGTATGGCAGTGCTCACCTGTAATCTGAGCACTTGAGATGCAAAGGCAGGAGACCAGTCTAGTTAGGGCACATAGTGAGACCCTACCTCAAACCAGCCAACAACAAAAGAGTCACTAATAGCAACAGTACGTAAATAGTATAAAATAAGACTCCTGATGGCTTGTACTGTAAATCCGATATTTTCTTCCATTTCTTTAAGAATGTCTTTGCTTTCTCACACATTCTGGAGTATCATTCCAGAAAAGTCCAAGAACAGTGATCTCTGCTTCCCCCGTTGCATCAGAGTTAACTTTTTATTTTTATTGTGTGATAAAATATCAGAAGCACAACCAGAAATTTAGGCTATTTGCTATAACACTTAATGCTCTTGGATTCTGTACTGATAATTTTCTTGAAGTTTCTAAATTAGTGTTCTTGCCCAGGACATGGGTTAATAACGATGTTGGAAATCTGCTTTAAAACCATTTAACGTAGACTAGAGTGAGTCTGGGAACCACAAGTCCTTTCCACATAAAGAATCTATTATTATCCTCCCCCTTTCCCTTCACTTTTTCTCAATTTCCATCCTTTGAGTTTCTTTCGATTGGTTGGTTTTAAAGTGCTGGGAGCTGAACGCAGGGCCTTGCACATGCTAGGGAAACACTCTACCAACTGGGTTGCTTCCCAGCCCTCTCTAGTTACCTTAATAACAAAAGCCTTTGGATTCTGAGAAGCACTTCTTAGTTGTAAGAAGTCTGTGCAGCTAATAGCCTTGACGCTTATTGAAGGAAGCTTGCCTTTGTTTCTGACTGTTCAAGCAAGTCATTTAGTATTTCTTCAGGAAGCCAGCTTTCTCCAGGAGAATGTCATGTATTTTGATTTTGGCTTTTTGGTCCCAGAATTGTATTTTGGGACTGTCGCCACAAAGTTGTTAATAGGGCCATCTTTTTGTCTCCCCCCACCCACCCACCCACCCACCCACCCCCGTCTTTTGGCAGACAATATAACTCCTAAGATTTAGGTATAATCTGGTTTTAAAAACTTGGTTGAAACCACTGTCTTTTTGACTCAGCAGGCAGCCTAGGCCCTGGCTGAATGAAGGGGTAAGTCCTTCCTTGCATGATGGTGTGCAGGTTTTCCTGACTACCAAGTTTCTAATTTTCATATGTGAATTCACGTGTGTGGCTTCACCACCATAACTTGTGTCTCCTAAATACTCTGACTAACTTGTTAGAAAGGAAAGAAACCAGATTTGCTTAAATCTGTTCAAGACTGACATTCTGAAATTTTAAACTGGACATAACAGTATTTATAATGATAATTGTGCAGGTCTAATGTGGCTCTTTGTAAATGAAATTTCTTTTATGAATACAGTTAAAAAATATAGCTTTTAAAAAGCTTAAATGTATTCAAGTGAACCTTTATTTTAGTGCTTTTATTTTTCTTTGTTGGGAAGAGAGGACTCAATTATACTGAAAAGTAACAACTGTCCATTACTCTGAGTAAGGCTACTTCCACATCCTAATGGGCCTTCCTACCTACCTTTAGACTGAGAATGTCAGTCGTGAGCTTAGGGTTTAAGCGAGCATCACTTGCATGATTAGTCTGTGTATCCCGAGAGCTTTGCTCCTCTGTGCCAGTTCAAATTAACATTTTTGGTAAGAACACTTAAGATTAACTGACATCAGTTATGTTTTGGTTACCAGGTTGTGTGTAGTATATCTGAGACCAAAAATTCTTTAAACTGCTGAGCTTTTAAAATACAGACCCTCAGTCTGAAAAGCCAGAGAGCACTTTTGTGTTCCAGTCCTGTCATAGCTGCTAGGCAAGTTCTTGTGCACACTTTTCCCCCTCTGACTTTAGCATGTGGTGTGTTTGAAATATTCCTTTTCTGCTTCCTGATTCCAGTGTCAACACTATAAGTAGACTGCAGCTGTGTTACATATTTTAGCTACTCGGTCTAATAAAGAGTATATAGGACCTCTTTCTGGTACCTTCCGAACTAAGCTTACGTGCAAAGAGCATGTTAGTCACATTTCATGTCTTTGAACATATATGGTGTTGTGAAACAAATATTCTTCCTACACTAGAGAAATACGGTGCTTCAAGCCTAGAATATTTGAGCAACAATTCAGTCTGTTCTTAGCCATCAAACATTTTAGCACAGCTCATCACTCCATTTGTTATTTTCTTGAGGAAAGTCCATTTTGTTATACTTACAGCATATGTTCTGGTCATGGAAAACCAAACAATTACTGAGAGTTGTAATACAATGGCAGTAACTTTACAAAAATAGTCATTTGCTGCAAGGACTTTACTTAGCCAAATTACTGCTCACTGTAACCCTCACAGAGCTTTTGGCTTGCTCTGTGACCCTTGCTAAGGAGTGTGGTACCTTGAAGCACTTGTTAATCAGTTACCCCTCCTGCTCCCTGCACCTGTGAAACACAGTACTTGCTAGGTGTTTGAAGATTTTAACATCCATGGGCTGAGGTTAGTTGTGTTATTTGTGAAATAAGTATTTGGTTTATAAGCCTTTTTTGGGGGGGGGTTAGTGGCACCCAGGCCCCTGTGCAAGATACAATATTATCTCCCTTCATGTTAGAGGAGATGTAGTATTTAGAACACTCTGAGATATTATGTTTATGTTCCTGAAACTATCTTGCTCGTGTTCAAGTTACTAATTGTCTAAATGTAAGTTTTCAATAAACGTATTTCTCTAGAGCTGGTTTTGTACTGTGTGTTTCTTTCCTTAATTATGCACTGTTGAAAATAATCACCTTCTTCCTTACTCCCTCATTTATCCAACCCATGCTTCCCTTAAGTTGAACATTTTCCAGTACTCTTACAAGTTTAAACACTGCATTTATTTAAAAAAAGAATTAATTCTTATTGCTTAGACTTTTTATTAGCTAAATGAAGAGGCTCATACAGGTAGGGTACTTGTCGAAGCGGAATACTTTACTTCATCTCGCAGTGCTAATCCTGTGAAGTTGTCCCGTCTAGCTGCATACTCCCCAACATTGGCTAGCCCTGGTACCACGCAGCAGCTCAGAGCACTGCGGTAGATGCTCATGTCATGAGCGTCATACCACTCATCGGTCTTTTCATCATAGCACTCAACATTAAAGGTGGTGGTAAAGCCATTAAAGCCACCCACCACAAACAAGAGGTCGTCCACTACCTCGATACCAAAATTGCTACGAGGATTAAACATAGTGGGGATCGTGCGCCAAGTGTTAGCCACTGGACTGTAGGCTTCTGCGCTCCTCAGTCGATTAGCTCCATCAAAGCCACCTACCTGTGAAGAGCAAAAGAAACAAGGTTGACTGCTACTCAGTCTTTTGTCCACTGAGGAAGCCCTTGTGGGGAGAACCAGAGATGCTATGCCTCTTTTCAAATGCTTGCCAATGGTAGACTAAATGTCTTGGCTATTAGAAAATCTAAGGGGGTCATTTTATCATCGTACAATAGAAACTCACTGCGTATACATGTTCCCCATAAGCAATTACACCTATTCCACTCCTCCTGCTCCTCATGGGTGCTATGACTGTCCACTGATTGCTCTCCGTGTTGTACACTTCTGCTGTAAACAGGCACTCGTTTCCATTAAACCCACCACATATGTAGACCTGTGTGGAGAGAGTTCGGGAGTGTTACATCATACTGAGGAGTAGACAGAAGATACACGCGTGGCAGGGGATGCTCTTTTAGTGTTTGGAGAGCTATCTTCTAAGGATGTGGAGAGGATGTAGCAGCTGTCCCAGCCCAGAGCTTAGCCTGTGCGGGATGGTCTCCAAGTTTCAGGCCAGCTGGTAGATGTGATCAGGGACAACTTGTGTATTATTTTATGTGTATGGGTGTTTCTCTTGCAAGTTTGTGCACCACCCATATGCAGCGTCAGTGAAGGCCAGAAGAGGGTGTGGGATCTCCTGGGATTGGAATTAACAGATGGTTGTGAGCTGCCTTGTGGGTGCTTGTAATTGAACCCAGTTCTGGAAGAACAGCCAGTGTTCTTAACCACTGAGCCATCTCTCCAGCTCCTCCATGTGCTTTTTAATTTTGACTTTTGTTTGTTTGTTTGTTTTGTTTTTGTTTGAGACAAGGTCTCACTCGCACTATATAGCCCTGGTTGTCCTGGAACTCACCATGTAGACCAGGCAGGCCTCTGTGCCTCAGCCTCCTGAGATTAAAAGCCTGTACCACCATACCCAGTCTTTCCCTGTCCTCTTCCCCCACCCCAATTACATTATTTGTATGCATGCATGCTCCTGTGCCATGTCATACATGTGGAGGTCAGAGGACAATTTGCTGGAGCCAGCTCTCTCCTATTATTTCTCCTTGATACCAAAGACGGAAGTCGGGTTATCAGATTTGATAGCAAATGCCTTTACCCACTGGGCCATCTCAAAGGCCCAGGGGGCGGTTTTTGATAGATTTATTTTTTGCATGTGATGTTTTACCCATATGTCTGTCTATATACCATGTGCGTGTCATGTCCTTAGAGGCCAAAAGAAGGTGTTAGATTCCATTGGAACTGGAGTTACAGACTGTCAGCTGCCAGGTCAGTGCTGGAATCTAACTGGAGTCCTCTGGAAGAGCAGCCATTGCTCTTAACCACTGAGCCATCTCTCCGCAACCCCCAGGGACATTTTTAATGCCAGTCTATACATTATTCTCTCTCTATATGCATGAATTCTGTGTGTACATGAATGTGTGTATGGGTGCCAGCATGTATGTATGCATGTGGAGGTCAGAGGACAACATTAGGTCCTCAGGAACCATCCATTTTTTAAAGCATATATATTTGTGTGTGTGTGTTTGTGTGTGTGTATGTGAATACATGACAGGTGCACAGGCATGCATGAGTGTCTCTGTGCATTTGCCATGATGCACATTTAGAGGTCAAAAGACAACTTCTTAGAATTGGTTCTCTCCCAATGTTGGTTCTGAATTGAACTCAGGTCAGGCTTGGTGGCAAGCTCCTGTACATGCTGAGCCATCTGGATGGCACCGTCCATCTTTTTAACTTACTTATTTCTATTTGTGTGTATGTGTGTGTGCCCCTTATCTATATGTGCATCATGTGTATGTAGGTGCTTGCAGAGGTCAGAAGAAGGCATTAGATCCCCTAGAACTGGAATTACAACTGAACCCAAGTCCCCTGCAAGGACAGCGAGTGCTCTTAGCCGCTGAACCATCTTTCCAGGTCCCCAGCTTCTTTGGTGGGTTGTTTGTTTGAGACCTGGTGTTCTCACTGCCACTTAATGGCCACTTAATAACTTGAGGAAAAGTGCAGAGTCAGCCCTGTGCACCTCAGGTTGCACACATCCATGCATTAAAATTAGGATGGCGCTGGGCGGCGCACGCCTTTAATCCCAGCACTCGGGAGGCAGAGGCAGGTGGATCTCTGTGAGTTCCAGGCCAGCCTGGTCTACAGAGCGAGTTCCAGGATAAGTTCCAAAAGGTACACAGAGAAACCCTGTCTCAAAAAAAAAAAAAAAAAAAATAGGATTGCAAATACTGGGGAGGAGGCTAAGTGAGATGACTCAGCAGGTAACAGCCCTTGTCACTGAAGCTGACCTAAATGCAATCCCCAGGTCCCACGTGGTGGGAAGGAAAGTTGTCCTCTGACCTCCATATGTGCACTGTGTCACGTGTGTGCCCACGCACACAAATCATTAAATAATTTTAAAATATTGGGGAGGGCTGAGAAAATGGTTCAGTGGGTAAAGGAGCTTGCTATACATAGTGGGAGGAAAACACTGAATTCTGCAAGTTGTCCTCTGGCCTTCCATGTACATATACCACAGAATGAGTTTACACACACACTAAGTAAAAATGCAGTTGAAAAAGAAAGAGAAGGCTGGCGGTGGTGGTGAACACCTTTAATCCCAGCACTCGGGAGGCAGAGGCAGGCAGACGGATCTTTGAGTTCCAAGGCCAGCCTGGTCTACAGAGTAAGTTCCAGGACAGCCAGGGCTACACAGAGAAAATGTGTCTAAGAAGAAAGAAAGAAAGAAAAGTAGAAGCTGAAGCTGGAGAGATGACCCAGTGGTTAAGAGTACATAATGCCCTTGCAGATGACCTAAATTTAATTTCTAGCCCCCATATCAAACAGTTCACAACCACTTGTAACTCCAGCCCCAGGGGATTTGATGCCTCCAGTGCCCATATCCTCACATGAACACACACACACACACACACACACACAATTTTTAAAACTTTAAAAAAAATTCATGTATGCTTGCATGTGTGTATGCGCGCGCGCGCGCGGCGTGTGTGTGTGTGTGTGTGTGTGTGTGTGTATCTGTGTGTGTGTGTGTGTCTCTGTGTATGTATGTATGTGTATGTGTATGAGCCCTCAGAAACCAGAGGAAGATGTATCCCCCTGGAGCTGGAATTAAAAGAAGTTGTAGGCTGCCTGCTTCATGTGGGTGCTGGGAACTGAACCTGGGTCCTCTGCAAGAGCAACAAGTGCTCTTAACCACTGAGCCATCTCTTCAGCGCCCTATCTTCCCCTCCCCCCAAAAAAAAGAAACTTAAGAAAATATTGCCGGTGTGTGTGTGTGTGTGTGTGTGTGTGTGTGTGTGTGTGTGTGCACGCGTGCATGCGTGCGTGCGTGCGTGCGTGTGTGCATGCGCTTTTAATCCCAGCACTCCAGAGGTAGAGGCAGGTGGATCTCTGTGAGTTCAAGGCCAGTCTGGGCTACACAGAGAAACCCTGTCTTGAAAAGAAAAAAAAAAAAAAGAAAGAAAGAAAGAAACTATTAGGGAAGTTATGTCCAGAATGGGCATAATGGCTCACACCTGTAGTTACAGGTAAGGGAATCACTGAAGCTTCGAGGCTAGCCTTGGCTACAGAGTGAGACTGTCTCCAAAAAAAAAAAAAAAATTGCCAAAGTGGTGCACACCTTTAATCCCAGCACTAAGGAGGATCTTTGGGAATTCCAGACCATTCAGGAGTACATAGGACCATTTCTAAATAAATGGAGGCTAGAGAGATAGATAGATCAGCAGTTTATCTTTTTTTTTTTTTTTTTTTCCTGTTGGAACTCACAATATGGATGAAGCTGGCCTTAAACTCAGAGGTCCACCTGCCTCTATCTCTTCAGTGCTGGGATTAAAGGTGTGCACCGCCATGACCAAGCTACACTTGCTACCCTTGCCAAGGACCCAGAGTTTGATTTCCAGCACCCATGTGGTGGCTCATAACTATCCATAACTCTAACTCCGGGGGACTCCCTCTCCTGACCTCCCTGATTACCAAACATGCACATGGTACATAATCACACATGCAGGCGGAACATTTTACATAGTGAAGTTTTATAGCTAATGAAAATACAATTGGCTAATGAGATGGCACAGTGTGTAATGGCACCTGCCACCAAACCTGAAGACCTGAGTTTGATCCCCGGGCCCCACCTGGTAGAAGGAGAGAATTTACTCCAGCAATTTGTCCTCTGACCCCCACATATGCTCATATCACACCCCCCAAAAATTTAATTTAAAAAACAAATGTAATGAAAAATGTACAGATTTTTCTCGTAGTTCTCTAAAAAAAAACAAATGCAGTATAATAATTTACATAGCATTTACATAATGTCAAATACTACAAGCAGTCTGGAGATGGTTGAAGTATGTGGAAGGAAATTATACAACAGCTTTCTTTGAGACAGTCTTCCTGTGTAGCTTGCCTCGAACTCTTGTGTAGCCCAGTCCGGCCTTAAACTCATAGCAACCTTCCTGCCTCAACCTCCCACGTGCTGGGTTTATGGGTGTGTGCCCCCACACCCAACTGTGCATAGGCTATACACAAGCACCATGCCATGTTCTATGAGACTTGAGCGTCTGGATGCGGCTGTGTACGGGGGACTGTCATCCAATCTTCAGGGGATACTGAAAGACAACTGTACTGCCAAGTGAGTATTGCCGTTTTGTCTTCCAGCCTCACCCCGGAAGGAAGAGCAGTCCCGGTCTTCCCCTTCCGCCCTGGTTCTTTACCTTCCCGTAGAGTGTTGTGGCGCTTGCATCACTCCGCTGCTCATGCATGGGGGCGATGAGTGTCCATTGATTGGTCTCTGGCTCGTATCGTTCAGCAGTGTTGAGACGCACATAACCATCAAACCCTCCCATGGCATAGATGAAATTGCTGAGGACTGTCACGCTGACATAGCAACGTCTAGAGTGCATAGGGGCCACTTGGTGCCAAGTTTTCTTCACAGGGTCAAAACGCTTAACACTATTGAAGTAGTCCACACTATCAAACCCCCCGATGATATAAACATAGCCTTTCAAGTAGGCTGCCCCATGGTAAGCTCGAGGACTTTCTTCTTCACAAGTGACATTCACCCATCTGTCTGCTCGAGCATCGTATGCCTCAATGGCATTGGTGGGGCTTCCGCCACTCCAGCCACCAATAGCAAATAGAATGGCATAGGGCAGGCGGGGCCTGGTGAGTGGGTTGGTGAAGTCAGAATTGGAGGGTCCGTTCATGTTCAGGTCATACATGGCCTTTAGGGCATTAATGATGACTGGCTTACATTCCTCACTGTCTTTGACGTAGTCATTCATCTTAACATTATTCATGAAGTACTCAGCATGCATTAGGGCCAGGCGAACCTAAGAAGGAAATACAGAAATTTATTCAGATGAGGCAAAGGGTGTCTGCAAGTCCCATCTCTTTAAGCTGCTTTCTGAAAGAGCAGCAAGTGCTCTTAACCTCTGAGCCAGTCCCTTGGTTTGCTTTTTAAAAAATGTGTAACTCATAGATGTATTTGTCTTGAGGAGACATAACTACACATTCCTTGGCCACTGGGTAGAGCAAAAGAAGATGTGTAATTGGCCAGAAATTAAATATAAACCAGGATCAATAAAAATAAAGCTAGGATCAAGTGACTACAGCTGTGTGCCACTCTTGACTAAGTTCCTGTAATAGCTTGTACCTTGGTGTAGGGAAGAAGGTGAGAGACCTTTTAGAATTCTGTGGAATCCCCTGCTGCTCTCCCCATACCAAGAGGGAATTTTTGGCCAAAGAAAGAATTTGCAACATCAAGGGAAGAGAAAATTGCAAGCTTCAGAGAGAAGCAGGGGACGGATGCGCCTCTCATTAAGCCCTGGGATCTGTGGCTCTTGGGGCCAGTCCCTCCCAGTAAACGAATCAAACGTGAGCGATTAAGCATTTGCAAAGAATAACTAAACTTGACCTTAGGAAGCAAAACTGAAATATGTTGCTTCCTATTTTGGGGGTCGTGAGAAATCCACTTTAAAATGGCCTCAAACACAGCGTCCTCCTGCTTCACGTTGAGTTCATCTTTCTCGATGATATCCTTCAGCTCAGTGACGGAGAGCTCCAGAAACTCCGCTGAGACCTTCACCATCTCCTCGAAGTTGTGCAGGATGAACATGTAGGCCTTCTGCCTCAGCTCAGGGCAGTAGTAGTAGTCCGTGAACTTGCAGATGCCGATGCAGTTATCCAGACACAGCTCCGACTTGAGGAACTCACAGCAGCCCCTGACAATCCCCATGATGTTAAATTGGTCGGCAGCAGCCAGCAGCTTCTCCACGTTGTCAGGGGTGATTGGCACGGTCCGAGTGTACGCATACTCAATAATTAGTTTCATCATGTCGGGGGAAATGCCAGGAATGTTGTAAACCTTCTTCTCAGTGTTGTTCCAGCCACTTGTAAACAAAGCTCTGGGGGGAAAAAAACCAAAGACAAGAGAAATTAGTAGCACAGAAACATTCCCCTCCTGGAGACCACCCTCAGCCCCACCCCTGGCCCCTTTGCTTTCTGAGGGCTTGGACACACTCCAAATGTTGCCCGGTAAGTATGTTGGAACTAGACTGGCCTGAGGGAGTGCGTGAAGAATGGCTTCATACGGTGGGTGTGGAAAGTGCCTTTCCAGGAACCTCCTGCGGTCACTCTGTCTTTACCCTCTTTTTTCTTTTTTTTAAATTTTATCTATTTTTTTTTTTTGGAGCTGAGGACCAAACCCAGGGCCTTGCACTTGCTAGGCAAGTGCTCTACCACTGAGCTAAATCCCCAACCCCTACCCTCTTTTTTCAAGGTGTGTGTGTGTGTGTGTGTGTGTGTGTGTGTGTGTGTGTGTGTGTATGTGTGTTTGTGTAGGTATACTAGCCTGTGTTTGCACATATCAAGACCATAGATCAGTGTTGACTGTCTTTGCTATGTATGTATGTATGTATGTATGTATTTTGTTTTGTTTTGTTTTGAGACATGGGTCTCTCACTCACACTGGAGCTCACTGTTTTGACTAGACGGGCTAGCCAGCAAGCCCCCAGGATCAGCCTGTCCCCTCCTCCCAGCACTGGAATCACAAATATGTGCCACTCTGCTTGTCTTTTATATGGTTCCTGGGGATCCGATCCCAGGTCTCCCTGCATGGGTAGCAAGCCCTTTACTCACCGAGTCATTTCCCCAGCCCGCCTCCCTTTTTTCTTTTCCAGTTTCTGGATGGAGAAATTGAAGTCTAGAGTGAAAATAAGATCAAGACCCGGTTATGGTCTGGAGAAATGCCTCAGTAGTTGCTCTTGCACAGGACCCAATAACCACATGGCGGCTCACAACCATATATAACTCCAGTTTCAGGGAATTCAATGCCTTCTTCTGATTTCTTCAGGCACCAGGCATGCACATGGTGCACATACATACACACAGACCAAACATTCATACCCATAAAATAAAAAGTAATTAAAAAACAAGACCCAGGTCCTGGAAGATAGAGATGACCTAGCAGTGAGCACTTGTTGCTCTTGCAGAGAACCTGGTTTTCAGTCCCAGCACCTACGTGGTGGCTCACAACCATCCTTACTTCAGGTCCAGGGAATCTGTAGCCTTCTTCTGGCCTCCAGACACCAGGCACACAAGTGGTACATAGGCCTAAGAGCAGACAAAACATTCATACAAAAAATGAAACCTAAATCTGCCCTGACTCACTGCCTACCACATCTCCCATGTGTCTAGACAACCCAGCTCAGTCCCAGAGTGATGCTTACAAAGAGCTTATATAACTCGTCTTTGCCTTCAAAACCTTCCCCTGGGGGCTGGAGAGATGGCTCAGCGGTTAGGAGCACTGGCTGCTCTTCCAGAGGACCCGAGTTCAATTCCCAGCACCCACATGGTGGCTCACAATCATCTGTAGTGAGATCTGGTGCCCTCTTCTGGCCTTCAGGCATACATGCAGGCAGAACACTGTATCCATAAAAAATAATAACTCTTAAAAACAAACAAACAAAAAAAACAACAAAACCCTTCCCAACTTTGTTGTTAAGAGGGAAATGCCAGGTCTTTACTAAGAACTGCAGAAGCTGGTGAGCTCTGGGTATCTCCACCTTCTCCTCCCTCTGTCCTGAGGGCTGCTTAGCTATTCTTTGTGCACTGGAGGTAACTCCGCCTCCTTACTCTGCTCCTTCTCCCTGGAAGGATTCCCCAAGACTTCTGCATTCCAGGTCCTAGTCTCCTTGGTAAGTCAAGTATCGCTTTGTCAGCAAAGCCTTCTCCGATAATCTCTTTTCAGTTAAGTTTATTTATTTGCTTGTGTGTGTGTGTGTGTGTGTGTGTGTGTGTGTGTGTGTGTGTGTGTTCCTGTGCACTAGTGTTCGGTGTGGGAGTTGGTGCTCTTTCCACCTTGTTGATCCCAGGGATTGAACCCAGGTCATCATGCTTATCAACAAGTTCCTTTACTAGGGAGTCATCTTGCTGGCCCCTGACAGTCCTATATGTATATGTTTTTAAGATTAAAAAAATTATTTTTATGTGTATTGACCTACTTGGTAGTGCACACCTTTAATCCCAGAACTCTGGAGGCAGAGACAGGAAGATTTCTGAATTTAAGGCCATCCTGCACTACATAGTGAGTTCTAGGACAGTCAGGGCTACATAAAAACTCTGTCTCAAAAAAAAAAGAAAGAAAGAAAGAAAGAAAGAAAGAAAGAAAGAAAGAAAGAAAGAAAGAAAGAAAGAAAGGGAAAAGTAAGCCTCCCGAGGACAGGAATGTTCACTTCTTTACTTTCTTTCCAATTCCCAGAATATCACTAGTCAGAAAGCAAGCAACAGATGATCACAGCCATGTTAGGTTCTCTGCGTGACTAGGTACATGTCTTAAGAGGCTTGAGGACCAGTGGGGCTTCAGCATCAAACTCTCCCTCAGGCTCCTGGCTTGCCGACCACAGCCTCCGCTGAATGCAGCTCAACACCAGTTCACCTCTTGCTTTCATACTGCCCCCAGGAAACAAGGTTTGTCTTTACATGTCTGAACGATGGAGAGGGCAGAGTGTCAAAGGAACACTTTGTGGCATTTTAAAATTGTATTCAAGCAGGGTGGTGGTGGCACACACCTTTAATCCCCGCACTCAGGAGGCAGAGGCAGGCAGAGCTCTGTGAGTTTGAGGCCAGCCTGGTCTACAGAGTGAGTTCCAGGACAACCAGGGCTACACAGAGACCCTGTCTCTAAAAAAAAAAAAAAAGGTAAAACTGCATTCAAATTTCAGTGTCCACAGATAATTTGTATTAGTCCTGTCTGTGTTTTCTTTTTCTGGAGCTGAGGATTGAACCCAGGACCTTGTGCTTGCTAGGCAAGCGCTCTACCACTGAGCTAAATTCCCAACCCCATTTTTTTTAAAGGCATGGTCTCACCCATGGAGCCCTGGAACTCCCTATGTAGACCAGGCTGGCCTAGAACTCACAGAGACCTGCCTGCCCCTGCCCTCCAAGTGCCAGGATTAAAGATGGACACCAACATGCCTGGCCCTGTTTGGTCCTTCTTGACATAAGGGCGGGGTTGTGCAGTTGCAAGAGAGCATGTGGCCCGTAGAGCTTAAGATATTTTACTATCTTGGGGCTGGAGCGATGGCTCTCTTTTCCAGAGAACACGGGCTCCCAGCTGAAGCGCCGACATGGTAGCTGACCACAGTCCAACTCCAGTCCCACGGGATCCAGTGCTCCCTTATGGTCTCTTCAGTCACTTCATGTGGGTGGCGCAGACAGACAGACATGCAGGCAAATATCCATAAATAAAATAAAGGAACAAATGCAATTTTTTAAAAAAGATATTTACTATCTTTTTTGTTTGTTTTGTTTTGTTTTGTTTTTAGAGACAGATTCTCACTCTGTGCATAGGCTGGCCTTGAACTCCTGATCCTCCTGCCTCAGTCTCTCCAGTGCTGGGATTACAGGCATGAGCCACTATGCCTGGCTTATGGTCTTTCTGTAGTTTCTATTCTAGAGTGTGGAATCAGGCATGTCCAACCTTTTAACACTGCAATGCCACATTGTCACCTACAAAGCTTATACTTGAGAACTGCTCAAACCAGTTACAAACCAACTAACCCAAAGTCCTAGGACTGCAGAAATGATTCTTGGTTAAGAACTCACACGGCTCTTGGAGAAGACTTGAGTTCAGTTCCCAGCACCCAAGTCAACTGCCTCTAACTCCGTTCCAGCATCTGCATATACCCACAAACAGACATGCGAGGCATGCATATATATGTAAAGTCTTTTGTTCTTGTTTTTGTTTGTTTGGTTTGGTTTTTCAAGACAGGGTTTCTTTGTGTAGCCCTGGCTGTCCTAGAGCTGACTCTGTAGACCAGGCTGGTCTCGAACTCAGAGATCTGCCTCTGTCTCTGCCTCTGAAGTGCTGGGATCAAAGGTGTGCACCACCACCACCGCCACCACCACCACCACCCTGCTAAAACTTTTTTTTTCCCCCAAGTTTTAGGTTTTTGATTTGGCAGAATGAGACCTGCAGGCCATGAAGTGGCCCCTCAACCAAACAGAGCTCTTTTTTAGGGTTAAGGGTTGGGGTTTTGTTCATCGGGCAACTGAGACAGTCGTAACTGAGACAGAGTCTTGTATGTAGCTCAGGCTGGCCTAGAACCAGCTACAAACCAACCAACCCAGGTTGTAGCCAGGTTGAACTTGAACTCATCTTGGTGTTTCGGCCTCCTGAGAGCAGACATTACGGAGGTGCGGCACAATGCCTAGCTCTCATCCGTTGTGGTTTTTTCCTTTCTTTGCCGTCATTGTTATTTTGAGACAGAATCTCACTAAGTTTCCTAGGCTGGCTTTCAATTGTTCATTGTTGTTATTAGTGTCGGTGGTCTGTTTGAATACTGGGGCTTGAACCTAAGACTTGGTGCATGCTGGACAAGCCTTCTACTATGGAACTAAATCCCCAGCCCCCGAGGCCTGGACCCTGAGATCCACTTGTCTCAGCCTCTGAGTAAATGGGATTATAGACCTGTACAACCGAGCTGGGCTTGAATAAGAGTTTTTAGCAAAAGATGGACATATTTCTCCTGTTTTCATTGGGACCGAGTACTCTGACTTTTCCAGCTTAGAAAGACCCCATGCACTTTCTGAGTTAAGAATTGCAGCCAAAACTCCTTTTCTTTTGAAACTCTTTCCTAGGTACTCTCCCCTTATGCCCTCCCCATCCTCTCTGTCCTTAAAATTCACCTCCCTGCTTTCAGTGATCTCTCCTGGGACTGGGCCAGGAGGGGCACCGGAAGCAGTAATATCATCTAGGTTAAGTCCAAAATCCACAGGTGTCCAACTAAAAGTTGGGGTGAGAATCAGAGAGAAAACCCCTGACCTGCCAAATGTTGACTGAAGACCAGTTTAAAACACATCAGGACACAGAGAGAGAGAGAGAGAGGCTCTGGCCCTAGCCCGTGGTTGTCTAGAAGGCAGCACAGCTAGGCTGCAAGGAACCCAGGGCGTCAATGTCCCTAACTTTAAGGTGGTAAATGGGAGACTGAAAAGCAGATGAAAAGACCTCAAGAGGAGCCCTGTCTCCCCTCGGGCTTCGCTCGGGCCCCTGGTGTACCTAAAGTAGGAGCTGCAGCTACAGAGGATGTTCTTGTGGGCATTGAACTCGAAGCCGTTGACTGTGATGACCACATCGCAGAGCTTGCCCTCAAGTCGGAGCTCGTTGAAGATCTCACAGGTCATCGCGCTCATCTTCCTCTCCATGTGGGGCTGGTGGGACCGGGTGGAGGCCGCCGTGTTCTCCATCTCCATGGCACCGTGGGACCAGGGGAGAGAGGCTGCTCTCCTGGGGTGCTGGGGAGGGTTCTGGGGGGGCCCCTTTAGCCAGCTGTCGCTCCTTTTCCCTACTACATCTTTCATATAGGGACCATCAGGCAGCCCAAGTTCCAGAATCCTGAGCAGTGAGATCACTCAGGATTGTGCTCTCAGGTTCTGGAACCCTTCCTACCCCTTCTTCTTCCTCCCCCTCCCCCCCAGGACACACAGATGGACCGCCCCACACCTCCTTCCTTGCCCTCAGACCTAGGGCAGAACTGTGGCCGCCAACACAGCCGAGCCTTTATGGAGCCTGCTTCCTGTTGCATTTTCAGGATGAATCCACATCCCTGCAGCAATCCTTCCACAGCTCCCACTGGGCTCTTCCTGTGTGCAGAGCTGCTTCAATGTCAGGCTGTCCAGGGTCTTCTAGACCCTAAGATGCCTTATTGGCTTAATTTGCTTAGTGATGATGAGGAGTCCAGTTAAGGAAAATGTCTCCTGGGTGCATCCTCAGTCCAAAATGCATACGGATACCTGGTGGGTTTTTTTTTTTGTTGTTGTTGTTGTTTGCAATGCTAGGGATGAAACCCAGGGCCTCAGCCATGCAGGCAAGCACTCTTCCACTGAGCTACGACCTGAATCCAGGGAAAGATCGCCCTTGCCAAAGGGTTCCAGAAAGAGTGACAGGAGTCCACCACACACAGCAAAGCCTCATCATGACAGTCAACCCATACGCAGGACCTCAGCATCTCGGTCCTTCCCCCCTCACCCCCCCCCTCCCACAGTAGAACCCCCCCCACCCCCACCCGTTTCTCCTGCCAGCATCCTGAGCCTGCCTGGAAACGGCCGGCCCGCCCCTCCCAGAGCGGCGCTCCTAGAGCGAAGACGACGCCTGCGCAGTGAGGCTGCGGGGGCGGGCGCCGTCTTCGGAGCCGCCCACCAGACCGTCGGCGCGATGGCGGAGGAGGTGAGGCCGCGGGTAGGGAGCGTCCCGCGTGGCGGGATCGCGGGCGCAGGGAGGCCCGGCTGCCCTGGGGCCCATCACGGCGCTCGGGTCAGCGGGTCCCTCGGGTCTCGCGACAGGTGAAAAGTCTGATGAAGGCCACGGTCCTGATGCGGCAGCCCGGGCGGGTGCAGGAAATCGTGGGCGCCCTTCGCAGGGGCGGAGGAGACCGCCTGCAGGTACCGGGGCGCGGGGGGGCACGGCCGGGCTGGGCGGCGGAAGGGTGCCTGTCCTGCGGCCTTCCCGCCAGAGCCGGTGCGCACGCGGCGAGCCTGCGCTCCGGAGTGGGCATGGGCAAACAGATTGGCTCGCCGGGGGAGAGAGCCCACCTGTCCCAACAGCCAACTTTCAGGGTAGTCAGATGTGGTCGTCCTGCTTGGTTTCAGAAAGCAGACGGGTCGAGCCTGGCTGCCCCACTACCCTAGGCTAGCTGGCTCCACAAGGAGTTGAAGATGGGGAAGACCCATAAAGGTCGGGAGGCACCTTAAGAAAGAACCGGTGCATTTGAGAAAGATGCCATTGAGACTCACCCGCACACTCGGGGGACTTGGTTTTCCTCAAGGTTAACTGGTGTACTGACACAGAATCACTTCTTTCCTTTCCCTGCCTGTCTCTCCTCAGCCTTGAAAAAAAAAAAAAAGGCTTTGCTGCTGACTGGGCAGTGGCTGGTTAGACTTGTGGTTAGCCCAGGCTGAGGCAAGGCCAGGTTGGAAGGTGCCTACTCAGCCACCGTAACCTCTCTTTGGTCTCTTAGGTGATTTCTGATTTTGACATGACCTTGAGCAGATTTGCTTACAATGGACAGCGATGCCCCTCTTCCCACAGTAAGTCACATTTCAGCCTTCCTTGCAGGGCTCACGATGATAACTGCTAAGGAGCAAGTAAAGGGAGTTTTGTGTTTTTTCAGATATTCTGGATAACAGCAAAATCATCAGTGAGGATTGTCGCAAAGAGGTGGGTCACTCCCTTCTTTGCTCAAAAATGGCTCTGGTACTCTTCCGGGGTTGAACCACAAACTCCGTGACAGAAATCTTAAGACAGTTTATTCTTTAAACCAGTGTGGAGGCCTGTAATCCCAGTTATTTGGCAGATCAAAGCAGGAGAATTACAAGTTCAGGGTCTGCCTGGGCTCCAGAAAGAGTTCAACGTCATCCTGGGCAACTTAGTGAGACTCTACCTTAAAACAGGAAGTTTGAAAACAGAAGAAGGGCGTAAAGGAGGCCAGGTGGTGATGCTGCACACCTTTAATCCCAGTACTCATGAGGCAGAGGCAGGTGGATCTCTGAGTTCGAGGACAGCCTAGTCTACATAATGAGCAAATACCAGGCCAGCCAGGGCTACACAGAGAAACCCTCTCTCACCCTCTCCCACCCCACCCCCCACCAAAAAAAAGAAAGAAAGAAAAGAAAAAGGCAGCTGAGCAGCAGTCAAGAGAAAGAGGCAGGTGGATCTCCATGAGTCCCCAGGCCAGCCAAAGCTAAGTAATGAGACCTTGTCTCAAAAAAAGGGAGTCTGGGACATAGCTCACAGGTAGCTCATCAAGCATTCCTGAGGCTCTGAATTTGCTCCTCAATTGTGGTTTTTTTGTTCGTTTGTTTTGGTGGTTGTTTGGTTGGTTTTGTTTCTTTTGATGTTTTTTTTTAAAAAATTATTCCTTTATAACTTGTTATAGTAAAGTAGGTCTAGTTTTCTTATTAGGTTTATTTTAATTATTTCATTTTTATTTATTTTGGGGGGATGGGTTCAAGACAGGGTTTCTCTGTGTAGCCTTGGCTGTCCTGGAGCTAACTCTGTAAACCAGGCTGGCCTCAAACTCACAGAGATCCACCTGCCTCTGCCTCCACAGTGCTGGGGTGTGCGCCACCACTGCCTGGATTATTTTAAAGAGCGTGTGTGTGTGTGTGTGTGTGTGTGTGTGTGTGTGTGTGTATGTGTGAGAGAGACAGAGACATATGCAATCAGGTGTATTAAAATCAATCCATGTGAATCTATTTAATGGGTAGTGGGGATTTATTAAGATATAAATTGAGGAAATACACTCACAAATATAGAACAGAGGGGAGAGCTGAAGTTGTCCTCTGATATGACTGGGAGCAAATCCACCTCGCAGGCAGTAGGGGGTCCTTATAAAAGGCATCGTACAACAGCAAAAAGCATCACCTCCTTTGGGCCCCATAGCCCAAGGTCATGGGCAGAACAAGTACCACTACACAGGTGCCCTTAGAGGATCCTCTGGAACTAGAGTTAGAGGTGGTTGTGAATTGCGTGATGTAGGAGTTGGGAACCGAATTCTGGTCCTCTGGAAGAGCAGTATGTGCTCTTAACTGCTGAACCAGCCCCTGAGTCTAGTCTCCATACATGAGAACAGCTTTTCCTTATTGGCTGAGGCACGATGATGGGTGGTTCATGTGTGAACGCTACACTTACTGCTAGCTGTGGGGTTTGCATGAGACTTGAATGCTATATCTTACTGAGCAATCCTCTATTCCCAAAGGTAGCTAGAACTATCATATTACTGTCTCTGTTCAACATGTGAGAAAACAGGTGTTTCAAGAGGTTGAACAACTTGCCCAAGGGTCATTCGATTGAGTTCCATGCCTTGGTTTTGCAAAGACTTTGTCCCAAACTCTTCCCACTGCATTGTGCCATGTCCTTGATGATGTTACTTTCTGGTAAAGGGACAGATATGGAGAGCATTCTGAATGGATGTTAATTCATTTCTGTAAGATGTGTACAAATACTGAGAAGCCAACTCTAGAGCCTTGGCCTCTGGTTTACTTGGCTCCAGGCTTTTGCCCTGAGTGGCCTCTCACTAGCGCAGAGCTAGGCTAGGCTGTTATACGTTACTGAGTTCATTCTTTTTTTTTTTTGGTTTTTCGAGACAGGGTTTCCTCTGCGTAGCTTTGGTGCCTTTCCTGGAACTCACTCTGTAGCCCAGGCTGGCCTTGAACTCACAGAGATCTGCCTGCCTCTGCCTCCCGCATGCTGGGATCAAAGGCGTGCGTGCGCCACTACCCGGCCTGACTAGTTTTTATTACTATTATTTTATATGTATGGGTGTTTTATCTGCACGTATGTCCGTGCGTGAGTACCTGGCCACATGAGTGCCTGGTGCCCACTGAGGTCAGAAGAGGGTGTCAGATCCTCCAGGACTAGAGTTGTAGACAGTTGTGAGTCACTATGTAGATGCTGGGGATTGAACTCTGGTCCTCTATAAGAGCAGCAAGTGTTCTTAAGTGCTGAGCTAACTCTCCAGCCCCCATTGATTTTTGTAATGCTGAGGATTGCACTCCAGGCAAGCTCTCTGCCAACAAGCTGCATCCTTGTCCCCACTTCTTGTCGTGTCCCCACCCCCACCCCCCACCCCCCCACTCCCTGTGTATGTATGTATATGTTTTGATTTTGAGATGGAATTTTACTGTGTAGCTTAGGTTTGCCTATGTACCCCAGGCTACACATCTATAATCCCCCTGTCTCCTCCTTCCAAGTGCTGAGATTATAGCATGGGCCACCAAGTCTAACTCATGTTGAGGACTCTTTAGGCCTCATTCTCGGGGTGGGTGACAACACGTGATAAAGCTCTGCGAAGGCAGCCACACTGCAGACTGTGTATAATAATAGGTAAGTGTGAGCAGTCAAAAAGCATGAGGAGAAGACTGAGTGTCATGAACGGTGTGTTCCCACCTGAAAACTCTCTTCCGCGAAGCTCCATCCTTGAGGCGGTTTTCGTCTTAACTGGGGGCCGGGGTGATGTGCACTAATGACCTTTCCCCTCCTTGGCTGTCCCAGCTCGCCGCGCTCTTTCACCACTATTATCCCATTGAGATCGACCCACACCGGACCATCAAAGAGAAGTTGCCTCATATGGTACAGTGGTAAGTGGCACCGACAAGGAGGAGCTCCTGTGATTGAAGGTGGAGTGGGCCAGCATGATCAAGGCAACTTACAGAAGGAAGAGTATTTTAGCAGGGAGCTTACAGTTCAGAGGGTGAGGCCCATGACCATCATGTCAGGGAGCATGGCAGCAGGAAGGCAGGCATGGCTTTTGAAACTTCAAAGCCCACCCCTGCAGTGACACACCTCCAGCAAGGCCACACCTCCTAATCCTTCCCAAACAGTTCCACCAACTTTGGAGAGCATTCAGATATATGAGCCTACCGGGGTTATTCTCATGCAAACCACCACAGAGTTCCAGTTTGTAACCTGGGCACGCAATCAGATTGCAAAATTCTGACAGAATCAAACACCACTAAGCATGGCCGGTGGTGGTGCATGCACATCGTCCTAGCACTTGGAGGATGGGGGTAGAAGGGTCAAGGTTTCTCTTGGCTGCATAGGAAGTTGTAGGCTAGCCTGCGCTACACAAGACCCTGTTCAAAAACAAAACCTGGCATCCCAGGATAGAGCCCTAGGTCCCTATGGAGGAGGGTTCTAATCTCCCCAGTCTGCAGCTCTTGTCTCCCTCTCCCTTCATTTCCTTCTGAGGATCTCTTAAAGTCCTTCAGGAGATGCCTCTGTGGGACAGAGTGTGCTCATTTCCCCAGTGAGTACTACCAGAGGGGATAAAGGACAGGGCAACTACCAGAGGGGATAAAGGACAGGGCACTCGACTTCCTGGGGTGACTAGGACTTGGGGTGTGTGGTTGTCTGTTCCTAGGTGGTCCAAAGCCCACAATCTCCTATGCCAGCAGAGGATACAGAAGTCCCAGATAGCGCAGGTGGTTGGAGAGTCCACCGCCATGCTCAGGTAAGCTCCTTGCTGTGAAAGCATTCCCACCGGACTAGTCTAAGCAACTCTGTGGGCCGGGGCGTGGCTCTCTGGTTAAAGACGTGCCTGGCATGCTGGAGGCCTGTGAATTCCATCCTTGGTATTGGAAACCAAAAAATAAACGTGAAAGCCGGTCTAAACCTATTTCACCCAGGTGGAAAAGGCTGGGGAGGGTTGAGGGGAGTCAGTGGCTGGGAGGAGGAAAGGTGGCCCCAGAAGCCATTTGCTTCACTGGGCTGCTGTGCAGAATGGCCAGGCCTTCGTCTCCTAAGGCCAACTCCTTTTAAATGATGGGTTAAAAGCAAACAAAAGACCCCACAACTCTGGACCCTCTGGTTGCCTGGCATTTTTTTAATATTTATTTTAATTTATTTTGGTTTTTTGAGATAGGGTTTCTCTGTGTAGCCTTGGCTGTCTGGAGCTCACTCTGTAGACCAGGCTGGCCTTGAACTCAGAGATCTTCCTGCCTCTGCCTCCCGAGTGCTGGGATTACAGCCATACATCATCATAAGGTTTATATTTGGGGTTTTGTTTGTTGTGCTGGTATTGAACTCAGGGTCTTGAGCAGGCTGTCAAGAGCTGTTCAAGAGTTAAACACACAGACCTTAAAACACTTTTTTAGCCGGGCGGTGGTGGCGCACGCCTTTAATCCCAGCACTCGGGAGGCAGAGCCAGGCGGATCTCTGTGAGTTCGAGGCCAGCCTGGGCTACCAAGTGAGTCCCAGGAAAGGCGCAAAGCTACACAGAGAAACCCTGTCTCGAAAAACCAAAAAAAAAAAAAAAAAAAAAAAACACTTTTTTAATATTAATTTATTTTATTTTATGTATATAATTGTTTTGCATACACCTATGTATGTGCACTGCATGTGTCTGGTGCCTGAGGAGGCCAGAAGAGAGAGTTGGATCCCCTGGAACTGCAGTTGTGAGCCACCATGTGGGTTCTGAACCCAGGTCCTCTGGAAGAGCAGCTGTCTCTCCTTAAAGTTACTGAGCTGTCTCTCCAGTCAGTCCCCCCAGTTTTTTGTTTTTGATTTTAAAAGAAAAAGCTGGTGTGGTGGCACATACCTTTAATCCAAGCACTCAGGAGGTAGAGGCAGGTGGATCTCTTGAGTTCAAGGCCAGCCAGATCCAGTTCCAGGCCAGCCAGGGTTATACTGGGAGACCTTGTCTCAAAAGGTGTGTGTGTGTCCCTATATTTATGTGTGTGTTTGTGTGTGTGTGTGTGTATTACACTATGTATAAAAAAACAACAAAAAAAGAAAAATTTAAAAATTCCTCGCCCGAGGTGCTGAGATGACGGCCCAGTTGGTAAAGTCCTGCCTCATGAAGCATGCAGACCTGAGCTCTGCCCCAAAAGCTGGGTGTGGTAGAATGAGTTCAGAACCCCAGCACTGGGGAAGTGCAGACAGGCAAATCCCCGGGACTGACTGGCCAGCCTAAGCAGTGAGCCCCAGCTCCCGGTGAGAGACCCTGTCTCTAAACAAAGTGTGGGTCAGTGAGGTGGCTGGCCGTGTAAAATGCTTGTCATGCAAGCCTGACTACAGTAATCCCAGACCCATGTAAAGGTGGAGAGAGGGAACTCCATGGTTGTTCTTTGACCTCCACATGTGTGCCATGGTGTGTCTATGCCCATAAACATACAACGATAAGCCTCCACACTTAGGTCACGGGTAGACATATAACCTGCACATACACATAAATAATAAGATATAAAATGCCTTGCCCAAGTAGAAAATGAAGTAGCAGTAGCAAGGGCCATGCCGTTCACCATTCTTTGATCTCTTTGCAGGGAGGGATATAAGACGTTCTTCGACACACTCTACCATAACAACATTCCTCTTTTCATCTTTTCGGCGGGCATTGGTGATATCCTGGAGGAAATTATCCGGCAGATGAAAGTGTTCTACCCCAACATCCACATTGTGTCTAACTACATGGATTTCAGTGAGGATGTGAGCCACGTCTCAGCCGGGCTGCAGGAGAGGAGGGGTGGGCTGTCAGCCTGGGTGTCTTTTCACTTGGCCAGCTGGCCCCTTTTTATCCTCTGGTTTCCGCTTTCTTTCCTTGAGACAAGAGTCTTGCTACATTACCCAGGCTGGCCTGGAATTCCTGAGCTCAGTCAGTCCTCTGGCCTCGGCTCCTGAATGGCTGGGACGATAGGTATGAATCATGGCACTTGGCATCATGGATTCCTTGCTTTCTTTTTTGTTTTTTGAGTTAGGGTCTTTCTGTATAGCCTTGGCTTTCCTAGAACTACTGTATAAACCAGAGTGGCCTCAAACTCACAGAGAACCCCCTGCCTCTGCCTCCTGAGTGCTAGGACTGAACCGTTCCCTGCTACACCCAGCCTGTGTGTTACTTTATTTTATATGCATTGGTGTTTTGCCATGGATGTTGGGTCCCCTGAAACTGGAGTTACAGACAGTTGTGAGCTGCCATGTGGGTGCTGGGAATTGAACCCAGGTCCTCTGGAAGAACAGTCAATGTTCTTAACCACTGAGCCATCTCTCCAGCCCCCCTGTGTGTCACTTTAAAGGGATCAACAGTCAGGTGTCTGGCACCATCATAGGTCATGTGCACCCTGGGTACCAAAGGGCTTACACTTTGACCTGTGTACTGAAAGCCAGAGGTGAGTGGTTCCAGCTTACCCAAGTTTCGCTTCTCAGTGGGCAGCCATGATAGCACATGCTTTTATCCCAGCACTTGCAAGGTGGAGGTAGCAGGCTTAGGATTTCAAAGCCAGCCTGCCTACATAATGAGTTCAGATTCACTGGGCTATAGGAGGCCCTGTCTCAAACAAAAATCAGTGGTGAAATTTTGTCACTGTTAATGGCCTATAGCCAAGTGCTAACACACATGTGACCCCGAGAACATGTTTTTCAGGTGAGAATCTGACCCAGGCCTTGAGCAGAACCTCTGAATAATGGTTCCTGCAACCTGACTCAGCAGCATTTGTATTATAGGCTTCCACCAGAATGGAGATCAGGAATACCTATGGTCATTATTTAAAACAGGAATTACAAAGTTCTCCTAGAAAAGGCCAAGTGGTTTGGGCCTGGAGGCACAGGCCTGTGATCCCAGCTGCTTAGGAGACTTAAGGCAGGAATTTGAAAGTTCAAGACCTGCCTGGCTTGAGCTGCAGAGCAAATTCAGGGAGAGCCTAGAAAGCCTGGATAGAAAAAGATGTGTCTCACAATGAGAACTGGGGCCAAGCATGGCAGTGTACGCTTTTAATCCCACAGTCAGGAATCTATGAGTTTGAGGCCAGCCTGATCTACATAGTGAGTTCCAGGACAGCCAGGGCTAGATAGTGAGACCCTGTCTCAAAAGCAACAACGAAACACAAACAAAAAGGAAAAACAAGAAAAAAAGAAATTGGCACAGTGGTGGCACATGCCTTTAACCCTCTCATTCAGGAGGCAGAGGCAGGCAGAATTCTGAGTTCAAAGTCAGCTAAAGCTACATAGACTGTTCTCAAAAGAAAAAAAGGAAAGAGAAAAAGTTGGAGGTGGGGCTCAGTGATGCAGTGCTTGTGTGTGTAAGGCCCTGGCTAAGTCCCAGTGCCTTCGTAAGAGGCCAGCTCTGCACACTTGGGCTTCTGTCTTTGCTGTGTCTCTTCTCAGCTTTGCCCTCACCTCCCAGAATACAGCCCAAAGACCCAAACAACTGAGTCTAGCTGGGTTCCATGAAAGCACTTATAACAATAGACCAGATCCGCCCGGGGTTCTAGTTCCAGCCCCCCCGCCCCTCCAGGCTCCAGTAAAGCTTTGCCGTTCTCTCTGGGTTTGGGAACTCTTCCCCCCCCCCCCATGGCAGGCCCATGTGCTACATGGGTGCCCCTCGCCCTGCTCTCTGTCTCTTGTGGTGTTTCAGGGTATCCTGCAAGGCTTCAAGGGCCAGCTCATCCACACCTACAACAAGAACAGCTCCGTGTGTGAGAACTCCAGTTACTTCCAGAAGCTTCAGGACAAAACCAACATCCTCCTGCTTGGAGACTCCATGGGGGACCTCACTATGGCTGATGGAGTCCCTGGGGTGCAGAACATTCTCAAGATTGGCTTCCTAAATGACAAGGTGAGCAGTGGCTGGGCCTTCCCTCTGACTTGGGGATTCCTGCCAGCACTTTTGAATTCCTTTTGTGTGCTAGATACTGTGGAAGGTATTAGGCCTGCAGAGGAGGGACATAGTTGTGTTCTCGGTCTCTCTCTTATGGGGGCGGGAGTAAAGGGGATGAAACAGGAATTCGTGTATCCCAGGCTAGTCTCAAACTGTGTAGCTAAGGCTGACCTTGAACTTCTGACTAGCTTGCTTCAACCTCCTAAATGCTGTGATTACATGAATATGCCATCATATCATGATTTATGCTCACTCTTTTGGGGTGTGTGTGTGTGTGTTTGTGTTTGCTGGGAAAGGAACATAGAACCCGATAGATGCCACGTAAGTACTCTATCACTAAGTTACATCCCAAAGCCTCGGCATTTTCCACTGTGACTTGACCCAAGACTTGAGAGGAGAGGGTCACTCCGCCCAAACACGCACGGCTGTGCGCTCAGCATGTGTCAGTCCCCATTCTGGTCACACAAACACTGCTAACCCATTAAACTCTCACTTTGTGTGATGACTCCTTCGTTTGTCCTGGAGGTGGTTTTTTGTTGCTGTTATTTTATTTTATTTTTGGTTTTTGGTTTTTCTGAGACAGAGTTTCTCTGGTTTGACTGACGTGGGAGATGCCAGGGTTGAGAGCATGATTTTATAAAAGCAAAAACATCAGAACCTGGCAGGGATGGACAGAGCATAAGCCAGAAGGGCTCAGAGAAGGTGTCCATAAGGGTGGACCCAGCCAGCAGAGGCCGGAGCCCAGTGGACGTCAGAGCCATGTGAAGATGACGTGTGACAGCTGGGCGTTTGTTTGTAGTTGTTGTTACTGTCTGCTTGACACTGGCCGAGTGTTCTTGGTGGGAGCTTGTGCCCCTCATTGCCTGCCTGTGACCTCCCCGGGCTTTCACAGGAGAGCTGGGGGATGGTGTTTGCATGCCTCTACCCCAGACCCCAAGATACAAAGAGGGGTGTTTGGGGGACTCAGATCTGCTTTCCCCGGGCAGGTGGAGGAACGGCGGGAGCGTTACATGGATTCCTACGACATCGTGTTGGAGAAGGACGAGACACTGGACGTGGTCAATGGGCTGCTGCAGCACATCCTGCTTCAGGGGGACTGCATGGAGATACAGGGCTCCTAAGCACAAAGGCTCAGGCCAGGCCCTGCAGGCAGTGATGAGGAGGAATGCCTGCCCATGAAGCCTCCTCTGTGAGCGGTGGCCAAGAGCTGCTGGGCTCTCCTCACCCGACTCCTTCCCCATGCCTTTGCCTTCCTCCTGCTAGGAAAGGCTTGAGGGAGGCCCTGCCTGTGGGTGGGCAGCAAGCGTGCTCTGTGGCCCACAGCATGTTAGCCTTCTACGGACCATCTAGTCCAAGGGCTCTTTCTAAGAAAGTTTTCAGAGCTGGGAATACAGATGGCTCAGTGGTGAAACACCTGCATAGCATGTGGTGGGCCCTGGGTCCCTCCCCAGCACTGTAAAAAAAGGAAAAGTAAAGCTGTACATCAGACAAATATAACGTGTGAGTCAGATGAAAATTAACAAAAGAACAGAGTTGCTCCAACTCACGGTGTGGGAGCTGTGTGTACAGCCTGAGCCTTGGCCCTCAAGGCACTAGAACCCCTAGGAGACCTCTGGAACTCCACGGAACAAAGTTTGAGAACAGTGGGAAAGCTTAGAAATCCCATGTGAGTACAGTCTGAGTGTGCCTGCAGCCCAGGAGTGTGTCTGTAGATCTGGGAGGGGAGCGATGGGAAGGTGTGATCCTGACCTGGCATGGGAACAGCCTTGAAACTTGAAGTTCAGCTGGGTTGAGGTTGGATACCCCTACATACACAAAGGGTACATTTGAGTATGGCTTTTCCATAGGTCCTTAGATCTTTCCTCCACTTTTTAGTCCAGTGCCACCAACATAATGAATGACCTGAAAGGAATGTTATTTTTTATTTTGATTCATGGATATGAGTGTTTTTCCTGCATGGATGTGTGTATACCAGATATGTACCTGGTGACTGCAGAGGTCAGAAGAAGGTGCCAGGTCCCCTGGAACTGGAGTTGCCGATGGTGGTTATCCACCACGTGGGCTCTGGGAACTGAACCCAGGTCCTCTGCAAGAGCATCCAGTGCTCCTAACCACTGATCCACCTGTCCAGCCCCCTTGAAGGGATTTGAGACCAGACCCCTGGGAGACTGCAGAGCCAAGTAGAAGTAATTGATGTATTAGTACCTTGCATATCAACTGTAGTTCCCGTTCCTGTGTTCTGTTCGCTCAGAAGAACAGGGGAACTCTCCAAAGAACAAACACAAGAGCTACTTCCTGGACCCTTTGTCTCATCCCCTTAGAGAAAGTTGTTCATATACGCTCCTGTCCAGGAGGCTGTTTATCCCAAGTGCTGTTACCTGCAGACCTGAAGGGAAGGGGAACCCAGGGCTATTGAGTGCCTGCTGAGTATCGGCGCCATCCTGGGCACGTACACCCCCGCCATTTCATTCTTGGTGACTGTGAGCAGAATCCCTCATTTGCAGGTGGGTAGCTTAGACGGGATGAATAACCTGCCCGGACACCATACCCAGGAGCCAGAGCCAAGTTCTGGGTACTTCTAGCCAAAGCCTTTGCTCTCCATCTGGTTGTGTTTCGCAGCTTTAGTTCAGGGCTCTCCTAGGTTCTGTGGCAGGGGGCCCTATGACTGTTCCAGGACCACAGGCTGACTTCAGAAGCTTTCTGGAGGCTTTGGTGACAAGGAGTGCCAGTCACTGGCCCCGGGCAGCAATCATGTTTGAAGCTCCTGGAGCATGTGTGTTAGTTTTTTTTTTTTTTTTTTTTTTTTTTTTTTTTTTTTTTTTTTTTTTTTTTGTGGGAGCTGAGAACCGAACCTAGGGCCTTGTGCTTGCTAGGCAAGCGCTCTACCACTGAGCTAAATCCCCAACCCCGTGTGTTAGTTTTCTAATACAGGAACAAAATACAGTAGTCAACTTAAAAGAGATTACTCATGGTTTGGGAGACTTCAGTCTGGGAACACTTGGCCCCATTGCTTTGGGCCTGTGGTGGCAGAGTCGTCATGGCAGGCGCACATGGTGGAGGAGGCCGATGTGGTGGCCAGGCACAAAAGAGAAAAGAGACCAGGGCCCCACAGTCAGTCCCCTTCAAAGAATACCCGATTGTCTTTGTCACTTTTCTGTTGCTGTGACAGAAAAGCCGAGGCACTTAGAAATGTGTTTAATTGGGCTGCGGCTTCAGGTTGGAGTCCAGGATGGTGCAGGAGAGGCGTGGTAGCAGGAATAACTGAGCTTACAAAATGATCCACAAACAGGAGGCAGAGAGCCCCCTGGGGGTGGCAGGGTGCTTTGGAAGCCTCAGAACCTGTCCCTGGGACCTATGACCTCCACGGAGGCCACACCTGATCCTTCCTGAACAGCACTACTAATTGGGACCAAGTGTTCATATATGAGTGTGTGGGGCTCTTCTCATTCAGACCACCATGCCAGTGACTTAAAACCTTCCACAACCCCCACCTGCACCCCCACCCTCGTAACACACAAACCTTCTAATGGCACCCTGGGCTAGAGATCAAGCCTTAGGGGGACACCCGATTCCAAACTGGAGCACTGGGCAAGAAGATGCTTAGGGACAGTTTGGAATGAATGTGGCCTTGTCACTTTCTGTAAAGTCCCCACTCTGCTCAGAAAGCACAGGGCGTCTCTGTCACAGTGGGCAGAGTGAGGCAGGCAAGTGAGGGCAAACAGACTGGCTTAGAGAAGCATTTCTCTCTAGGACTGTAGACATCTGTCAGTTCTCTTTCCTCTGGCAAGAGGGAGAGGGGCAAGTGGAGGGAGGAAGGTGGGAATGCTGCCGGACTGAGAATGGATCCTTGTGAACAACTGTAATCTGGCCTGCAGGACTGAGAATGGATCTGTGTGGACAACTGTAATCTGGCCTGCAGGACTGAATGGATCTGTGCGGACAACTGTAATCTGGCCTGCAGGACTGAATGGATCTGTGTGGACAACTGTAATCTGGCCTGCAGGACTGAGAACGGATTTGTGTAAACAACTGTAATCTGCCCTGCAGGACTGAGAATGGATCTGTGTCCACAACTGTAATCTGGCCTGCAGGACTGAGAATGGATCTGTCAACCACTGTAATCTGGCCTGTAGGACTGAAAGGATCTGTGTCAACTGTAATCTGGCCTTTGGGGTTCTATTTAGTTCTTGAGCTCTGGGGGTTGTCTGAGGTCAGGGCCATTGTTTCTGCCTTTATTTGAGACAATAAGGGGACAAGGATCATCTCCATGCCTCTCCTGCACACCTTCATCTCTGGCCATTGACCAGGGCTCTGCACCCAGAGGTTATTTAGCTTTGGTTTAGTTAGGTTTGAGGGGGGCAAACGGGAAGATCTCTGTCTGGAATCTGTCCCTCATGAGGCCACAGCAACTGCCTAGGGAAGATCTCTGTCTGGAATCTGTCCCTCATGAGGCCACAGCAACTGCCTGGCTTGTCCCCTTTCTGCCCCTGCCCTTGGGTTAAAAGCATTCTCCTTGGCTGGGGAGATGGCTCAACCAATAACAAGTCCTGGAGTTTGATCCTCAGAAGCCATGTAACAAGCAGCATGGCCCAGCATGCACCTGTAATCTCAGCTCTGATTTGCGAGCCAACTGGTCTACCTGATTTTTGACCTTCAAATTCAATGAGAGACCCTGCCTGAAAAAATAAGGTGTATGTAAGGGGCTGAAGAGATGGCTCAGCAGCCCAGTGTGGTGGTGCATTATTGGAATTTTCCCAGGGGTCTGCTCTGAGAAGATTCTTCCCAGAGTCCTGGGGAAGACTCTATTGCCGGAGTGGGACAGGGGGCAGGGAGATGGGTATATTTGAGGGAGAATCTACACCAGGCTCTTTTGTCCATCCACTTTATTTCTCTAAGACAAGATTGTCTACATACCTTCAGTTCCATTCTGACTCTCAGTTCCTCTTGGTCCCTTCTTTTCCTGTCCTCTCATAGCCCTAGTAATAACTAAGCTCTCATGCTCTCGACCTCATCCTCATCCTCCATTCCTTCGTCCTCCATCTTTCCTTCCTCTTCTCCTGTTCTGACCCAATCTCTACTCATCCAAAAACTCTGCCCTGTTCTCCCTTCTCCTGCCCAGACCAGGAAATTCTGGCCCAGCCTTCACTCCACCTGGTTATGAAAAAACCTTTTGTCCTGAGTCAATAGCTCTGGAATGCCACTAGGCCTGAAGGAAAGGGATGGTCTGAGCTTCATTTGCACAAGAAACAAAGCTGTGCATCTACAGTCCATCTGTCTTCTAGGCTCTGTAGGGGTGTTACCTAGTTCAGATCAGCAGTAGGTCTGAGAAGCTTACACTGTTTGCCATATGGCCTAGTTATATGTGAGCACACAAGAAATTCACAGCAGAAGACAGCTGATATATTAAAAGCTGAGTAACACCAAATATTCCCTGATATACGGCTTCCCTCTAGAAAGATTCCTTGACCTTTCTAGGTACAGCTTTATTATACACAGCTGAATCTCTATAATCTATTCTTTCGGCTTGCAGCAGTACATGCTTTGAACCCTAGTATTTACGAGTGAGGGGCAGGCGGCTCTCTCAAGGCCAACCTGATCTACATAGCAAGTTCTAGGACAGCTACAAAAACAGACCTGTCTCAGAAAAGAGGGCAGAGGAGAAATGGCTCAGTGGTTAAGAGCACTGGCTACAAAACCACATGGGCTGGGGGCTGGGACTGGATGGACAGATGTCTCCTCCACCCACATCCCCTCCTGTGTGTGCTTGGGAAAAAACTTCAGTTTTTTTGTTTGTTTGTTTTTGTTTTTCTGAATAAAAAAGGGTTTTGTTTGTTTAATTTTTTGAGATGGTTTCTCTGTGTATCCCTGGCTGTCCGAGACCTCGCTCTGTAGATCAGGCTAGCCTCCAACTCAGAGGGCTGCCTGCCTCTGCCTCCCAGGTGCTGGGATTAAAGGTGAGTGCCACCACTGCCTGGCTGTAAAAAAGTCTTAAAAAAAAAAAAAAAAGCATTGCTCTCCAAAGGACTTAGGCTTGATTCCCAGCACCCACATGGCCATTCACAATCGCCTACAACTCCAGTCCCAGGAGATCCAATGGCCTCTTGGCCTCTGAGGGCACCAGGCACACATGTGGTGTGTGGTGCACAGACCTATCTGCAGGTTAAACACTCACACATAAAATACAAAGAAATGGAGAGAGAGGAGTGAGAGAGCACATATTGCTCTTCAAGAAAGAACACATTCAGTTTCCAGCACACACAGGGCAGATAAGAAGTGGTTGTCACTCTGGTCCCAGAGGATCTGACACCCTCTTCTGGCTTCTGTGGGTGCCAGGCACACATGTAGTACAAAAGACATCCATGCAGGCAAAACATCCATCCATACATGCACACACACATACACTAAGAGTAATAATCAGGTAGAGAGAGACTACCAAACACACCAGATGTCAGTCTCTGGTCTCCACATACATGTGAACTTGCACATATACAATACATAAATACCCTCTCTCCACAGGGCCCGCTGAAAGACCACCTCTCGAGGCCTTCAGTTTAACCTTTTATTGACACACAGGAGAAAGGATTGGATCAGTTGAGTCTTTCGAGTCCAGAACTCTGCCGCCCTCCTTCCCATCAACTTAGCACCAAGTGCAGGTTTTCACAGCCCTGGAGCCTGAGCAGACTTCCTCTCACACCTTTCCCTTCAGAGAAAGCTTTAAGATGAAAGACCTCACCCCAGTGGTCAGGGAGGAGGCCCAGTGAGAAGAGTGGCTGGCAGGACTGTGTTCTGGGAGCCACCCCTTCCTGAGGAGCAGGTAGAGCTGAGGCAGGAGAATGCAGGGTCTCCTCACTCATGCCCCTGGGGAGCTGCCATGACAGAGGGAATGGGGACAGACATGGACAGGGAGATGGGGCTGGACAATACAAATAAAGGGCACATTTGGGAAAGTGAAGGAGCAAGGAGCTGACCCTTGCTGAGTCTAGTGATGTGGATGGGAGGTATGGGTGTGTGGGGTCAGCAACAGCTCTAACCAAACACCAGTGTCCCCTCCCTGAATTGCATTTATCATGCCAAGAACCTTAAGGAAGAGGCACAGGGTTGGAAGAGAAAAATGTCAAGAGGTCTGTGCTGTGGACTGGAAGCCACGGCCAGTGGGAAGGTCACAGCAGTCTCCGATGACATTCAGTGACCCCCAGAGTTATCCCCACTGAGGGAGGGCAGCTGTTGACAGGCCAGTTCCACGGCCACTGTCCCCCAGCGCAATGCCTTTGCGTCTGAGGTCAGATCTGAGACTCTGGCCCTCAGAGCTCCTCATGGATCCGCTCCTGGTCCTCATCCGACTTCAGCTTGAGTTCCTCGGCTGTGATCTTGCCATCCTGGTTTCGGTCCTGGTTCTGAAACATGTCTCTTATAGTTTTGTCAGGGTCTTGCCCAGGCATGAGGCGTCCTTTGCCTTCATTCACTTGAGCCTTGATGAAGGAGGAGAACTGGGGGGAAGGGAGAGCAGAGGACAAGGCCGTGAGGAACATGGTCAACATCTGTGGGTTGCCTTGGGAAGGGACCCCAACATTATTTTCCCAGGCCTGGTTCCCAGGGAATTCAGGCCCGAGATGGATGGTAAGTAGAGCTGAGGGGCCAGATGGGGTAAGTGACAGCCAGGTGGGAGGACAGACGTGTGTAGGAGAGGCAAGCACGAAGCTCAGCAGAAGGGGAGCAGGCTGGGTGGCCAGAGGGCAAGTAAGCATGCCGGCTTCCGGGTTGGGGTTCTGGCTAAGTTCCTAGCCCACCTCTTCTGGGGGCACCTCTCCATCTTTATTGAGATCCATGTCTTCAAACAGGCTGGCAGGAGGGTCCTGGTGCCACACAAACAGGTAGCCCGTGGGCAGGCCATCCTCTCGGGATACCAGCTCCACCTCAAACATCAGGACAGCACTGCCAGGGACACCCCGGGCTAGAGAGAGGGAGGGAGAAGAGAATAGGGTTCCAGTGAGGCCTGAAGCCTTAACACAGGCCTTAGTTTTCTCCCTTGGAAGGGACATGGGATGTTTAGGAACTACCGTAGAAGTTTCCCTGATCCCACCCCCACCCCCCACCCCCAGCCACCAAGGCCTGAGGATGGGTAGGGTAAACTGGGAATAGACATGAGATCCGGGTCACTGTCCCTCACCTCCACTCTCCCCATGGGCCAGGTGCGGGGGCACAATGAGCTGCCTCCTCTCCCCCACACACATGCCCTGCAGGCCCCTGTCCAGACCTTCGATCACTTTGTTGGCGCCAAGGGTGGCCTCTTGCGGGGCCTCATAGTCGTGGCTGTGGGAAGAGTGGATTCCCAGGTCAGCAACAGGGGTGTCTGAGGGCTCATTGCGTTCAGTTTCTCCATCATACTAGAATGGCAGTTCTCTAGGTTCACTCCCCCACCCCGTCCCCATATTTTATATCCACGGCTCTCTGAGGCTCACTCAGATGGAGACTTGTGGAGGAATCGAGAGACGGTGAGACCCAGAGAAGGAGAAAGAGCCTGCAAGCTATTAGAAGCCCACCCATACCTGAGCCCACCACCAGCCCAGCCCTGGCCCTGCCCAAGAACCCACGAAGAGAAGAGCCTGGTGCCATCCAGCAGAGAACAGTTGTAATGGTAGCGAATGAAGTCCCCAATCTTGGATGTCTCATTGCAGTTCTCAGGCGGCCGGAACAGCGTCTTGATTTCCACAGGGTCCGCAGGGTTGTGGAAGTCGATGACATGCACGTCAAAGATGAGCACCGCTGAGCCAGGGATCTTGTCTCCTGAGGCCAGATGGGGCATGGTCAGCTCAGGGCTCTGGGGGAGGTCTGCTCACTATCTCCATGGGGCCCAGGCTGGACACCCCTTCCCAATGTCAGGGAGTCCTAGGAGGTCAGATGACGTGTTCCGGAATGAGTGCTCCCTACATCTTGCTGTTGGAGTGATGGGATAGAGGAGGCAGGGAAACCCTTTTCCACCCAACACCTTGCAAGCAAGCTCCCAGTAACACCCTGCAATGAGTGGTACCCAGTGCATCAGAATCTCAAGTATAGGCTCGTTGCTCAATGGTGCTGTTTATTCTCTTTTTTTTGTTTGTTTTTTCTTTCTTTTTTTTTTTTTTTTTTTTTTTTTTTTGGTTTTTCGAGACAGGGTTTCTCTGTGTAGCTTTGCGCCTCTCCTGGAACTCACTTGGTAGCCCAGGCTGGCCTCGAACTCACAGAGATCCGCCTGGCTCTGCCTCCCGAGTGCTGGGATTAAAGGCGTGCGCCACCACCGCCCGGCGTTTGTTTGTTTTTTCGAGACAGGGTTCTCTGTGTAGTTTTGGTGCCTGTCCTGGATCTTGCTCTGTAGACCAGGCTGGCCTCAAACTCATAGAGATCCACCTGGCTCTGCCTCCCAGTGCCGGAATTAAAGGCGTGCGCCACCACCGCCCTGCTTGGTGCTGTTTATTCCTAACCATCTTCTGTCCCCAAACTTGGGGGTTGGCTGCCTTTCTCCCCTACAGGAGGGGGAGTGAGGCCTGCCTTGGAGGAACAGGATAGATTCCGCCTCACAGAGATCCAATGGGTGACCAAGTATAAGCTGTACATGCTTGGGCAATGGGAGGGAGAGCAATCTTAGGGGCACATTTCAGAGGAGCTGAGGGGTGGCCTGGGAAGCCAAATCCTACCTGTCCCATTCTCCCCGTAGGCAAGGTGAGGCGGCACAGTAATCCTCCTTCGCTCCCCTATGCATGCGCCCTGCAGCCCCTGGTCCATCCCAGGGATGATGTAACCCTGCCCAACATAGGTATTGTAGGTGTGGTTGCGGGAGTAGCTGCAATAGAGGGGAAGGGGTGGGGAGGGAGTCAAAGGGGCCTCACTCCTTCCAGGCCCCACCCCTTCAGAGTACCCCTAAGCCCCCACCCTCCCAGCTCAGGACACCCTCTGACCTGGAATCAAAGAGGGTACCATCCATTAAGGAACCATTGTAGTGGTAACGCATGAAGTCCCCCGCCACCGCTCGCCGGACACAGTCCTGGGGCAGCTCCAGCGTCTCCAGCTGGACTGTGTCCTTCGGGTTGTGGACATCAATCAGCAGGACATAGAAGACCAGGGAGGCCTGCGGGGGTATCACAGTCCCTGGGGAGGGCACAGGGCTTGAACCATACAAGTGGAGAGCAAGCCCAGGCTCAACAAGGGGCCTCATGCAAAAAGCCCTCCTCTGCCCTCCTATGTCTTCCTCCTTGGCTGTCCGCAGAGCCATCACCAACCCACACCGAGCCTTTGTGTGAATCAGAACAAGCAATTCTGTCTAGGGGGTAGATTTTATCTCCACTTGCCTCCTTGGCTGGATGCCCCTGGACAGTATACAATCTGAACAACTATGTAGAACCCCAGTTTTTCCTCTTCTGGAGAATTCCCCCGTGCCCTTGCCTTACCGTAGCCTTTCTCCCCATAAGCCAGGAAGGGAGGAATGATGATCTTCCTCTTCTCTCCAGGACACATGCCCAGCAGCCCTTGGTCCATGCCTTTAATCAGCCAACCAGAGCCGATATAGGTGTCGTAAGTGCCTCCCCTAGTGTAGCTGCGGAGAATAAGGCAGAGACCCTGTGGTTGGAGCTGAGAGAGGCAGAGCAGAGCAGGGCTCCCTTCTCTTGGTCACAGGCCCCCGTCTTTAGGACTCCCACCCCCAGCCTCTACCTGTTGTCAAAGGCGGTGCCATCCAGCAGAGTGCCGTTGTAGTGATAGCGCACAAAGTCGCTGTTCTGCACCATGCGGGGGCAGTGAGGAGGGCGCAGGAGGATGCTCATCTGCACCGTGTCCGCCTTGTTCCACACATCCAGCAGGACCACGT